ACTGTTCTCTTGACGCGAAACAGATGAAAATATGTCTGAATCATCACCACTCACAGATTTTACCCCAGTTTGTCTGGTAGGTCTTATGAATACAGCCGTGATCATCATGATTTTAGCGGAAAAATAGAAAAAGGGTGAAATTTAACACCCTAAATGCTAACATAAGCTTGACTCCTTTTTTAGGAAAGGACGCACGCAGGATGACATCACAAGACAAGTGTGCAAATGCTAATTCTTTGTGGTTTTAAACCGTAATGACAAACAAGATGCTCCTACTTTTTACTACTTTACGTCCATTTCAATTTCTAAAAGAAATCATTGTGGCTGTTGGAAACTTCGTGAAGCATCATAAATGACTTGATTGTGGTGAGTCAAATTAGCCTCTTATGAAGAGAAACTTTTTGTGGATTAATCTTTAGTCATGACTTTCAAGAGAAACAAGTGCGTGTTTGAAAAGTAGGACTGATGGACTCACTCTGACTAACAGACGGAAAGAGGAGAAATCAAGTTCAGTAAAGCTCAAGGAATGCAGCTCTGGCCCCCCCATGATTAATGACTGACATGATGGAAGAAAATCCTCCTCCGTTACTCCCAGAGTCAAACTATTAATGTTACCATCACGTAAAGAGACCACCTCATCGTCTCCCAGTCACCAGACCGTCATCACAAGACCGAAAGGTTTCATTCAGATCTAATGACCTGATGGACTGACTCTCAGACAGGAGTGGAAAGACTTCATGGCAGAATGTTTTGTATACAGAACCTTTTAACAGAACATCTTTTGTATGAACATAATATCCTGCAAGTATAGAAACGGTCCTCTGAGGATAATTGTTTTCCTCAAGTACATTTAGATTAAAGTTTGGCCATGTGCAATCCAAGACAAAGTAGTGTAATCATTAGCTGATAAATTAGCACTAATAACAGCTCAAACCCTCAAATTAAGTTACTTAAAGTTAAAAATAAAAACCTGAAAACAATGGGTGGCCTGACAATGTCTACCACTACAGGTCACTTAACCCTTTCAGTAAGAAGATCTACATTCAAGGCCCTCAGTCTTAGTAGAGGAACTTGGGCCCCTAAAAGTTGAGAGACCCCTACCCGAGGTAGAACAAAACACAACCATATTTTTTCATAACTTGAACATGTCTAGTTTATGAAACGGATGGTTGTATAAAAATATTTTACTGCAAAATAACTTTTTTTTTTATGTTTTATGCATCTCACCAAAAAACGAAAATAGGTCAAATTAGGACTTCTCCAAAAGGGACAGCTCTAACCTTATCACATGTATCTCTGGGAATCAGAATCAGAATTTCACCAAATTTGGACAGGATGTTCACAGATAGTTATTAGTTTCAATTATGCAAAGTTTTTATCAATACCATTTTAAATTTTTGAATTTTTCACACTTAAACACACATGTAGTTTAGGTGGAAATTAAAAATTGAAACAAATATTCAAAAGTTATGTATATCAAAGTCTGTCATTTTTTAAGTAAGTACACCAAACATTAAAATATGTTATTTATATCTTCTTTAGACTGTTATCTCAACATAAAAGCAAGTTATTTGACTTTTCACTTGACCCTGTGCTGTCACCAGCCCCTAACAGGAAACTAGTGCAGCCAGGATTTCAGGGCGACCTGGTACAATGGGGCCCTATGGATGTGTATGTGGGAGGAGGTGGCCACAAACAACAGATTAAGACTTAACAACAACACACAATATAACTGTATTCTGTAATATATATATAATTAAACATTTTATAGTTATTCCTAATACATTTTGTCCCAGTCCAGTTACAGCTCAATACCTCTGATTTAATTTAAACATAAACACATCACATTAACCACACACAGGACTAATAAAGGAAAGTTTTCTAAGATAGAAAAGTGTAAATAAATGTTTGTCTGTACCTTAGTGGGACCTCTGACACAGGATGGAGGCAGCTGGTTTCTGAAGGCAGAGCTGAGGTAGTTTCAAGCAGACAGGCCACAACTTGTTGTTGTTGTTGTTGTTGTTGTTGTGTTGAGCAGGATCATGATATTGTGTCTCTGCAGCCTTACATTTGGTGTTAGTAGGACTGTTGACTGTTGAGCTGCTAGCTCGTCCTTCACCTCCCGCACTTTCTGAGTTAGCAGAGAAAGCCCAGCGTTTCCAAACTGTCCTTCTTCGGCAAGACCAAATTTAAGAAAAATAAATAAATATAAATAAATAAATAAATAAATAAATAAATAAATAAATAAATAAATAAATAAATAAATAAATAATCCTCCTCCGACTTTGTAGTAGTTTTCGCTACGTTACCTTTTATCACTTTTTTGTGCTTTCAAAGTGTAGTTAAACTAATTGAAGGATGGACAGCTATCAACTTCCAGACAGTAGCTCCGACAGGTTCAAGCTGCGTTGCTAGGCAACATGCGCAGAGAGGCCGCCCCATCGCGAGAAGTAGTTAGCCAATAGGAAAACTGTGATGTGTTTAGGTTTCATTGTTTGTTTTGTAAATTGTAGCATCTATATGTCCAAATATTAAAACTCTCAACCACTCTTTATTGTTTTCATCACTGTATGTTAAAATTGTGTTGGGACTTGAGATCTAATTAACAATAAGACAGCTAAACGTACCTAAACTTGATGCACGATTTGTTATTATTGTTATTTTTCTGTAAGAACGAATCACCTTTAACGGGAAGGACTTTAAAACTTTTTTTTATAATTAAAAGTTGAATCAGAGGTAATGGTGATTCAGCAGCTTGTCTCACTGTTGTAGCTGTTTACTGACTGCCCCTCCTCTGTTTCCCAGGGAGACAAAAATCACCATAGCAACAATGTCCCACGCACACAAGCTCACTCTTAATGCAGTTACATTACCAAACAGAGTGAGTTTACTCCAACAAACTTTATTCAAGGACACTGATGCAAATAAAAAGTCTGTCTGTCTCCTCTTTGTCTCTCTCTTTTGCCAGAGCATCAATACAATTTTATTACACAAAAAAAAGAAATCTCTCTTTCTGTTCATCTGAAGGCTACATGTCCATCTTCATTTCTGACTGTCCCTTTATGTCTCTCTCTCTCTCGGTCTCACACTTTGTTTCTGTCTTGGTCTCCCGTCCCACCTTTCTCCTTCTTTGTAGTCTCATGCTTCTTTCTTTAAATCCCCTTCCATCGTTCCCATCTCATCCTAATGTCTCCTCTTGAAGTTTGGGTCTTTGCTCATCTTTTCCCGTCTTTTTTCTTCCCTCTCAACCTCCGTCTCCTTTACTCTCCATGTCTTCCTTTTATGTCTCTTTCTCTCCACCTGTCTCTCTATAAATCCATGAAGAACTTCTAGTTTAAGCCGTATTATTTGGGAGAACAAGGGTTGTAATGCAGAGAGTTGGGTGGAGATGAATTTCGAGGACTCTCTGAATTTCTTCCCTCTTGAACATGGGGCGATACACGTTGTTCCATGTAGTTGTTTCACGGTCAGGTGAGTCAGCAGAGCAGAGTAAACTGTGCTCTCCTGTGGGACTTTGGCAACATTATCCAAACAGGGGTGTATAGGGTGGAGGGACGGTAAGTCAGCACGCTCCTAAACAGAGCCACATGTCGTTGGGTTCAGGCCAACCAATCAGATGCTGCGTGCTGAATGTGAGCCCCCAGGAGCCCCGTGGATCACTTTCAACATGAGCAGGAAAAAGTGCCAGAGTTGGAGCTGGACTCTACACGGGAGTGTGTGCATTATGGCTTTTTTTTACAGGAGAGCAGAGCCAGCAGAAAAAAACCTCTAACACCACCGCACAGCGTCCAATAAACACTCAAACTTGGCTCAAATGATCTTTATAACTCAATAAATATGTTTTAATATCTGCCAGTAGGAGCCACCATAAATTCCAGACAGTTTTTTGCTGCCTCAGCCAATTCCAGGCCCAGTGTAAGTAGATATATTATGGTAGTGTGCGGCCAAAATGTGTCATAAAACAGTTCAAAACTTAACTTGCGTGTTTTGAGAACCTCAGCAGCTCGAGAGTTTAGCTGAAATGAAACCTGTGTAAAGAAGCAAGGGTTAGCTCAAAGCTCCTGTGAGGATTTTGAAACAGAATGAAATGAATACTGATGTCTCAACATGACCTACAAAAGCCTCAGAGAGAAGACTGATTATTTTCTTTAGATTTATTTTGAAAGCCTCTCCCCCCTTGCCGTGGGGGTAAATGAGAGCTCCCTGCCGAAAACATCCTTTTCTATATTTTCATCGAGTTGAAGGAAAGTCATTTAAAAGAACGAGATTTTGCATATGAAATGTACTGGATGGGAAAGAGATGAATCAAGCAATTGGACCAGGGGATGTGACTTTCTTACTCCATGTCCTATTGTTTACAGCAGAACAAACACTTAGCCGTGGGTGGAAAGGGGGAGGGGCTACTGCCCTTTGTGATGTCATGAAGGGAAAATCTCCAAACAGCCTGTTTGAGCACACATTTTCTGAAAAGTGGAGCAGGCAGAAGACGGAGAGGATGGACTTTTCTCATCATTGGGGGTTTGTAGACGTACTAGAGACACATGTTAGTGTTGGAGGAAAATGGTGAAGTGTATTTTGCATACCATGTGACCTTTAAAACGTGTATCTATTCTTCCAAGCCTATGAAGAGTAACTTCATGTGGTTGCTCGTTTGTGCAGCTGGTCTTATTTGATTTTCTTCATCCTTTCTTTCTTTGTGTGTCTGATGTCTGGTGGATGATTTACTTCTTGTATTCTATTTAATGTAAAGGAGAATTGACCTTAACATAAAATTCCATCCAGTAGCTACACCACTTTTCCTGTTCAGGTCGGTGGAGCCGATCCCAGCTGTCATTGGGACGTCAGACTGGGATTCAAGGAACCTTCGCTGTGAGGCAACATCACTAACCACTGCACCACCACAGTGCAGCCCTCTTTAAATTAAATTGACATGTAAGGACTGAACCGTACATTACACTCTGAATCAAAAAGTTTGCAACCAATAACTCCGTATGAACAAAGACGTTCTACTCAGCTGATTTATTGTGCAGATTAAACAGTTTGTTTTTAACTAGTCATCTAGTTTGAAAAGGTATAAAAGAAATGCATAGTTTAAAAACACACTATGAAACAAAAACACACTATGCAACAAAACCATACTCAGAGAAATTCTGACAGCAACTTTATGAACTCCAGATTATATCTTACAAATACATTCTCTTTTACATCCCATCAGTTACCATGAGCAGTAACACATTCTGTGTGCTGGACTCAATCTGTCCTGCGGGACCCCCTCTTCAAGTTGCTTCATGTTCCACACAGAGATTCGATCTGCAACAGCTTTCTCCTCCCTCTTCTGAAAACTTCAACCCCAGAAGGGTTTGAAGAGATTTTTACTGTTGCAGAGTTTCACCTCAGTCAAAGAAAAATACTGTTCAGCTATTGTTCAAACCTGCAGGTCATCAAAAGAAGAAGAAGACCATCAGCTGGAGAGTCACTGCACACACATTTTAGAGACCAAAGCCACTAATGGGAAACAGGTATTTGAAACTCAGGACAATTAAAATAAATGCAAGCCTGCAGGGGTTTAATCCAGCTGTGTGCTTGTGGGAGCACGGAGCCAAAAAATCCAAATTTCATTGATGTGTGACTTTCTTGCAAAAGTCCTACAAGTAACGACATTAATGTACTGGAATCATTAAATCCTGTTTGTTTGGAATGGCTGCTTTCCAAAATGTCCGGGGCAGCTCTGAATCCACCTCGCTCCCAGGATTTAAATCCAACGCTCCTCTCTGGCAGTAAAGAACACATCTGCCATTAGTCTTTGAGAAGAAGGCTTATAATCAACTAAATAATATTTACAAGGAAAACAAAAGGCATTCTTGATCTTGCTTTCTTAAAAAAATGTCCATAAAGTCTTTGTCCTCTGGGTCCGAGACCGCAAACACAACAAGAGTCTGAGCTGCTGCATTCAGTTTGGAGTGCGGTTTGTGTTTATGGTTGGTCGGGGGGGCTGGCGGCCGCAGCCTCGTCGTTGCTGCTGTCCACCTCCTGCTCCATGGGGCTGTCCTCCTCCAGCTGCTGGCTGGTGTAGTTGGTGATCTCCAGGAAGCCGCTGGGCTCCACCACCACGTTGGACTGGCTGGAGTCCGGCAGGATGGAGTACTGAGGAATCACCTGCACGTGTTAGTCACACATTTGGGGTTTCAGTCAGTTCAAATCCCTGCTATGATCTCGTAATGTTGTTCTGTTAAACTTTATTTAAGTTAGTGTATCTTAAAAGAACGTCAGGTAATTTAAATATCTTATTTCCCGCCCATTTGTTTCAGTGGATCGGTCTAACTTCTGGGGTTTGGAATACTAAGTGGCTGCAAAGGATCATGAACGTGATATCTTTTGGAATTATTGGTTGGTTTTTGCTCACATTTGGAGATCGATGAGAAGACAGACACCACAGAAAAAGTGTGAGAACCGAGCACACGTGACGAGTATCTTCAAGCAAATATCAAAATCTCCTCAATTAATACAGAGCAAATTCTAGCTGTAAGAAATCATGGATGCCGTCGTAATTCAGATTCTTTTAGGTGATAAAATCAAAATGTACCAGGGGTGTACACTGAACATGTACTTTAAATAAACCTCTTTTTAAAATATCCAATTAAAGAATGATCATATAAAACTTCAAGTATTAAAGGTGATTTGTGACTTTATGCATCATGTTGTTCATAAAGCATTTTTTTCTCTTTTGCATCAAGAAGTAAACTAATTAAATACTTAAATGACATCAGGTGATGTATTTATCAGTGTAATCGGGATATTTAGTCGATATTGTGTTTTTATATGCAATCTGTCAGATGTTTGCGTCTCACAAATCAGGAGTGAAATAAAGATGTAAATAAAGACGAAAACTGTCAATAAGTCCAAAACGAGTCGCAGAGGAGGGAATACAAAGTTTGAACTTCCTGTGGTAATAAAAAAAGAAGCACTTTCAATGTGTTTTATTTTTTCTGAAATATTTATGAATCAGCATGTTGAAAAAAACAACGATACAAAAGCTAACTATTTTATTTACATTTTAAGACGGTTCTTTAACGACTCCCTGTTCAAGGAATTTGAATTTTAAGACACTTATTTGTTGGTTAAGTCCTTACAGGTTAATCTCAGAACATTTAAAGTGCTGTTTTATGTTCATGATTGTATGATCTTCTCTATACTTTAAACTATATAAACACTTCCACAACTAACTGCTGTTGTCTAGTTTAAAGTTCTTTTTTTGAGCTGCAGTGATCATGGCTGACTTGTAAAATAGTTTCCATAAAGAAGTTTAAATGAGAAAGGCAGACAAACATCAGCGTGTAACCTGAACTCTGGGATTTATAACATCTGTATTTTTTACCTCGATGACCTCCAGGTCCTCTTTGCTCCTCTGTGCAGCGAGGGTCGGCATGCAGCTGAACTGCGGCTGCTTAGTGTGGGAATGATGCATGGAGGTCCCGGAGCTGCTGATGAACTGGCCCGAGTCCAGCGTGCCGGACACAGCCTGAACCTCCAGAGCTTTCCCCAGAGGGCCGCAGTCGCTGGAGGAATCCACCACTACGGGCTCCGTGCTGGGGTCAATCTCCGCCTCCATCATGGAGATCTTCAGGATGTCCGACACTGAGGGCTTGTCTCCCGAGGGCCCCGAGCTGGACTCTGGGATCAGTTTGGCCGTGGCCTCGGCGCTGCTGAAGACGGGCGATGTAAGGTGGGAGCTGCCGAAGGTGATCTTTGTGACTGTGGCGCTCTGTGTGATGATCGGCTGCTGTGGGGGGGAAATATTTAAATGACAAGAGGAAAACGTTTAGAAGACCTGCCTCTGGACTATGGATGAAATGTAGCTTTTGTGCTAATTCTCTCATATTTACAAAAATGTGATTTGCTGATGTGTTGATTAACGTGTAGTGTCCTAATTCAATTAATAAATATGAATGTGTTTTATTTGTTTGTTTTGTCCTCTAAAAATGTTGTTTCTTTTGTCTGTTTTGTCTTCTAGTGTCCATTAAAGTCTTTATATGTGATTTTTCACACTTAAATGTAGAAATCAAGTATCTCCTCTGAAAATAACTCTGTGAGTCATGACTGTCTACAATGGGTGTAACACCCGAGTCCCACTGTCTGTGATGTTTTCAGAGTTTTCAGAGTCCTATCTTCAGTTTGTTTACATCGCCCGGACGGCCGGCTGACTCCTCCCCTCTCGTATAAAAGTTGTTTAATTGAGGGACTAGAGAAAAGAAGAATAACATACTGTACTCACTGCTTAACTGTGTTTCTAGATCACGCTCATTTCAGGTAAATTTACATGCAGTGTGAAGATACCAGCATAATAAAGATCGCTAGCATTAGCATGCTAACACAACAATGCAGCGCCAGTTGTTTTGGTTTCATGCTGGTGCTCAAGGGCGACATCTGCTGGATCAAAAAATCACACAAAGCCTTTAAGCCGACGTGAGCTGGGTATCCATCAGGAGCAAAAAGTTAAACTTCTACCGACGCTAACGCTGTTGCTTTTTGATAATTGCTAACCCAAATCTTAAAATCAATGAAAAGAGTTGATTGTTAGTGAGACTGAAAACTACATCAGAGCAGATGTCATACATGGTTTGAAGGGACATAAAGCAGGGCACGGCTGGAGCTGCAGCCAGCGTTGCTAACAGCTGTAAAATGATTACTCACTGCTTATCAGCCTGCGGCCTTTTCAGAGTAAACATGACAAGAGTTTCATTGTGTCTGAAAGCACAGCAGGAAAACCCCCAGCACTGCCACACAAACTGCTTACGTCAGATGCCTCAAGGGAAAAAAAACTCTGGGCTTGAATAAAAAATAAAAAAAGAGCCCTTTCTTGTACATTGTTTGTTTTCTAGTCCAGTTGGTGCATGACGGTGTTTGGTGTGTAAACTCTCACCTGGCTAGAAGCAGCCTTCTCGGTGCTGATTGGGTGATGTGCCTGCAGCGGAGGAGGGTGGGACATGGGCGTGTGAAGGGGTCTGTGGTGGGACGTGGGGCCTGCTGGAGCTTCGGGAGCTGCGGCGTCACCACTAGGGACTTGGTCGGCGTCCCCGGGCTCGTGACCTTAGCCCGGTGGATGCTGGAGCGACCACGGGTCTGTCTTTGGGACTCTGCGTTAAAACCTGGGGTTTGGGCAGACTCTGCACCAGAAGCTTTGGGAGTTTCTTGATGGGCGGGGGCATGGAGGGGAAGGTGGAGGAGGAAGAGGAGGAAGGCTGACTGATCTGCGGTTTGCTCTGCAGCTGAGGTGGAGGAGGAGGAGGAGGCTGGCTGGACGTGGAGGTGGAGGTGGAGGTGGAGGTGGAGGTGGAGGTGTGTCGGCTCTGCTCAGGCGCGGTCTGGCTCACAGGAGGAGGCTGCGCGGCTGCAGAGTGAGGGGTTTGCTTCGTGGGCTCCGGGGCTGATTGGCTGGAGCGATAAAACAAACCGGTCTGAGGGTCCAAAGTGTCGCCTTCCATCTCTGCCACCTCCAACACCGTCTCTGATTTACTCTGACTGTCAGAGGGCTGAAACACAGACGAGAAAGACCAGTGAGGGAGTGTTTTCAAGAACAGGAGAATTCACCCAAGAAGCTGACAGCTTCACTGCAGACGCAGGAAAACAACTGGAACATTTTTATAATCAAGAAGACTTCAGGGGCGGCGTGCTTCATGCATCGGGCTAATGGAGAACTTTGGAGTCTGCAAGTCTATTTAAAAATCTGAATGAATCAGTGAAAAAGATAATCAATGTTGACTCTTGGAGTCAAAAATGCCACTACACTGCGTCTGTTTGATATTAATCTAACTCTAATTTACAATTTGACCCCCCAGAAGAACTGTGATTTCTGTAGGTTTCTGTCTGCACCAACTTTTAAAACTGTGTCCCAACGTTTCTAATACATCTATAGAAAGGGAGCAACACAATTATCCCAAGGGTCATTTGTTGTATTTTTAACCCTGCATTATGTGCGCAAGTCCTTTCTCTAAAGCGTCCTCACCGTTTGGCTGACGTGTGGAACTCCCACTGCTGCTGCTGCTGCTAATGCTGCTGCTGCTGCTGCTGCGGGGACAGCAGCCGGTTTGGTTACCATGGTGACCTGGCTGGTGACGCTGCTCTTGAAGGGCTTCACCAGCTGCTGAGTGGAGGACATGACCACGTCGTCGTTATCCGTGGACACAGCCAGCCTGCTGACTTTACCTGAGCAGGGGAAGACCAGGTGTGTTGTTAAGAGGAGTGGATTACATGTGGGACAGGACAAACACACACACAAACACACAAACACACACAAACACAAACACTGTGTAAACAAGGCAACAGCAAAGATCTAGAAAAGATTGTTGTACATTTTCTTGGTACAGTAATATACAGTACTCTAAAATCAGACACTGGAGCGTCGTACTTGGTGGGATGTACTCGGTGCTGGGCTCGGCCTCTGAGGTGGAGGGTCTGGGGGACTCTGGGCTCGGCTTCTTCTCCTGGGCCAGCTGAATGGGCACGGCCATCTGACTCAGGTCGATGGTGTGCTGCCTTGGTTTGGACTCTCCCTTCTCCTTCACTGCAGGGAGAGAAAAACACAAAGTTCATTAAAATATGCAAATCTGACCAGTCATACCTGACAACCACTATTCACTCATTTATTCTGACTTGTTATCACAAGATCTGAAACACTTTTACGAGCGCTGAGACAGATAATAAGAACTATGTTTTGTCCGTTTTGTGGAAACCACCAGAGACAGTTTGTGAGTGTGTGACGGTCTCAGGAATTTTTGAAAGCACAGGGGAAAGACAGAAGGTCTGAAAGGTCATGTCCTTCAAAAGACCGTCCACACAAGACTGTCTCAGGTGGGTTCCACAAAACGGACGAAACATCATCCGGTCAAAACCAACTAATAGAGCAGTGTGTGAGTGATTCTGTCTCTTTCACAGGTTAGACTGTTTTTCCTATTTACTTGAGTTGTATACACATAACGACTTTCATTCCTGTTAATGTTGTTTGCTCATTTTTTTATTTATGTTTGTCTTGTCATTTTGTATTATGTAAAAATGTTGACTGCATCCCACTGTACTGCACTGTATGTCTTGAACTTGCTTTAATAAAAATATGTAAACAAACAAAAAAAACAACAACTAATGGGCCGCTCACTCAGTGACTTCTGGGTCACTTCAGGTGTTTGGTACACTCCCTTCAGACGTTTGTAAATTAGTTTGGTGACTCAAAAGTGTTCTTCCACTTGTAAATAAGTCTCAATCTTTGTTAAAGTGTTTCACACTTTGTTATTTTGGTTTGCACTTTCCCAGCCACCGTACTTACATACTTACTAATGAAGTCCTCGTGGTTTGAATTACAGACCTGTTTGTGATGTTAAGCTACTTGTGACACTCAAACATTCCTGCAGGTGTTTCATATTAAAAGACTACCACGGGAAAAGAAAAAAGGACTTCTGCCTATTGAGCCACCGAAAGACTCTGAATGTGAAGCATGTGGACAGGAAGTGTTGAGTTTCACCCAGGTTATTAACCACAACTTTTAACTCTGTGACTCAGTCCTGGGGTAGCACCCTTTGAAGGACCCGGTCTTCTGATCCTGCGTACTCACAAAAACTCTTCTTGTATCCGCTACAAACACTCCTGTAATGATCCCTACATTTATGTCTCTTTATAGTTTGTCTATGTACATCGTATCTGTCCCTATCAAATTAACCAGTAATTAATAAATAATAGCCCGCGCAGGCCCACCTGAAATGAGACGTCCTGGTCTACAGAGGATCTGTTTCTAAGTCCTGCTCCTGTTGCCTGGCAACCTCAACAGCTGCACAGGAACCAGGTAACTTCACCTTTTATTCTAACGATAATTTGAAGTGTCAAGGCCCCTCAAGAGTCCGAAACATGTTTTTCAAATTTGTGTGCAATGAATCTTAAAATATGTTTGGTTGCACCGGATGGATGCTTTGTCGGCTACTTTTGAAGGAACCTTCGGTGCGCCGCTGTGACGCAATCTGTCTTCAGATGTGACCTCTGAAGGATGCAGACCCTGCATCAGGACATAACTAACATCTTCCTCCTATGCTGTTCTTTGGTATGGCAACTGACAGGTGTGTAAAAGCACTATAGACGTTTATAATGAAATAAAACCATTAATATATTACACTCATCACCTAATGTTGAAATTCTCAATTCATTTGTTTGAGTTATTTTTCTATTCTGGAAAAAGTCAAAACTCTCAGATTTAAGAAACTTTAGTTTAAACTCTGTGACATCAGACTGAATGTATTTACGTTGTGGATAAAACCAGACTTTTGAGGGAGTGATGTTTGGGAACACCGATCGGCTTTTTTTTATAATTTTATGACATCTTTTTCCGAGCAAACAACCAAATGATTGATTTTGAAGTTATAGAGCGATATGCAGACAATTAAAGCAATGTTTAGTTTGCAGTCTTAGTTCGACACATGTTTCCTGAAACACTGCAGAAATGTTAAGTCCCAACTGTCAGCAAACAAATCTAAATCTAAATATATCCAAATATAGTAGAAAAGAAAAACAGGGAAAAGTCTGCGTAACCTTTACTCTCAATAAAGGACAGGTTGTCTGTTTAGATCAATTAAAGCCTTTTTAACTGTGATGTTTTGAGTTTATACAAAGAGATCACAAGCGTCAGACAAAGTGAAATGTAATTGGCTGTTCATTATTGTTGATTTAAGACTGAGTCTAAAAAATGCTCATCTAATCATCTACCCGGTTCTGCAGGTTTGTAGTCCAATGAGATTGTTGTGATGTCAAACCGTCAGGAAGTGTAAAAACATAACGACTGTGAGCCGCATGCTTGTTTGTCGTCTGGCTCGTTGGCTCTCTTTCCACATGACGACATGAAAGGCTCACCTGTTGTCTGCTGCAGCTCCAGCAGGGCTTTTATGGTGGAGGTGGCAGACTGGGATTCCCCTGCAGACAGCTCCTGGTAGATGATAGTGGGGCTGGACTCCACGGAGACTTCCTGCTCTGTCCAATCGTGCTCTCTGGAGGAGACCACGTGCACTACAGGCTGAGGCTCTGAGGAGTGACGGGACAATGTGACAGAACTTAACAGGCTGGGGGGAGAGAGAGAGAGAGAGAGAGAGAGAGAGAGAGAGAGAGAGAGAGAGAGAGAGAGAGAGAGAGAGAGAGAGAGAGAGAGCACTGTCTCAAATCGCCGGTAGCCTAGAGGTTAGGGTGCACGCCCCCATCTACAGAGGCCCACTTAGAGGCTACAGTCCTCTAAGTGGAAGGCCTGGATTCAAATCCCACCTGAGGCTCCTTTTCCTACCTTTTATTCCCCCCTCTAGAGAGAGAGAGAGAGAGAGAGAGCGAGAGAGAGAGAGACAGAGACAGAGAGAGAGACAGAGAGAGAGAGTGAGGGCAAGAGAGAGAGAGGCAGAGAAAGAGAGAAGGAGATAGAGAGAAGCAGAGAGAGACAGAGAGCGAGAGAGAGAGAGAGAGACAGGAGAGAAAGAGAGAAGCAGAGAAAGAGAGAAGCAGAGAGAGAGAGAGAGAGAGAGACAGAGAGAGAGAGAGAAGCAGAGAAAGAGAGAAGCAGAGAAAGAGAGAAGCAGAGAGAGACAGAGAAAGAGAGAAGCAGAGAAAGAGAGAAGCAGAGAGAGACAGAGAGAGAGAGAGAAGCAGAGAAAGAGAGAAGCAGAGAGAGACAGAGAGAGAGAGAGAGAGACAGGAGAGAGAGAGAGAGAGAAGCAGAGAAAGAGAGAGAGAGAGAGAGAGTTGTTCTTACCCTGAGCGCTGCTGTGGGAGGTCTCGCCCGCCGAGCTGCTGGTCTCGTCCTTCGTGGACCCGTCCTGTCCCGGGGTCTGACCCTGCCCGATGTCAGCTGAGCGGCTCACCTGCTGCAGGGTCTCTGTGACCATCTGTCTGGTCTGCTCGACCAACGCCGCCTGGAAGACCGGCTTCGGCTTGATGAGAACCTGGATGGAGAAAAAACACAAAGAATGATTTCTAGTGTTCTGTTGAACAGGTGATCTACATCTTCTTCGACTGAAAGGGAAGTCCCACCGACCAATCAGACGAGCTCGTGTTCCTTTTTAATTAAGCCAACAAGTTTGGAGGTTTTGATTCCAGGCAAGGACAGCACCTCGAGTGGACGTGTGTGGGGAGAGGTTTGAGAACGGCCCAGGGAGAGGAGGATGACATGCAGGGAAGGAGCCAGAGGTCAGATTCAAACCCGGGTCGCCAGCTTTGTGGACAACGGTCTTTGTACACGGGGCCGGGCAAAATAACCACTAGGCCAACAACGTCACATTTTACTGCTTTGCATGACTAGTTGGGTTCAAGTTATAAATGTTAACATAAAAACCTTTTTTAGACTTCTTTGAGTCTCTCTATTTGAAAACCTGTAAAAATATTAAAGAAGCTGGGGGCGCTGATGGCCTAGCGGTAAGGTCGCGCCCAGGTTCAGTCCAGGTTCAAGTCCGACATGACACCCCTTTCCACATGTCCCTCCCCACTCTCTCTGTCTTCTGATTTCCTGCTCTACGCATCGTCCCGTCTAAATAAACTTTTTAGCAGCGGCCTCTTCTAGAACTTTTAAGTGTTTGAAAATGTTTTCACCCACGTTTCATTTTGAACTGTGACGTGATTTTCAGACGAGCCGTTTCTATTTTTAGCTGGTTTGTGGTTGACGACACGGCGGCTCGTCACTGCGGGTCCAGTACAGTGCGTGTACTGTACACTGAATACTACACATGACTCACAGACCACAAGTTCCCCTCCAGGAGAGAAAAGAGGAACTGAAGCCGTGCTAAATTTAGAACGTAGTGAGGACTCTCATGAAGCTATGACGTACTGTTGGTGAATGAACTGGAAGAAAATCAGAGGACTATTGATGACGTTTTTAGACTTTTTGAAATACATTAAATGTTCATTAAAAAACAAATAGTTAATCTAAGAGATACTAGCATCCTTCACCTTTACACAACATGCTTTGAGTGTGCAACAAAGTAAACACCTGGAAACCAGTGTGATGGAATTCACCCTAACCTCTATATCAAAACACTAATTTATATAACATTTAAATTCGCCCAAATAGATTTAAAAAGAAACACTGGGGGAGATTTTAAACCGCTATCACCTACATTCTTTAAATTCACTAAATACACTTTCAGATCTCACATCAGGCAGCGTCACAAGTATTTGAAATGTCTTCTTTTGTATTTAAAAACAGATGTAAAAAAGTCCCCAGGAACTGAAAAATCACCGATAGTAGTTTTTTTTTATTCTTCAAATGTATTAAACAGTGGCTTCTATCAGGTGACAGCGCTGAGCTTTTATTACACATTTCAGAGACGAGACAATCATAATTACAGCTTTGTTTATTGACATTGAACCAAACATTTAGGAAGAAGCTGAAGAGGCTAAACGGCTAGACGGCCATGACATCATGTAACAGCGCTCCAGTCTGCGGTGATGTAACGCACGCCTGCTCAGAAGCTGAGTCACGTCTCATTTGACGCTGAAAGTTCTTCTGGGCTGTACCACTTGTTGCTGTTTTTTTCTTTGTTAGATTTATTTTGGGTCTTTTTATGCCTTTATTTTAGATACAGGACAGTGGATAGAGTCAGAGAGAGAGTGGGGAATGACATGCAGGAAAGGAGCCAAAGTAGGACTCAAACTCAGTCGGCCCGCTCGAGGACTTAAGCCTCTGTACATAGGGAGCATGCACTAACCGCTAGGCTACCGGCAGCCTTTCTCCACCAATTTGTTTTTGCCTCTTTCACTTAATTTGTGCAGCTTTATTGTTTGGGTGCAGCTTTATCACCCTCATGTGCATCCAATATTTTCCTGATTCTTCCAAATATGACAATATTTAAGATTTAATAGGATTATTCATCAGCATTTTCAGTTTGGATATTTGTATTTTTTATTGACTGGATATTTTTTACATTTTAAGGGAATCATTCTTCGATCTGCACACGGAACATTGATAATGTGTGTCTAAATCTGGTTCTAAGTGGAGTTTGTGACACAAAGCCTCTTTTTTTGTTATATTTTTTATTTGGGGGCCTTCATTGGAGAGATAGGACAGTGGATAGAGTCAGAGTGAGTTGGTTGCATGTAAATGAGAATAAAGATTGACTACTCATTACTCATTTGACAATTAATTATTTTGAAAAATCTCAAAACTTTTTCTTACATTTTGTATTTGTAAAATAAAATTTGGGTTGGGTTCTGGAGGGTCTCTGGATCCTCACCTGCTACCAGTTCAATTTTTAAACTTGATCTGTTCGCAGGAGAGGTGCCAGTTGGCCGCCTGGGCACAGCCGAGGCCCCCAACCCCCAACTGCTCGGGCGCTCTTACTTGTGCATTTTCCATTGAAACATGTTCCTGTTCCAGGTTCCTGTTTGTGCACGTGTGTGTGTTCCTGACCTGTGTGTGTGTTAGCATATCTCAACAACAGAGTGAAAAAAATGAATTTCCCCCTCAGGGATTCATAAAGTATAACTTCTTCCTCTTCAAACAAAGACAGTTTGATGTCTACACAGGTATATGTGTGCTGAAACACTTTCACCATAATTATTCTTTAAGGTGATATTATGTCTGTTTTTGATCTGCTGCAAAAAGTGTTCCAAAGATCAGTGAATACTTGTTAAATAATAAAAAGAAAGTAGAAAGTAAGACTGGATTTGACGGCCGTTCACCCGCCCGGCTTTTTGTCCTCAATTAATTAAAAGACTTGTTGTTCTGTGCAAAAAGGGGAAGCAGGTGGAGGAAGAGGAAAGGTCAGTGTTAAAGCCCCTTTATTCAACCATCCGCCTACAGAAACAGGGATTTTCCTCTGCCATGTGCACAGAAGCATGATTTTTTATTTGACTGAATCTTTTGTGAAAACATCCAGTTTAGGAGTTATCAGATTAACAAATGCAGGAGAGAAAGAAAACATGCAATTTGTTCTCTTTCAGAACACATTTGTTGTACAACGATGTCCAGCTAACATCCAGTAAAGCATCTTAAAGGTGACATATCCTCCTCTTCAGTGTAAATAAGTCTCAGAGCTCCTAAAAACATGTGTGTGAAGTTTCTTGTTCTAAATCCACTCTGATCCTGTATTTGATCATGTCTATACACCCCTCTATTTCAGCCCTGCTCAGAACAGGCTGTTTCTGTGTCTGTACCTTTAAATATGTAAATGAGCTGTGTCTGACCACGCCCCCTCTCTGGAAGGGCTCAGGTTTACTCTGTGCTTTCTCGCTCCATGTCTTATTGTTTACGGTGAGAAGGCAGACTCAGAGGGCAGAACAAACACCTAGCTGTGGGAGTGTCACCCACCTGGGGGAGGGGCTACTGCCCTTTGTGATGTCATGAAGGGAAAATCTCCAAACGGCCTGTTTGAGCACACACTTTCTGAAAAGTGGAGCAGGCAAAAGATGGAGAGGATGGATTTTACTCATCATTGGGGGTTTTTAGACGGACTAGAGACACATTAGTTTTTGGAAAAACATGGCATTTTGCATAATGTTAGAGCCATTTGTGTGTTCAGTATGTATGTGTGCTCTGTGGTAGTTCCTTGTGGTCACAGTAGGGGGCAAATTCACTTTGGTGTTGGGAAGGTTACAAGTAGAGGAAGAGTTAATCACGGACAGGTGAGCAGCCCACCGTGAGAGGCACACAGTTTTTGACCGCTGTTGAAATATATCGTGAATGGAACATTTATCCTGGCTTTGTTTTACATTGAAGTTATAGTGGAATAAGAGTATGTAGACAACCAGATTATGTATTGTAAACGAACGATTCGATAAACCCGTTTGAGTGTGACAGCACAGAGTTGATTGAATTATTGCCACGAAACACGGAAACAACGCCTCAATTAAGTACGATAGGCTCTCAGCCCCTCAGTGGCTCAGACTCTTTGATAAGCAAGATCAAGCCACTACACATAATAAGTAACCTTTAAGAAAAAAAGAACCCTTGTGGTGAATGAATGTCACTCACAAGGTCATATGAATATCAACTTGATGTCATATGATAAACTGATTGTCTTGTGGTTCACCAGGGTCGAATGGTTTTTAATTCAGTACACTAAAGCTACTATTAGAAGACAAATTCAGCCTCTGGCGTCTCTCAGTGGTGAATAGGAATAGTTACTGTGTGAAGTGTGTGTTAATGTTAGACCTGGTGTCATTGGTTGTATGTGCAGTTTGTTTTTGTATTTTATGCTGTTTTTGGCATTTCTGATCTACATTGGGATGTCTTGATGTAATACATGATTGTTGAATTAACTGTTAATTCTTGTGTTTTTCTCCTCATTGTAAAGCACATTGAGCTCATGTGTAATGAGATACTTGAGTTTAATCCAATCAAAATAGATTATTCATGAGGTGTAGATCACAGGTATGATACCGTACTTTTCATTCAAAATTTGAGATTTATGTTTGTTTGTCTTTCTTAACTTTATTGTTTGTTTGAATGAAATAAAATATACAAATAAAAAAAAAAAACTAAAAGACAAGGAAAACTAAAAGAGAAAAATCTCACCTGAGTCTTTCCCTGCTGGCCGTAGACGATCTTGGTCGGGATGATCTTGGTGGCGGTGGTCTGGGATCCGGAGCCCATGCCTTTGGGCTGGGTGACGATCATCTTGGTGATGGGTCTGGAGGCGGTGATGATTGCTGGTTTGCTCCCCGTGACAGCCTGCAGACCCTTCTCACCCTGAGGAACAACACAGGGCAAAGACTAAGACCACAGCACGTCTGATTGGACGCAGCGGCTGCATCACTAAGAAAGGTCACGGAGTGATTGTTCGACTGACCCCGGCGTTTAGAAGTGTGGTGACCACGTTCTTGCCCGGCAGCCCCTGGATGGTCGCTCCTTTCCCCGTGGTCTTCTGAACCACGATGACGTTTGGCTTGGAGGTCATGGGGATGGTGGTGATCTTAGTGGTCGTTCCTGAAGGAGAGAAAAAAATATTTTAATTAAACTAGAACTGATCTTAACTCGGGACGGGGATAGAAACTTGGTTTTATTAAGGACCTGGTTCTGCATATTTCAAAACCTAAAATCAATAAAGTCTGAGCTGAATCCGTACTGCTGTTGAGTCTGATTGGTCCTATAAGGTTAAGATATATCTCATATTTTGCTGTGCTCAAATGCAGTACATGGACTGTCTAAAACATGCAGGTCAATTTATCTTGCAAAATCACTTCTGCAAGGAAGGATACAACCTCCATGCATGGCCCGGCACATCAGCACTGTGCATCAAATTAAATCAAAATGCAGAAAATTAGACTTTCTTCAGGTCGAACAAACTCTGTTAACTCTGCTGCTGCCGACATTTATTCTCCTTCCAGACTCACAAACTTTGCAGCAAGTCCCCGTTAGTTTTAAAGTAAAAATCCAAAGTTGAAATCTGTGTTGAAGTTGGCAGGATAAAAGCTAGCTTAGATATCTAACATAACACCGTGACAAATAGGCTACATTTTGATGTGTTCAAGGTCGGGTCAGCAAAGGTGAATAAAAATGGTAAATAAAACGTCATCATGATGTGTTTGTAAAGACAAGAAAAAGACAATTTAAGTTAAGGCCAGAAAAATTAAGAAATCCAGATGTTTGGAGGATAAATTTGTTTGTTTTCTTACAGATGGAATTACGACTTGTTTCCCTTCCCACTCATCTCGTCTTTCCAAAAGAATTGATAAAGGTATCGATAAAGATTCAGATCATTCAGGAGTCTTGATATCAATAACAAATACACCCTCCCCATCCCTGAGCTCAACTCAGGAGCAGAGATGATTTCAAATCACATCGATCATTATCGACCTATCGGGGAGACTCACCAGAGACGATGTTACTGCTGATGATTTTCCCGCCCAGAGTGGCCAGAGACTTTGGCACCACCGTGATGATGCTGCCGCTGGTGGTCTTCACGTAGGTGGTCCCCCCGCTGGAGGCTGTGATTCTGGCTCCGATGCCCTGGCTAACGGTGGGTCTGGTGTAGGTGGCCTGGGAAGCTGCGTACAAACATACAGCGTTACTTTCTGAGAATGAGGTCTGGGTGTTAAACCTTTGAATTAATACAGACTGGACAGTGTTTCTGTCATCAAGGAATTACGCCCGGTCGCCCCCGGTTACCAGCTATGACATAGGAACAACTACTAAAGGAACTTAGTTTACTGGATGGTATTTGAGGTTCATGGTTTTCGGCTGCCTTCAGATTTTGAGTCGCTCACCTGTGGACTGCGTGACCAGTTTGGTTGTCATAATGGCTCCGTTGCTACTGACGACCATGATGGGGGACGAGCTGCTGCCGGACAGAGCCACTGACGACGGCTTGGGAAGGATTTTGCTTGGCTGAACCTGCTGAGTGATTATCTTCACTCCTGTGGAGGAAACAAAAAAACTGATTTAATCCTGCAATATAATCACGTTGAGCTTTTCTTATGCTAACACTTAAACGAGGAAGATAATCTAATTATGTGTATGTTTTAAAAGACTCAGACAGTCTTTGGTGAGTCAAATGTGTTAATAAATGGTTTACGAGCAATAATTCATACTGGTGCAGAAATATTCAACTTTAATTTTACACACAAGAAACCCAACATCCTGCAATATATTGATGCCAGCCATTAAGCCTAACATTTTTTAAGCTTTTACTTCCAGGGATAAAACTACAATTATGTACATATGTATGAAATGTAAGAAAGTAATGTGTACAGAGAAAAAGAGAGATAAAAATATATAAAGAAGGAAAGAGAGAGACAGATTAAGAAAGCAAACATGAGAAAAAGGACAAAAGAATATCAGATTCGATGTAAGGATGCAGAGAAATAAATAAAGATTAAACATTTAAAAAAAAGTGTTGTCATAATCTGCAGAACTAAAGAGGAGACATGTCTGACATTTCCTGTTTTTTCAAATGATCTGACAATCATGTGAAGGTGAGTGAGAAGGGTAAGTATCCTGGACATTTCATTACAGATCAAATGAAGGATGATGAAGAAATCTAAAGACAACGGCGTATGTCTGATGTATGTTCAGACAAATACTCTGAGATACAGATAAGAGTGCAGGTGACCTGGTACCCCGCTCTATACTGCCCTCTTGTGGTCTAACTACAATAAAGCGAGCTTGCATTACTTTAAGTAGCAAACAATGATGCAATGAGAAACTTGATAGAAGACCTCAATGGTGAAGCTCCAGTGAAATATTTGTGGCTGCAGGCTAAAACGCTGGAAGCCAGCTTTAAAAAAACCTTAATTATAAATGTATTTGTCGGCTCATTAACTCAAAATGAGATCACCCTGGCTTTGTGCAGCACTACACGCCATCACTCCAAGATATGGAAACACTGGTACAATTGTAAACCTCTTCAGTGATTTCTATACCGTGCACTGCGTTCATGTGTTTTGAAACTGTGCTTTGAAGTTGGTTTATTTTTCTATTGTTTTATTTGGACCCTGAGTCTAAAATAAAGTTCTGATTGGTTGAGAGAAAGTAATGAAAATGAAGCAGTTGCTGTAGGGACTTGAGTTGGGAATTGGAGGGTCGCCGGTTCATGTCCCAGTGTGGACCAAAATATTGAAATTGGTCTGGTAGCTGGTGAGGTACCAGGGCACTTCTCGGGTACTGCCGAGATGCCCTTGAGAAAGGCACTGAATCCCCCAACAGCTCTGTGTAGCAGCCCCACTCTGACATCTCTCCACTAATGCATGTCCACAGAGCCTGTTTATGCATGTGTATGGCTTGGGCCTATGTGTGCGTGGAGCATGTCTCCCAAAACTAGAATTTCCCTCAGGGGTTTATGAAGTGTGTAAAATATTTGTTCAAAATAAAATCAAAGAGAAAATGACAGACAAAGAGAAAAGAGGAGGAAAGCAAAGAATGGATAGAGATGGTTGGAGAAACAACAGAATAAAAATGAAATCAAAAAAAAAGACAGATTCATCAGGGTAGTTGGTCTCACCTGACTCCTGTTTGATCTGGATGGTGGGCTTGGATCCGGGGGAGCTGCCGGTGGTCTGTGTCACGCTGACACTCGCAGCACCTAAAGGTGAGCCCTGCTGCAGCTGTTTGGGGGACTGCTGTTTGGGGAACTGGGCCAGATCTGAGCGGTCGAGCCCACCATGGTTTTAGGGGAGGGGAGTCGGGCCGACGCCACCTTCACTCCGGCTGAACCAGAACCTACAACAAAAAAAACAAAAAACAGATTAAAAAAAGACAGTGAGACTTCACAGAACGCTTTAGGAGAGGCTGCTGCTCACCTTGACACAAACACATCTTCTCAAACGTGTTGCCAAGACAACCTGATGGTCAAAGCGGTACACTAACAGGCTCATCTTTAAAACAGAGTAATCAGGATTGTCTTTACACGTTGATGTGTTTGGATGAAAAAAATGACCTACACGATGAGACCGTCGACATGACCACAGAGGGAGTGGAGGAGACCACTGTGGTCACTGCGACGGTGTTTGCCGGGCTGGAGCTGGCCGGGAACACCACGGTCTGTTTCTGTGTGGGCGCCGTCAGGATGGAGGAGGACACCAGCTTGGACAGAGCGGCGTTGTTGTGAGACTTCGACAGGATGTTGGGGACAAAGTTGGAGCTGGGAGACGTCGTCACGATGATCACCTGAAAGAAGACGACACATTTAATCCTCGTTTAATTATTCAGAAAGGTCATAGAAGGTAAAGTGAAAAGTCTCCTGCACCTTCTGCGTGGTGTTGCTGGTGGTCTGGATGGTGGGCTTGGTGAAGGTGATCTTGACCGGGGACAGGTGCGGCGGCAGCGAGTTGGCGATGCTCTGCATGATGTTGCTCATCTTGGGGCTGCCGCTCACAGGCACCGTGATGCTCTTGGACACCTGCGGGGACACTTTGGTCATCTCCTTCAGAATCACCGGCGACGAGCTGGACGAGTTGGTCCGCCTTCTCTTGCGCGGTTTCTCGTCTTCATCAGAACAGCTCACACCTGTGAGGAAGAGGGGGGGCGGAAGTTCAGTATATGGAAATGTTATATGGACTAAAATGATCAGAAACACTGGACTTTAAGATCTTTTTTTTTTCACTTCACCGTCTGTGAAGCTTCTTGTTATAAATCCACTCTGATAATTAAGACCTTATGGTTTATAAATCTCAATCCAAGCTGCTTTAAAGTCTCCGGTGTGGTAAGAATCAATCAATCAATCAATTTTATTTGTATAGAATGAATGAATCATGTTTCCTGTGGTGCGTCTACGTCGTCATAAACTTAAAAAAATATATCAGTTTCCATCACGGCATTAGTTTACTTCGTTTTTGTTTATTTTACACAAATGATTCAATTCAATAAGTGCGGAGTAAAAAGCCCTTTATCGCCCCCTCCAGGCTGTTTTCGGCACTGTTAAAAAAAAATTAAATACGCTTTTTCTCCTAGAATGTATCAATGTATGAGACAAGAAAACATATTTATATTTTCATTTCATTGTACAGTGTTCCCCTTTGTTATTTTTTTGTATTATATCTTTGCTTTAATACAGTGTATAGCTTCTGTACAGTTTATTTTAATTTACTTAGCTGTTATTTTTTTTATTTGTACTTTTCTACTCTCTTTCTTCTAATGCGATTCTATTTTATATATAATTTAAACTTTTTTTGGAGAAGCTGACTTAGGGAGAAACGCACAAAAATTCCAATGTACAGTACCTGTGCAAATGGCAACAAACATCTATTCTATTCTATTCTTTTCTGTATCAAATGTTCCCTTAAAGAAAAAATACATTCATTGTTTTGTGGGGAAAATTATTTGAAATTTTCTCTCCCTTTGTTTTCAAATCTACAATAAGGAACTCTCTGTTTGGTACCGGCCTGTTTTTCTTTTTGACAATTAAAACCTTTTCTGTTCTGTTTGTTTCCCTTTCAGTTAATGCTCTTACACTTCTCTTTCCACAGCTACCAAAACCAGCTCATGTTAGTTGTTGTTGTACTCGCCTCCCTCCGCTGGCTCCCTAGCCCCCTCTTGTTCATCAGAGCTTTTAACCCCTTACACCCCAACATGATCACTCAGCTCCTCTGAGCAGTCTCTCCTTGTCGTCCCTCGAGTTCAGCGTGAACTCGGGGGCCACCGCGCCTTCTCAGTTGTTGACCCCGTTCTTTAGAATCAAACCTTTTTTTATGTCCTTCTTAGTTGCTGTTTTTGTTTTTACATCTTGTCTGTAAAGCACTTTGATCAGCTGATGCTGCTTTTAAAATGTGCTATACAAAAAAATGTTTTTTCTGGACTCCTTCTACCGTTTCAGGGTCATACTTTATTAATCCTGAGGGGGAATGTGTTCCTTACAGTTGCTCTTCAACACAACACAGCAGTCGTAAACATGGAAATATGAAATCTCTAAATTGAAGTTTAGATTGATTTTAAAGGCGCTGACACTCACTCTTCACATAGACCGTGCTCCCGCTGGGCAGCACCACCACGTTGGATGAAGGACTGGGTGGTCGTGGTGATTTCACCGTCGCTCCGATGGTGCCGCTGGTCGCCGTGGCGCTGGTGGAAGTGCCGGTGGTGCTTGTGTAGGAGTAACAGACCACCACTGCGGGGGGAAGGACATTAAACGTGTCATTCGACTTTATGTCTATTTTAAAGCATCTTCAACTGTAACGTGAAGAGAAGCTGACCGACCTTCTTTGTTTCCGGTCTCAGCTGGCAGTAGAAGAGAAGCGTTCTGATTGGCTGTGGCACTGGCTACAGCGTTAGCAGTGACAGTGAAGGCTGTCTGAGGGACCAGCCTTGGCATCAGGGGAACCAGCCGGCGTCCTTCAATGGACCATTTAGACGAGCTGTTAGGACCCGACACGCTGCAAAAGAGGACATGTTACTTCCACTTAAACAATGCATTTAAAAACATAATATGTAGGAATTCATTTTGGTGCACTTTGAGACTTAAGGTCTCTGAGTTGCTCTGTCGTTAAACGCACAGCGCTGTTACGCCTCCCTCACTACTCCCCCTCACAGACAGCGTGCATTCATTAACAAGCAGAGGAGCGGTGCTGTGAGATGCTGAAGACACATCAGCAGACTTACTAAGTTCAGTAATATTACTGGATTTTGGCAAATATGACTCTGCTAGCATCTTCAGTTCGATGTAGAGACAACTTTTAGTGTAAGATGGATTTGAGTTAAGACGACTTTCTGCACCCAATAAAGCTGCTCAACATGAGACTACGGTGACACTGATAACGATAGAGCCCATCATTACGTCACAATCTGTGATGAATATCTGCAGGGATGGACACTCTGCTTCTTACTCTGTCACTCTCTCTTTCTCTTCTTGGGTTCTTGGATGGTGAACGGTTCGATCTGTGGACATGGTAGAGACTCTTCTCTGCCTGTTTGAAGTTTTTGTGCCAATAGACCGACTTTGAAACGACTCCTTTAAGAGGGAAAAGTTAGAGATTGTTGCTTTAAAGCATTTTTCTTCACTTTAAGTTAATGAGACCCAGCGTGTAGCAGCCACTTTCTGGTTGTTTGTTGTTTTGCATTTGTTTTTGTTGTTGATGTTTGTGAACACCAGGGGGCAGTGGGCACCTTGCCAAGCACATGGGTTGATTAGGTTTAAATGTACCAGGTGTGTCACTGTTGGGTGATGCACCAGGATTGGACACAGGTTTTTTTACCACATGTCAATGAGACAGGTCAATGAATGCAGTTGGAAATGTTTGTATGTCTAAATTAAATGAAGAAACAAGAGATCCTGACTGGACATTGAACTTATTGCGTGCGTAAGGCCTCACTGGAACGGTGCATCAGTGGCTGTTTGTTGAGTTTATGTGGTTTGTTTATAATTGTAACTTAAGTTGGTTTTTTTGGACAAATAGCCACAATACAGCGTACTCCGTTTGAAGAGAAGATAAATAAATCATCAAAAGTATCAGCTGATTCCATGTGCTATGTTCCTCTACAAACTGAGAGGTGCTGCATATGAACAACACAGATTCACACTTACTGGTATGCGATGGTGGTGAGGCGTTCATCATTGACAGCTCTGCGGACCTCTGCACGATGGCGCTCTGTTGAGATACTGCGATGGGGAGGACAAAATGAAACGGCACATTTTTCAAAGAACAAAATATTTAGAACTTGTCGTTGAATTTTAAGAGATATTTACCCAAGGATTTTGGTGAGCTCTCCCAGCAGATCCTTCTTGTCTTTGGTGAGATCTCCCTGGGCTCGCAGGGCGCTGATGACCCCGGCATACGCCTCCAGCTCTGCAGAACAGAAACACACATGAAACACCAGAATTACTAACACGACCCTGTTCATCGAGCAGAGCAGTCAACCTCAATGCTCAGTGATCCTTTCCGAGACAAAGAAGAGCTTCACAATAAGACTGTTAACCTTGACAACTTTACGAGATTAATGAGATGAGTTCAATCAGAAAAAAACCCAGATAACGTGTGCTTGAATAATTTAAAAAGATATATATTTGGGGCTTTAATTTAGAGACAGGACAGTGGATAGAGTCAGAAATCAGGGACATAGAGAGAGTGGGGAATGACATGCGGGAAAGGAGCCACAGGTCGGATCTGAACCTGGGCCGTCCGCTCCGAGGACCACAGCCTCTGCACATGAGGCGCGCACAAACCACAAGACCACTAGAGCACCCTCATCCTGTATTTCATTTGTATTTTATTCACTTACCCAATTTACGGAGAATTCTTTTGCACTCGTCCCTGCCCAGGTCGAGGATGGTGGGCCACACCACCGGCATGGTACCAGGCAGCACGGGTTTCTCCAGCTGAATCATGGTCTGAGTGAAGAGAAGCAAACAAACCGTCTTGTTCCTCTTAAATATAAATTAATAAACACATAATTTACTACAACAGCTGTTCTACATAGTTGAGAATAACAGCAGGGTGTATTAAGGATCCTACAACTTCAGGTCCTCAGATATCCTAGAAATACACACAAATATTTGAAACCCAGAGCTGTGGTGTTATCGTGAACTGCACCAAAGGCCAACTATCTTTTAAAACTGTCATCACAGCTTTACAGTCAAATTGATTCTGTAATATCTGCACATGACTATATTTATTTAAACTTAATTGAAATGTACTCAGCCAATCAGCAGAACTCTACCAACTGGCAGCCTAAATTTAACACATTATTGAAAGGATCTAGGGTCGTCCCGAAACCAGAATTTTAATATGATACCAATTACAAAATCAAACAATATCTGTTTAGATAGCATATTTATTATCATATATTATTGTTTTGATATATTTATATTCATTTCATTTATTTATTGTTTTTCAAAGTGTGCAGAGTTAAAGTTTGAATGTGATGCAGTTGTTGTAAAATCAATGAGTTATCGTGTTTAATAATCGTTAACTTGATATCAATCCAAATAATCAGGATTATTATTTTTGCCATAATCGAGCAGCCCTAGATAGATAGACTTTATTTGGCATGGACATCACTGATTGGACGAACCAGATTTATTGTTTAAGTGTTTTAGCAAACAGACTAGATCTCAACACCTGTCCAGATAGATAGATGATAGATGGATAGATGGATAGATAGATACTTTATTGATCCCGAGGGAAATTCAAATCATCCAGTAGCAGGTTACAAAGACGTACATGAAACATTTGTTACAAATTAACCACAAAACCGACGCCCCCCCCCCCCCCCTCCCCTCCATACATATATATTAACCTGAAAAGAGATTTAAAGAATAACTCTAGATGAATCAAACTTAAACTGTGCAATTAAAAATAGATTTATACAAGAAATGTACATAACCCGTGCAGGGATAAAAATATATGTGACATGTAAACAAGAACCTATAAACAGTTGAGGAAAAAGAATCTGTAATCAGACCTGAATATAAAAAATAAAAAAGTGTTGTTGTGTTGTTTATATATGTACAGCAATGTTTAAATAACATTAAATAACAGGCAGTGCTATTTCAGTAACTGAGTGTCCCACTAGAGGCTGACTCTTGGGACAGCTGTGCAGATGGAGAAATGGAAAAAGGAAGATTTTAATCCAGGTGTGCTGCTTTCCACCTGACGTAACCGTGAGGTGTTCACGGACGTTTGACCAGGGGGACAAAAGAGCTCTGAAGTCTGTGAAACAGATCGTTAGTCTAATTATTTTGGCAACTCAGACGACACCTGTCATTAAAACATTAATGAGCACAGGTGTGTACATAGGTTAAGATAAGAGCTCCTGCAGATAACAACAAAGTGAGTTTATTGACCACCAGCTGGGCCTCTCTGTCATCATGGGGGCGTTTCAGGCCAATCACGGACAAAAGTGGATTTTTATTCTATTTAAATGCTGCCTAGATATCAATGTACAAATCAGAAAGCAGCTGAATGCTCTAAAAAATATCAAACACATGAATCTGTGCTCATTGTCCCTGAAAATATGGAGAAGAAAAGATGTAAGCGTTTTGTTTATGGGTCACAGCGGGGGTCCTCATGACCCACAGCGGGAAGAAACACAGACAAAAACATCGAAACATGTCTGATAAATACTCAGAGCAAGCCACGACACGTAGAAAAGACTTGTATATTTGTTAAGTTGCTGATAAAACCTCAAAGAGTGTCAATAAAGAGTGTTAGCTTAGCTGAACTAATGTCTTACCATCGGTTAGCAGCGAAACTTCAGATCCAAACAAACATCGCGAACCATAAAAAGAGACCTTTAGCTAAGCGGCCGCATCTTCAAAATGTTCTCCGAAAAAATACAGCGACTGGAAAGTGAAGCTTAAGCTGCTGGAATAGTCCGATCGCTGCAGTGTTTATGTTTACGGCTAACTAGCAGCGGCTGGCCTGCGGATGTGGATGGATGAGTTTCTTCTTCGTGGGATTTGTGACGCTCGATGCGATGCAGGCTCACTGCTGCCACCTACAGGTAGATTGTTAAAGTAATTAAATAAGCGATTAATTAAATCACGACACAGACACATTTTTTTCTATACAAATTAGTGATTGGGAGCTTAAATAATAACAACAAAAAATGTTAATCATAGGAGCCCAATATCGGGAATTTTTTATTTCCTACCAAATTGATGTTTTTTTCTGCTATTTAGACAGTGTGCAGGAGTTTGCCCTCAATTTTGTGATGGATTTTCAAACATGTGGTGTAGAATAAGTATCACGGTACTGAACATCTTGAAAAGCTTAATAAGAACAAAAGACGTCACTTGAGGACATATTATGTTCTGAGTGGTTGAAAACATGTATCTTATTATTCACAATACCTCATTAAATAATAATATACGTGATAGACCTGTACAATGTGCGTATGGCATGTCTTTGCATGTAAATATTGTATTATTATTATTATTATTATTATTATTATTATTATTATTTAGCATCAATATATATACATATATACTGTTCATTCTATATATTTTATTATATTATTGTATTAGTCTATATTATATAACATTTCATTATATTACACTATATTATATTATATTATATTATACTACATTATATTATATAACTGCACTCTGCATCACTGTGGTACAACACTGCCTCTCTTCTCTGCTGTTTTACATTACTTGCTGCTATTTTTCATACCAAGTCACTTTAATCATCACTTTATCTTGTCATTCTCTGCAAATACTGTCTCAATTCCCTGCATAGTTAACTTCATCATTCATTTTGTACTGTATATACCCCCTGTTTTTATTTTTATTTATCTTATCTGTTCTGTTTAATGTGTATTTTGAGCTTTCTTGTCTGTGCTGCTGCAACGCCCAAATTCCCCCTCTGAGGATCAATAAAGTATGATCCTATCCTATCCTATCCTAAATACATGTACTGACTGAACAGATATATGTCCAATGTAAACCATATAAATATAAATGAACAAATGAAATGTTAAACTGCATTATCCCTATAAAATAAAAATTAAATTAAATCTGTTATTTAGGTAAAGTACAAATACCACCATACTTAAGTAGCCTGAGAAAAGTAGTAGCATTAAAAATGCACATAAAGTACCAATTAATTAACAATCAATTAAGTTACTCTATTCTCTCCTCTTTACACTTTTTGTTGTAAGTTATTAGAAAATAATCGGTTTATATCAGTGAGTTTAGCAAAATACGAGGTGTTCCTGAACGCAACGGGATGGAAGGTGGGTTTTTCTCCTCTTCTTGCTCTTTTGGGGAGTGAGCAGGAGGTTAGGAGGGGGGCTGAGCGTTTCCTTTTTTCCCCCATTTGCATCACACTGTGAAGCAAAAAAAACAAAAACAAGACTAAACTACAAATGAGGTCTGGATTAAAGTGAGCAGACCTGGAAGAGGATGCTGCAAAAAACTACAAAGCTTCCAAAACAACACCGACTCACTCAGTCAGTCAGTCAGTCAGTCAGTCGACGGACAGACTGCTCAGTGAAGGACGGAAATAAAAAAGGACAGATCAGCCAAAGTTTGACGCAATTCTTCAGGAATAACCAGGAATAGACCGGAGTGTCATCATCGAAGTATCTCACAGAGAAAAAAAACAGCGATTTCCCTCAACTTTGGACCCGCAGGTAATCTGAGGAAGTGGGGAAAACCGATAAAGCAAGTTGTGTTGCAGAAATTCACATTTTTTCCAAAGCGGACAAATCTCATTTTTGATACATCGTGAAGGATTTGAACTTTCATCAACGCCGCTTGTAAATGAATCCGAGTGGAGTTTCTGATCCTCAAAGAGACACTCCCATGAGAATAACGGAGTTTTAGGCTCTGTATGCTGGAGATAACGACTTTGTCGATGTTTTCTGGACATGGACAGACACCGAGGAGTCAAAATCAAAAGGCCTCTTAAATGAAATAAATAGCCGGGTGTTATAATGAAAATGTTAATTCGGTGAAGTCTTTGGGAAACTCTTCAGGGAAGCCCAATGAGTGGCCCACAGTCAACACTCACTGACAGGTAAGACAGAAGCTCAACTTCTTCATATTGTGGTGTATGATTCAAATTTAACATTCTTGTACACGATTTATCACAGGTACAATTAGTTTTATACTCATTTAGAATGGAAAGACAACCATCTAAGTAAGCGCAAAACTCCATTGACAAATCATTCAATTTAAGGTTATCCTACTTTTTGAGAAGCATACACAAGTAGCAGGACATGTTAATGATGATTTTATCATTTGGGCCTTTATTCTGGTCAGTACGGTGATGAAAAAGATGAGAAAAACAAACCAGAGTTTCTCTAAATTAGTGGTACATAACTTCTATTTGCCCTCTTTTTGACGCTTTGTATCGTGGGACTGCGGTCTCTGTACTAAAGGTCGTATGACATTTAAGTTGAATTTTGATAATGTAAAAGGTGCTTGATCCACTAAGTGTATGCCGAACTTTTTTTAAAGGCTTTGATTATTTTTCTGAGTTCTTAAAGTAGCTTTAAACTCCCGTGTTTACCTGGCAAATCTGAGGCAAGTTACAATTCTGAGATTTCTCAACGAAGTTCGTTAAAGCGTTGCAGGAAAAACAAAAACAAATGGGACATAAAGAGGCTCGTTTTCCTCCCTCTTTAGTTGTGATGCTGATTGGGTTTGAGTGTTAATGACAAGCTTGACCTTCCCATCCAGCAGGGGGCCTGTTCCTTAACGCTTCATTCTGTACTTGTGGCCCCTAAAGGTCATTTGACATCTGAGGCTCTCTGCACCTTTTTTTTTTTTTTTTCCTGTTCAAACACCAAGGACAGGATGCTGAGGATCACAGACTCAGCCTCCGGTAAACGTTTCTGTCCTAGACACCTGAGTATGAGACGATTTCCCTCGTGTCTGGCTCAACTTAAGGTGATGAAATTGAAACATCTGAGAGTAAAGAAGCCTCTTAGTAGCTGGAAACAGTCCCTGATATTGAGCAAGACTTCTTATATCCCCACAGACACACACTCTATTGAATATCTCTGCTGTTTCTTTATAACTCCACAGTCACAAGATGTCATCTGAAATTGCAAATGCCTGCAGACAATCCAACAAAATGTCACCGTAACCTGTGTGTACAGATATGTGTTGCCATGTGAGAGCTCTTTTTATTGATCACAGAAACCACAGGCTGTCACAAGGGGAAACGGTGCACACTTTCATCCATTTTCTATCGCAGGGTTTTGTTGGTAAAAAAAAAGCTCTGTATGAGGTGAATTGTTTTTTCTGAAGGCTAATGGCTAACTCTCGTCCTTTTCAGATTCCATCCCACATAAGTCACTTGTGTATTTTTACTCTGAGCAATCAGGACTTTCCTCTGAGGAAGCGCCAAAACAAAGGCACACATGACTGATTTCGGAAAGTCAAACAAAGTCATTTGATTTTCTGACCTTCAGCCTGCAGTGAGGCCCGAGCTGTTCGTCTGCTCTGCTGCCTCCTTCTTCTTCTTCTTCTTTTTTTTTTTTACAAGACCAGGCCTCTTTTTTATGTAGCTTTCATTTCTGTTATGCTCCCATTAAAAAAAAAAAAAAAAATCACATGGAAACTGTATTCAGTTTAAAATCCTAACAGACTGTGGAAGTGGAAAGCATGAGACACACACCAGAGAAACCCAGAAAGTGTGTGAAACAGTTCTCCTCCTACAGCCCAGGTTATGACATAACTGCAGTAACTAAACTACTTAAAGATGAGTCATGTCAAACAACAGCCGAATCATGACATCCTATCAACACAATCACCTTGATCACACTCGCACAAAACTTCCTGAAAATCTTCTGATGTGTTTTGAGGTTGAGCTGATTTTTCACTCGGACTTTATCCAGAGTTTCTCCTGCCAGGGCCCTATATATATTTTTTTCCGCATCAGAGTGAGCTGATGTGAGAACGCAGCAGGATATAATCAGGAGAATTCACCTGGAGCGAGGGAGAGGGGTGTTGACGTTTATTCCCTCTGATCGGTGGACGGCCACGGACTGTCTGCACGAGACTTTTACAAGCTCGGTGCAACTGTTTTTTCTCCACTCTGTTGTTGATGTTCTGAATCTGTGGAGCTTCACTTAACATTGATATAAAGGAATATATTATTATTATAGCGTGTTATAGCAGACTGTTGAAATCGTAAAGTGTACGCTCGGCTTCACTTGCTCCACATGCATCATGAAACTGACCATCTGACCTACAGAGAGCTTTCATTGGCCGCTCTGGTCCTCATCTTACCTCTCCTCGCTAAACCCACAAAGGATGGCACAAGAATTAATTAAACATACCAAACTTAGAGTATGGAAAAATATGTTCCCTGTTCTTCACGTGTAACATATGTCTCTGTATATGAAGGCAGGCTGCCTTTGTTGCACCCGGTGTGTCTGTGCTGCAGATGTCTTCACTGAGACTTATTTTACCTTTCAATGTGATCCCTGTCGTCTGATCTGGCCATGCTGCTTCCTCCCCTCTGTATGTGCATCTTTAGGTTAATACTGTTGCTTTGCTCTTCAGTGATAAGTTCCTTTTGTTTCGTCATCTAAACAACAGACTCGTAGGTGTATTTTGAAGGTTATAACTGAAGCTCGTACTACCAAAAAAAAAAAAAGGGTTCAGTTGCCGGGCAACATCAGTGCCAGCTCCAGCGGCGGGTCGGTCACCTCTCAGACGTAGTTCAGGGGTTTCTCAGTGAGAAGAATTCAAAGTGAGGAGCCTGCTAGGTTTCCCCCGAACATTTGTGATATTTTACAGTCTGGATGTGAAACCCCCAGCGTGGGACATGTTCTCCTGTCTGCAGGGCCTCCAGGGATCCACTGAAACCACCCTCTCTTAAACTGTGTTTGTAGGAGACTACAGATTATTGGAACTTTTTTTTTGGGCTTGTTTTGTCAGTTCTGATGATCACAGAACAGAAACATGGAAATGCTGCTGAATAAAACGATCAAACACAAATAGTGAGACAATCAGACTGACAGTGAATAAACATGGACCAAGCCTCATCCATTGGTTAGCGAAGGTGACATTTGAAGTCCGTTGATGGCGATGGTCATATTGGAAATTCTGTCTCAACCTATTTTTCGGTTGATCTAACACTGCAAGAGCTGAAATTGAGGCCGGTCTTAAAGGTGCGTTCCATTTACATGGTAACTCTGATGTCAGAGCTGGGAATGACCTCACATCCGAGTTAACAGAGTTGCACTTGCGAGTTGGAAACAAGTCAAACAAGTACCTGTGTTTTGTTAGCTAATAGCTGGTGATTAAATACTACATGATAGTTTGTGTTCCAAAATAACATGACAACACCTCATCAGAGAGAACTTGCACGTTGCTATCGGTGGGATTTTATTTTATTACTCAAAAAGAGGACTCAGCTGCTAACAAACACAATAGTTACCACTAAAACGTTACTGTTGATGCATGTGGCAGCCATGTTGGATTTCTACTCTGGTTTCTGAAGGTTCTCTGAGTGTCAAAGTCGGAATACTAACTTCAGGGGGTGTTCCTGATGACGTATAATGCCGGCAACTTGGAATTTAAAGTACTAAGTACTAAGTAGTAGTACTACTAGTAGTAAGTACTCAAAATGTCTTTTTCAGGTTTTTCAGGTTTAGTCAGTTTTTAATAAATTTAGAAATTTGAATGTAAAAATTGTCAGAAAATTCGACATATTGTACCTTTAAAAGGCAGACAAAGCTGAACCTCGTTCCTGATTGTGTTTGCAACTGATGGACTGTTGTGCAAAATGTAAATGCATATGTCAACAGGAGTTTTGTTTTCTGGAAATATGTGCTCAATGAAACAGGCCACATTTTTTCTCTATAAAATGATTTACTCATTGGTCTTGTTTCTGGTCCTTAGTTGCCAATTTTCACAATATTTCAAATCATAAGTAGCGTCCTATTTCATTTTTCTTTGTGTAAAAGTCATATTTTTTGTTAAGCTGTGCCGGGCTTTTACAGGTCTATGCACATAGGTTGAACCGAAACCATTTATATTTTATGCATTAAGCTAAACTGATGCACCAGATTCTTCTGCACAGCTTGCATGCAAAATACAAAGTTATTGAACTCAGCCTCTGATGAACTCAGAAAAATGACTCTGCTAAACTTTCACTGGGCTCTCCTTTTGTTTGCCGAGTGTTTTCAGAAGTTGGTCCCAGGATCGGCCCATGAGGTGAATGTACCACAGTCTCTGCTTTTGTAAATCAGGCCTGATTACATTCAGACACAAATACATGTAAATGTGTTCCACAGAGTTCTTGTAGGGAAAGCAGGGAGCCGGTAGAAGGCTGGATCCAAACCCTTTAAGGCTGTCTGACAACACATTGATGATCTGTTAAAAATCATGCAGTCTAAATAATACCTCTGAGGTTCATGAGGGTGTGTTTCAGCTTTACTATCTAATCCTTTTGTTGTGTGTGAAAATGTTTAACCTAGATGTCAGGCAGGCTGGTGTGCGCCTGCGGGCCATTCTTTGATCCTGGATGGGTCATAAACCTGAATGCCAACCAGCCGTGTACCAGCTCTTTTTGCTCTTTGTCACACAGTTTTGCTGATCTGTGTATTTTCCCGCCTACCGACCTCCCACAACCCCCCCCCCCCCACCCTCTGACGGGAAGTGTGACATCACTGTTAAACAATGTCTGTCGGACCCACCAAGCCACCCCTTCCCCACGGACTCTGCTGCTGGTGACACATCAGTGCAGGATGGCGACCAACCAGACGAGCCCACTGGTCCTGCCACTGTATGCAGTACAGATTGAGATACTCTTCATGCGTCACAGAATCTAGATTTTGAGCTTTTTCACTTTAAAGAATAGTTGTGTTATTGTATTATTTATCGTATTATCCCTCCTATAAGCTGTTCTTTTAGAAATTGTATGTTGCAGTCGGTTTGTTTTGAAACTTCCACCCAAACTCGGTGTGCTCGGTAAAACTGCACCCTCGTAAAACAGTCCCAATAAAGTCACTCATTTACTTTCAGAGGCTTTGTAAACAAATGTGTTGTCAGTCTATGAAGCCAAGGATATAAACATGCTTAATGTCCACATTTGGATGAAATAATTCCATGACTTGATGTGACTTGATGATAAAGAAATAGTTCAGATCTTTATTCACAGACTCTGCATAGGAACACAGTTTTATCTGGCTCATCCCTCTGAGCTCTTTCTGAAATATCTCCAGCTCAAAAATACAGAATCTATTGGCACAGGATCTGTTTCTGGTTTCCATTTGTAGTGCACATTGTATTGTCCACTAGTGTTTCAGCATTGATGGTATGCAGGACAAACAGTCTGTGTGGAGAGCTAACGGGGCAAAACACAATCCACCGCAATGTTAATCCCATAACCCTTCAGCATTTATCCAACAAAAAATACAGATTTGAATAATGTCTATAAGCAGACATCTGAATACAAGTGCATCCCATTTGTGGTTTTATTTTTCAATAACAACTCCAATAATGTTTTCCAAAGTCAGATTGTAAACAACAGCAACAGAGAAGGAAGTCTTAGCACAAATTTCCTTAATTGCTAACAGCCAACCCCAAAAGGTTGGCCTTGGATCCAAGGCTCTATCATCTTGTCTTCCTTTAAAAAGACAGACAGCCAACAGCAAGGACTGGCAAGCAAGATAATCTGGCCGATTTTGGTCCTAAATCCCCCCTTTGGGCAAGTCCCGATGTTAATGGTTCTAAAGATGATCTTGCCAGATTTTCCTGTGATATGAGGTCTGTTAAGATACATCTTTTTTTCTTTTCTTACCACTGTAACTTTTGCTGCTTTGCTAAAGTGCTCATGATGGATAGGCCGGATCTTTGTAGCATAGCAATGAGTAAGGTCTTTTACCTGCTCTTTAGTAATGTTAACAGACAAAGAGTAAGGTCTTTTACCTGCTCTTTGTAAAGTGTCTCGAGATAACACTTGTTATGAGTTCAAGCTATACAAATATAAATTGATTGATTGATTGATTGATCTAATCTGTTTGGAAGGATGTTGGAGCTGCCCTGATTTCAAATCGTGATTATTAACCATGTTAAGTATTTATGAGCCGATCTCCTGTGAGGGGAAACCGGAGAACAGCTGAGTTGTGGATTGTGACGCAAGTGAAACAAAAGCCAATCGGGAAGTGAGCTGACTGAAGAAGGAAGGGAAGACAATCACTTTCTACTCACCTCCAGCTCATACTCTAACACTGTCTCCACATCTGTATCTATAGTTGTTACTTTTTCATGCATTTTCAGTAAAAGTAGTCAAGAATAATCACAAATTCTACTTGCCTGCTGTCTGCTATATTTGTTGACTCTAAAGGCACGTTGTCCGTGTGAGATTTTGCAAGTTTTCCAGTATTTAAAAGTCAGGACTTTGGATGTTTATGATTGATATATTAAAGATGAAGATAAAGATAAACTTTATTGATCCCCCATGGGGGAAATTTTTTCATTACAACAGCTCAAGAAAACAGGAAACAGGAATATAATTATTAAAAATAACAAGAAGTTAAAAATCAAACATATGTACATCAGTTAAATAAAGGGAGAAAAAATACAATAATAGAAAAATACCAGCTATGTACACTTCCACTTGTGGAAAGAGTTATAAATATTTATTAAAATAAACATATTTAATGTTTATAATGTGCTGTTTTGGTCATATCGTTGCTCTCCACACACTGTAGGAACAAAATGTGTTAATCTGTAACTTGGTCATGTGTTGGGTCTTTCACATTTTCAGTATCTGTAAAGATTTTAAGGTCATCCTTCATAGACAAACACTGACAGCACCATTAGCCGTTTAAAATAAAATTTGGACAATTAATTGTTCATAAGCAAAACCATAACAAATGAAAATGTGTTGGGAATTGTTAACCTGGTCTTCATGTGTACATGCCCAACAAAAATCTGTCTGCAGCTTTAATTGTTGTGTTTTCAAGATTGATCTAGACTTTCTTTTCCGCTTAACACAGACTAGATTTGTCTTAAACTCCTGAAAACTTGTTGAAATGTTCAGAGTGAGCTGCATGTCTGAACGCAGAAAGCCACATATTTCACTCCGACTTTAACCTGGAGTCTTTCCTGCCAGCCCCATAGTAAATGTTCTGCGTGAAGTCAGGGTGAACTGATGAGAGAGTGTAGTATGAGCAGTAACAGCGATGTACTATTATAGACGGATCAGTCTTATATTAATGTTGTGGCAACTGTAATGATGATGAAACAGGGAGGACTGATTGTGTTAATTATAGAGGTTGAAGTTGAGCAGCTCCTAGATTCACTTTAATATTTATGTTGATGATAAAAGATATAAGGCTGATATTATCAGGAGCTCCCAGGAGACATGTGGTACATGGAGATTTAGATCGAAAGTAAAGTGTAGCCTCGGTGCTTTTTCTGTGTTTCTAACAGTTTACCTTGTGCAATCACTTAGTACAACAATCAAATTATTACATTAACCTGTTTGCAAGGATTAAAGTGTTAAATAAGGACCTTAGTTGAGTGATTGAATAACTTGTTTTCCGTGAAAGCAAAGGGACAAGTATCATAATTGTGTTGTTCAGTCATGTAAACAATGCTCCTGTCATTTCTAAATTGTGTTCAATGATCTTTAAATTCGACCTCGTATTTTGTATTGAACATTATCTAAGTGGATTTTAAAGTGAGGAGAACATGAAGACTATTTGTGTAGCTTTAGCTTCTTTCCGAGTTGGTTTTCTCGACTTCCTTTGCTGTTATCATCCCAGAGGAATTGTCTGGTATTTTTGGAATCTAAGGCAAAAGTTGATTGCTGCATGTTTTTGTTTTTCTACTTTGATAACCGGGCTGCAGAAAGCAAAGAGAGTCTGAAAAAGTTAACCAGCAGACATGAATGTGATTCTAGTGACGCTAATACGATAAGTGGTTCCCTTTAATGTTGGGGCCAGTTCTCTTTTCCCAGGGACACAAACACTTTACCTTTTGTGGAACATACTTAGATTGGTGGACACAGAACATTAGAAAAGCACATTTGATTTGTATGGCAGCCTATATCTTTGCACAGTTGGTACATTGTCAAGCTGTTGTGATATTGAAGAACTTTGTGGCTGAATTCTAAGTCTATGTTACCCAGGATGTTGACTTTTAAAGGAGCAGTATGTAACTCTGACACCTAGTGTTTAAAATGGGTACTGCAGTCATAATTAAAAACATTAAAGAGCCCTGCTTTGAATGTAAGTTAGTTATTCTTTCTTTTTACACACTAACACATTTAATATTTTGGTAACTTTGTTTAGTGAAAATGCAATCATACTTTTATCTGGTGTTATTAAGAATGATTAGCTATGTTTTCGGGTGTCTAGGTAGAGTATTTTTCCCGCGACAACGTTAACTAAACCCGTCCAAAAGAAGGACATGTCTGATGCTCCATGAATGTGCCTTAAATATCTGAAGCTGAAATGCCTCCCTCTTATCCAGCAGCACTTACTTAGCTGCCACCCACGGAGCAGGATGCAATCTGTCCCTGTCTCGCCATGTCTTATCAACTTCTAATCTCCTCTTACCACAAGCAAGGAGCGCTCCCTTAGTGGGCCTAGCAATCTCAGAAACAAAAAAACATAACCCAGCTACCACCGTTAATCTCTCCTGCTCAACATCATTTCACCCCTTTAGTCTGTGACAATGACAGTGTTGTCATGCCTAGAATAAATTTCAAATATTTAAGTATACAACGCTTTTTCTTTGTCTTCTTTCCGTCCGAATCTGAGATCACAGAATCAAATTAATTTGAGCTACATTAGTTTACACTGGGTTGTTCACACAGTGGAGTCTAAGCGTCACAGTTCTGCAGCTCTGTCTTCTGTCTTCCCTCAAACACACTTTGTGCACCTCCTCCTCCTCCTCCTTCCTGCCTCCCTCCTCTGTTTCTTTCCCAGCCTTCTCCCACATTCAGGAAACTGGAGCCGAGCCAAAGACCCCTTGTCTCTGTTTCCGGGAATCTGTCCCACAGAGCCAAAGTAGTAAGTTGGCTCTGACGTGGGAGCCATTGTTAAAATCCCAGGGCCCCCATATGTCCAAGGGAGGAGCAGCAGCAAAAACAAAACTCCCTCTTGTGGAACGAGAAGGAGGAGCTGTAGGGAGGGACACCAAGAGGGGGAACCTCTGCGATTAATATAAACTTACCACCATCAGGTCCACCTCCCAGGAGGGGTGTGCATTTTAATTAGTAAAGCAAACACCAGGAAAGAGGAAGTACGGTGCATGGTGAGGTTATCAGAATTTAATTTAAAATTACACTTCAAAATCTTTGTCTTTCCACTTTAAACACACAGACATGTTTATGGGGGCACTAAACCGACTGCCATTGGGATTGTTTGATTTTATGTTACGTTTATATTTGGTTTTCCCGTCAGCCCCCATCGGCCTTTTTGCTGATTCGACTGTTCAGAAGTTTCATTTTTCTCCAGCTCTCCTCTCAGGTTCAGTAAAGCCCCTTGAGCATGTCTCTGTAGTATCCATGCTTTCACCCATTAGTGCGGTTTCTCCTTATTTGTCTCCTCCACCTCTTCTTTTATTTTTCCACTAAAAGACCAAGAACTGACAACGGCAGCGCCATTTTCTACTTTTTATCAGACATTATTCTCCATTAGTAGGCGACCTGTAATACGAGTGGTGAGCGACAGCGGTGTGAAAATGGTCTTCTCCTATCATAACAACTTTTCACTTTTGTTTTCTAGAGCACTAGTCTAGAAGAGCGATACCGTCTCCATGTCTTTACAGTTTACTGCTAAAACATTTGAATGGATAGGATTTTTGGAAATATTCATTATATATTGAATGTTTTATTTTTGATCATAACAGGTGTGTGAAATTTGAAGATATTTATTTATTATTATTATTTTAAGTGTTTGCCTTACTCTCTGTCTGTCTCCTAAGGACCCCAAGCATTCTCAACCACGACCCCACTGACAAGAAACCCAAGAATGAGAAATCCCCTGTCTCCCTCAAACACGAGTTCGACCCGACAGGTAAGAGATGCATTCATATTCATTTCTGTCCTCAGACTTTGATTCTTGTTTTTACAGTTTAATATTGTTTGATTTGATTGTGTATTCATTTGTTCTAAAGCTTTGCTGCAGCTTCTGTTTTGTGGAGCAACAGTCCTGTACGACGGTCTATGTGGAAACACAAAGCTGAAATGTGATTTGTCACAAACTAAACAATCTTTTTTTTTTTTTTGACTTTTTTGTGTTTTTAACTCACTTATCACAACTTATGCAGAAGCCCATAATTAAGTTGAATTAATTCTGATTCAACAGAGTTTATTATTACATAAAGATTAGATTTGAAAGTAAAATAATTAAGCCATAACAAATAAAAATAATCAACAATTAATACTGATTACAGCTGTTGTCATTTTAAAAATAAATTTTCCCAAATATTTTCTAGTTTCTTTCCAAATGTGAATATTTGCTTCAGTTTTTAAAATAGGATAATACAGACAAACAGTTTGTCTCCTAACAACACTTTTGAGTTTAATTTCTACATTTGAATCGTTAAGAAGTCTTTACCATAAAGGCTGGCGTACGGTAGTGGAGGACAGAGATGGTGTAGGTGCAGTCGGCACTCAGGAACAAGTCGTTTAGGTGGTTGTCACGGTTACGGGGTTGACGGGGGTTCCTTCCTGCCCTTTTCTTCACCCTCTGAGGCATCCTTCATGGAGGCCGGAGGACAACCAATTATCCACTCAGGAGCAGGAAAAGGAAAAAACCAGACTAGGAGGCTGATTGTGAGTCTCTAAACTTCCTCAGTGACTACAGGAAGAAAAGAGCAGATGGTCACTGCAGTTATCGGACTGTCGGTGAATAAAGACGTCTGACTGACTCAGCTCTGTTAACACACAGAGGCACTGCTTTCAGTCAAGACAACAGTCATATACAGATATGATTAGCTCTGCCCTTTGTACGTGTCATGGGATTGCCCAAATTGTCACTGGAATAAAATAAATAAACACATTTTTTTGGAGTTTTAGTTTTATTTATAGAAATATTATTAAAGACTTTGTTTGAAACCAAGTAATTCAACAAAAACCATTCCATTTGTGTTGATAAGGAACTATCTAGGAGACTACTTACTCTGTGTATCACTCCGCCTCAGCCAGGTGTTCTGAATACAGCTAAAACATTCCAGCAGACAGATGTTCTCTTTGATTATCAATGTGAAACCCATTAAATCGCACAATAGACCCATTTTTCACTGGATTCATGATGAATTAAAACATTCAGATGAATGTAAATAAGACCAAGTAGCTGGTCTGGGGTAACCATGGAAAAAAACAGTTTTCTATCTTAAATCCTTTTCTGTTTCAGTGTCTTGATTTGTCATTTCCTGTGTGCAGATTTTTTTTCCCACAAGTGACGGCACCGGGCTTTTTGTGCAAGAATATCTTTTAGGCAAACAAGTGAAGCAGTATGAGGAAAAAAACAACTTTATTAATTATTTTTTCAGATAATTCTAAATTAAACTAACTTATCGGGCACACTCTTAAAGGTAAGATAATGAACATACAAGTTAGATGTTGATCTCATTTGATAAGTTCTGGCAAGGATGGAGTCGTTGATTTAAAAAAAAAAAAACATGATCTATCAGGAGCAATATTTTTGAAGACTCGACTCTTTAGTTTGGACAGACCACGTAGACCACGTAGACCACTCTGTCTTTCCCTACTATGTTTTTTGCCAGTTCCCCCCCCCCCCCTCCCCCCTTGTGAAGAAAATAACAAAAGAATGTTTATGTAAAAAGCTGTATGTTTATGTGTTTGTAATTAACAGGTCTTGTCCAGCGGTGTGTGATAATCCAGAGAGATGAAAATGGCTTTGGACTGACTGTTAGTGGAGACAATCCTGTGTTTGTGCAGCTGGTAAAAGAAGGTAAGGTTCACACAAACACACAGAAACCCACACGGACACACACACACACACTTAAGACTGTCTTTCCTGTACTTGTGAGGACCCTCTTAGACATAATGCATGCCCTGGCCTTGACGTTAAAAAATACAGCTTCCTAACTGAAACCCCTAAAATAGACCTAAGAGTGAGAAACCTTAAAAAACCTTTAAAAGTAAAGCGTAGCCCAAATGTCCACATACGGCACAGACGTCCTCGTTAAGGTGTAAATGAGTGTAGTCCTCACAAAGATAGAAAGACAAGTATGGAAACACACACACACACACACACACACACACACACACACACACACACACACACACACACACACACACACACACACACACACACACACACACACACTCTCATCATAACAAGGTCTCAAAAACATGTAAAGACAACATCTTTGACCCCGTTCTCTCTTTGGTGGTACAGATGGAGCTGCGATGCGAGCCGGTGTTCAGACAGGAGACAGGATCATAAAGGTGAGCTCTGATTATTTTCTTTTTACTTTCAGAATCAATCAGTCAATCATTATTTGTATAGCGCCAATTCACAACAAGTGTTATCTCGAGACACTTTACTAAAGAGCATATGGGATAACATGCAGGAAGGATTTCTCCTTTGTATTCCTCTTGTTCCTGTTGTCCACACTTCCTCGCCGCTGAGGTCGAGGTCAGAGCAGGAAGTGCGTGAACGAGGACGGCGGAGGATCCGAAACTCAACAGTGAAAACTGCTCCCTTTAGCTCAGGTCTTTTTAACAGAGTTTGCTCAGTTTGATTTTTCTTTCTTCTTCTCTCAGGAAATCATGTTAAAATTATTATCTTCACTCTGACGCTACATTTTCCTATTGTTAAATCTAACAATAGTTTTATTTTGTATGATTAAAAATTGTACTGACTTTATTGATTTCTTAGAGTTTAATGTTTTTGACTGTTGTATTTTTTTGAACAAGTATTTTTTTATGTTGGAGTCTTTTTTATCTTCATTTTAACTTTTGTTCATTATTTATTTCATATTTCTCTTTTGTTTGTGACTTTGTGAAACACGTTGGGCTGCATGTTTGATTGAACAGCATTTGAAAAATTAAGCTGAGTTTATAAAATACTTTTTTGCCTTAGAAGAGCTACATATTTGATCACTTTTACCTATTGTATTTGCATTCATACTTTGTAATTTATTGACTTGCCTCTGTTTGATGTTTATTTGAATATTTCCTGAGCTCATGCCTTTGCTTCGTCTGCCATAGCACTTTGTAATTATCTGTTATTAAAGGTGTTGTATCGTTATTTTTTAATATGTTATGATAATAATACATCAGACATAACAGGTTAGCTTACAGTGCCTGGCATTGAACCTCTATGTTTGCCTTCATATAAAGAATTAACTCTGAAGCAGGAAAATTATCTCACTGCAGAAAATGAACACAAAATTGTATTTAATATGGATCTGTTATTTTTGAATGTGTTTACTCAGTGAGGACAAATGTCAGAAGTAAAATGTAATAAATCTTTTTTTGATTTTCTGACAGGTTAATGGGAGTTTGGTCACACATTCAAACCACATAGAGGTTGTAAAGCTCATAAAATGTAAGTATGCTCTTATACATAAATTCTTCTCAGTTTACACAATTTAAAGATCCCATATTCTGCCCTTTTCGGGGTTCGTATATTTAATCTATGTTCCTACTTTTGTACGTTCACAATAGATAAAGTCCGAAAAAAGTGTCTGTTTTCATGTACTACCGTCAGCTACGCTCTGTTGAGCCCACACTGTTAGACCCCACGTGGGCCAAGTCTGCTCTGATTGGTCTGCCGATCCGCTCTGTCGTTATTGGTCAGTTGCTCAGCACAGTTCTCAGAAATGTCCCGCCTCTTTTACCATATTGGAAATGCAGCCACTGGCTCCGTCCGAGGGGAGCATAAACATTAGCACCTTAGCACTACTGTGCTACCGCAGGCTACGGCATATCGTGGGCGTGCTACAGAAGTTAGCGGGCGTGCAACATGAGCTGCTGGGCCACAACGAGCCAATGGGCTTAGATCAGTGATCTCACACTGACAATGACGCCGCACTGACAAATTTTTATCGAGGGGGGCTAGAACCGAGCGTTACATGCAGCTTGAATTTTTGCACATATATGTACCTAAACATGCACAGGACACTTGGAAAACACACTAAAGGGCATATAAAACAAATTGAATTGTTGTTCATTCAATTAGTTTTTTCTATTTTGTAAAATGTCCATGTTTCCTATTTTATTTTCATAAACTATTTTATCTTGGTATTTCTTCATTGCTATTTTTGCCTTGCAGTTTTTATCTCATTTCTTAAAGCTGCTTCATCTTATTCTGCACAGACTTGAACTGACTTGTTTGCCATAGCATACTGAGAAAATGTTCTTTGTACAATAATAAGGTGAAAGCAAGCCTTAAAGGTGTTTCATTATCACTCTATGTGAGGGCTTAAGATATTAAACAAAACATGGATGTTGCATCTTTGATGTCACCTATTCACTTTGTGATACTGATGATATTTATAATAATAATAATAATAATAAATTAGAGTGATATAGCGCTTTTCTAAATACTCAAAGACGCTTTGACAGGAAACAACAACAAAAACAAGACAAATGTTTTTTTTCTGACATATCCGCCGCCAGCACCGATCATCATGCTAGTTTTTGAAAATGACCAACCCTGCCTTTAATTTTTATGTAAATAAAAAAAGAAAAAGAAAGAAAGAATGCTTTGCCTCTGGTCACTTCCTGTCAGCACCTCTGGTCACTTCCTGTCAGCACCTGTCTGTCTTATCAGACTCAGCTGTTTTTTTCACTTCCTGACATTGTTTCCTCCTCTCTAGATCCTCGTTTCTGTTATTCTTACTCTCTGATGTTCACCACTTTGGATAAAGCATCTGCTAAGGGAATTGTAGAATTGAAGAATTTCTGTTTTTTTTTTTAATCTCTGGAACCAGTTTCTCTTTGCTTTGATTGGTTGAGACACTTGTAAGTCAGTCAAGTCTTGGGTTGAACTTTAAAATCTTTGATTTCTTGTGGGAAATAACTATTGAGGTTTATTCATGAAAGGGAGAAGAGGGGTTTTCCCATTCATTGTGCTCACAGCTGGCTTAGACAAAACATGTAATTCATGACAAATAATATGCATTATGTCACCATTTTGTTCTTCTTTCTTCTTTTATGTGGTTAAATATTCTCCTGACGGGGTTCTGTCTTTCAGCTGGTTTTAATAATCAAGTTTTCACAGTGGCTTGGATTTCTTTTTTTTACGTTGTCAGCATTTTTCTGTCTCTTCTTCACCCTCCCTTCATTCCTTTCCCATGACTCCTCTCCTGCAGCGGGTTCATATGTAGCCCTCACAGTGCTGGGGAGGCCTCCGGGACTCCCTCAGATCCCCCTCGGGGAGGAAGAGGAGGAGGTGAAGGAGGACGGAGCAGAGGTCAGCACACCCTCCTCTCTCTCTGCGCCGCACTCACCTGCTCTGCCAGGTGGGGAGAAAGGCAACCCAGCCTGTAGCCCCTCTCTAGCTGACGGGGTGAGTAAGAAAGAAGAGTAAAATATTCTTTGTATCAGCTCTTTGTCTTTATTAGAGGATAGGATCAACAGCATTAAGCTCTTACTAAAAGTTTAAGACAGTGTACAGACAACACAAACCAGGTTATTTTTCCGTCTTTTACCAGAGATAAAGAAAGTACTTCTGATTTTTATTTTAAGTTTAATTATGTTGTAACTTTAAGGGGTCATTACTGACTTACAGAACAGACTCATGTTGTTATATTCAGAATGCACACATATAGAAAAATACATTTTATGCGTATTTCTTAAGATTAATTGTTAAAACTGTAGCTCAGGAGCTAATGAGAGAAGAGAAGTTTCTGTTTTTAATATGTCTAGGCTGGTGTTTGTGTTTCCTTTGTCTGCTGGGTGTCAGTGGAGAACTCAGACTAAACTTCTCCAAAATGCTGTTATTTTTAACTGTAAGATTCATGATATCAGCAGCTTATCTGTGTCGGTAAACCCCTGCAGCTCATTATTTTTAATAAGCTCAGACGTTTCAGTCCATTACAGCCAGCCCCTTACCAAAAACTGCTGCACTGTGTCAACATGTCGTCTCTCTCTGTAACACTGGACAGCAGACTGGACGTGTGTAAATGCCCAATTTCTTTTTTTAATTCAGTTTCAGTATTCAAAGAAACGCACAGAAAAAAACAAATGTAAACGTTGCTAAAGGTCCTAACTGTACCCTGGAATAATTATTGCCTGTCCAAGTTCTTCTTTTTCATAATCCTGACTGTCTCACTTCTCTTTTCTCACTTGAAAATCTCTATAATCACATTAAGCTGTTAGAAAAACTGTTATACATTCATTTTGTTTTGTTTGTCAGAGAAGCTGACTGTTTTCTCTTCATCTCCTCTTTTAGGACGAGAACAAAACCACACTCAGCCAGAAGGCCGACATCCTGCAAAAGATGCTAACCAAGGAGCAACAGGACCTGCAGGTATGTTTTAATATAGCGAAACTGTGTTTATATATATGTGGAAATGTATGTGTGATCATGAGTGTATTTCCTCAGACAAAGTCATTCTAACAGATTTTGCACATGAATACAAAATATCACCAACTCCTGAACATATTGAGTTTTATTTGACTGCCTTTTTATCATGTTTTCATCTTTTACTGGGGCACTTTAGACCTAAAATCATGTCAAAACATTATTAAATCACTTCAGATTGTCCTTTTTATTGCAGTCATCATGGCAATAAAAAAAAAATGTAATCTTCCTTTTTCCTGTGTAGCTCATTTCTGCTTTACTGAGGATTCTGTGGGATGTTCTTTTTTGTTAAAAGGCAAAGGAGGAGGAGTACAGCAGAAACCCTCGGCCTAAACTACTGAAGGAGATCCAAGAGGTCAAAAAGCACATTTCTGTTCTGCAGGAGCAGCTCAGCAAAGCCGTGTTCCAGGTGAAGTAGAACAGCACACACGACAAAAACTAAATCATGCAGTTATGACACCGTTAGCCCACTTGGGTTTGTTTCAGCAAAGGAAGAAAACCTCTTTAGTTTAACGTTTTCCATCCTCTGTGATAACATTTCCTTTATGTTGCTCTGTCACAAAATTTGAATTGGGATAACAACCAGACATTTCCCATACACTTTGAAAGTGTGTAACAGTTGAAAGTGTGGACTGTACCTTTAAGACATACTGTGTTGCTCAGTTACTATGTTAACCAAGAGGCACAGACCCAAAACTGTTACAGGTGTATTAATAATTTTAAGTATTTGTTTTTTGTTTTTGAGGGAATTTGACTTTGATTTTTAGTTTGCAGTTGATAATTAACAAAAACAGAATTTAAATGTTTTACCAGAAAACGTACATAAAATAAAACACCAAATAATTTACAAATGTTCATGTTTTTATCCATTCTTCATATACAAAACAGCAACAACATTTCAGCATAAAGTCATGCTTTATTTGTTCTGCCGTCCTTCTGAGCCGACCAGAAGTTGTTACTTTCAAACTACCACCTGTCAGCCTGGTTCAATTTGAATGCATCATTATGTAATCATTGTGGTCGCTCACACTCTGGATGACATTTTAACTCTGAAGTACAAACTAATCCTGATGTCTCCTGTCACATCTGCAGACTTCACATTACCTCAGGTCACTGCAGCCTCTTCAGTCAACAGGATCTGTGTTAATTGTAACCGGTCGAAGGTGAAAGAATTCAAACTTGTGTGTTTTTTAGGTCGGAGCCACAGCAGCTGAGGAGGGGGACGGTGGGCCTCCTGCAAGGGAACAGACCTCATCTTTGCAGGGTGACAGCGGTAACGACGGGCCCTCGACCAACAATAACTCTGTGGGTATAATGACAGACTGCAGCCTTCAGTGTGGTGAACCACGTTACTCAACAGCACTCTGTAGTCACATTCTTTGTCAAGTGTTGTTTTGTGGCAGCTGCTTTCAGTCAAAGTCAATCAAAACCACCAAACATGGACTGTTTCAAGCTCCTCACACTATAATAAATATTAAAATCTTTGACTCTTAGTCAAACAGGACGAATACTTTAAAGACATGTACTTGAGCTAAAAGATCTTTCAGTTGATGCATGTCTTCAGTTTCTGACAGTTCTGATCATAGACTGTGTAAAACATGGATGCAGTCTCAGTGATGTCACCCATTGTTTTGTTTTTGAAGAGGCTTTGTTTTGAAGCCCATCGATTTCAATATAACAGAACAAATATCAGGGATTGGGTGTTGTTGTTGGCCAGAGAGTGTTGTTAACAGTGTACTGTAAGTGTGACTCATATCTGATGTTAAAAAAAAAAAACCCATCAGGAAGTTTGTCTGAAAATGCTGCTGGCTCAGACTCCTTTGTAATAACAATCAGTTTTATCACAGCTTCTATAAATAGCGATGAAATTGTCCTTCTTTTTAATCCCCGGGGATTTCCCAGCATTCAGCCCCAGACTAAACAATCAATTTGGCTTAAGTGTTGTGTTGTTCATTGTGTGTAATAATGTGTCTGTGTGTACTAGATTCATGGCAGCCCCCTCCCAGAGAGTCCTGGCAACAGAGACACGCCCTGCCAGAGCCCCGACATCAGCCGCAGAGACGGACTCAATTTCTGCTCGTCGCCTGACACGGAGGAGACCCCTGACACAGTGATAAATGCTTTCTTACACAATTACAGAAAGAAACACTCACTATTCTGAGTTTTTAGCTCCTTAATAAATTACTCTGACATCGTTTTGCAGCTGAAGTTAAATTTTTAGTGAAAGCCCCTGATTACTAACCTACAGTCAAAGATGTGCTAAAAGTCCGAGGCTGCAGCTCAAAGTCATCATCCTCAATAGTTTATGATAAATCTAAAAGAAATTAAAGCAAAGGAACTTCATTGTTCTTGTTTCGCAGGGTAGGGATCGCGATATGATCGATATTTCTTTAGTGTTCTGTCAAACTTATATCGGGCAATATGAGTCTGTGAGTAGTCTTTGTTTGGTTTCTGTATTGAAATCTTCCTCCAGTTAAAAAAGTGTAACCCCAAATGTAGCATTAAAAAACACACTTTCATCTATCCCTTTAACTTTTGCTGTTGTGTGTTTGTTTCCTACTGTTACTCAACACACTGAAAGGGAAATCAAAAGGGATATCAAATGGTCAGTTATGAATCATGACATGCTTTGTTGGATTTTAAGACGGGGTCATTGCTACATATATTAATCATGATACATGCTGGTTATCCTGAAACTCGTTTTGTATGTCAGTGTTCGAGTTTTGTCTGTCAGTGCTGCTAAATACACCAATATGTCCCTCAGGAATCCAGTGCCCAGTGCATTGTGGGTAGCCCTCCCTACCTCCTCAACCCTCAGATCATCGGAGCAGAAGACGACTACTTTGACTCTCAGCAGGAGCAGGTACCTCAACAAATGGTTCTAAGCAGTTGAAGGACAAAAAAATGCTTGCGATGTCAGATTATTTTTAACCAGATACATTTAGTGAATCCCACTTAAGCAAGTTGTTTACGTTATTGTTTTTCATTATGCTATTTAAGTGTGTATCCAAATTTGATGTTAATTTTTATTTGCTTTTTTAAAATCCTGCTAAATAAAAGCAAACCCTGCTGATGAACTTTAATATTACCTTCCCTCGAAAAAGTTGATTTGACCCCTCTCTCTCTCTCTCTCTCTCTCTCTCTCTCTCTCTCTTGTCTGTCAGATTAATGGACCGTGTAGCTCTTTCGAGACTTTGGATTTACTGAAATCTCGGCCGGCTCACCTCGCGGTCTTCCTCCATCATGTTGTCTCACAGTTTGACCCTGTGCCTTTGGTATGTATGCAAACACACCAACCTGTGGACACATGCCTGACCCATGATCTTATTTATGACTGTACTATTTTGAGAAAATAATGTTGGTTATCCTTTGATAAGTTATACATTTCTGGAGATCATTCTGGAGAACCACAGATACAAACTCGTTATCATAAGAAAACCAGCACTGCAACTCCGAGATAAATTATCAGAGCTCTCGAGAGACAAGTGAAAATGACTGATTGTAACAGAAAAAAGTTAAATAAAATGTAAGGATGCATGTCCTCTTAGAGCTTCTGTATTATTGGAGTAAGAGTTAATATATTTTAAAACAAATGAAAGTGGGCTATGGATGGATCCTTGTGGAATACCTACACTTATATGAAAAAAACTTAGTTTCTGAGATGTGTTTGTTTTTGAGAATGTATTATGTACTTAATGAGATAAGAAACTTCACAGTAACAGCAATAAAATCTCTTCCTCTTATAGCTCTGTTATCTCTACGCTGAAATGCACAAGCAAACCAGCTCCAAAGAGAGCCGACGTTTCTTCATTGAATTCCACTCGCTCTTTATGGATCGATCAGCAGTAAGTTATTTGATTAGTTCACGTCAATTCCCTTGATGTTAGACCAAATGTCTGTCTTATTTAATAGTTTTTATGTCATTATTGATGGAAGCCTCTTTCTTTTGTTATTTTGCAGAACCTTAAAGTAACGCTGCCAGAGGCAATTTCAACAGAATTGGGTAAGGTACAAAAAAAACACTCTTTATATGCGTCAGATTTATTTAAAAAAACTGTCATATTTAGTCATTGTACGTAACTCTGAAATGCTGCAGGAATCTTTTTGGCATTGAGTTATGGCATTGGGGGGAGGAACTGCCGTTCTCCGAAAGATTTGTGTTTGGTATTTTTAACTTGTAAGATGTAAGTGTTGGGATTAGACAATCTGGACTTGTTTATGTGTCACTGCACAGAGAAGCGCAGGCTGGAGTTAATACCTGAAGACGTCTGCAAACAGTACACTCAGACGTTACAGGATTCCCTCTTACCCGACCTGAACAAGAACCTGGAAGACTTCAGGTAAGAACTTTGTGACCTTTTAGACTTTAATCATTGTTTATGTAACATGAATTAACTAATAGTAACTAATCTGTTACAGGTTAGTTAAAAAAAAAACATAAAGAAGACAATGTGTTTATATGTTTACATGTTGACAAAGCCAATAATACCAAATTAATCCTATTTGATACACAATTTTTTGATAAGTGATCTGATTTATTTCTGTTAAAAAACTTGAATAACACAATAAAACAACCTGTTTCTGCAGTAAATGTCCAATTTTGGAAAACTGTATCTGATAACGCAACAAAGAGATTTACTGGATTGAGGCAATCTCTTACTAACTTCTGTTTTGTGTCATATTTTTGAAGTAAAATCATGTTGAAAAAGTTTGTATACATATTTGACACAGCAGGTATTTTAGGTGTTTTTGTTTATGATCAGTCTTTGTAATTTATGCATCATGTGTTTCCTAAAGCAATGCATTCTCTCTTGCATATTGAGGTAAAAATAATTAAAGGCCTTAAGGGCATCAGTTGATATATTATAGTGGAAAGTGGGATGTTTATAGTCCGTTTTGTTTAAATATGCAATCTGTTGTAAAGCAATTATAGATGAGTTCTTGGATGTTTGCATGGGTCACTGACTCATAATCTTCTTTTCTCAATTAAGTCCACAAAAAACTGATCCATTTTTAAATAATTTACTCAAAGACATTTTTTGAAGGTTTATTTTTGGGCTTTTTATGCCTTTATTTACGAGATAGGAAATTAATAGAGTCAGAAATCTGGTTGAGAGATTGTGGGGAATGTCATACGGGAAAAGAGCCACATGTCGGATTGGAATCTTGGCTGCCCGCTTGGAGGACTGTACCCTCTGTACATTCGCGCACTATGCTACCAGCGCTCCTTTTGAGTACCTGAGTACCTAAATAAATACTGAAACAAGGATGTATACAACAACAACAACAACAACCGCCAATAACGGCCAAAATGAAAAGTAGAGAGTCTCAGTGGGGGAAACAAAATGTTTGAACTTCTTGTAGTTAAAAAAATTCACTGTGTATGTATGTGTCAAATATGATACCAAACAAAACTCATACATGATGTGTGCTCTTCAATTTATTTTTAGAAAGTTCTATAACGACTCAAGATTCAAAGAATTCAAATTCTCAGATAATGTTTTGACGGTTTAGGCCTTACAGGATTAATGTGCTCGTGTTCATGTGTGTGCAGACAGAAGCGCAGTATGGGTCTGACTCTGGCTGAAGATGAGCTGTCGAAGCTGGACTCGGAGCGCGGAGAAAACCAACAGGTCTTGGAGAAGGAGTGCTCCTGTGCCGAACACATCCTGTCCAAGATAGAGGATATCCTGTGAGTCCCCGACCGCTCATAAACACAAAGACACGTACAGGAATCCATTCAGTTTCCTTGTTTGATTGTGTGTTTGCTCACCTTGAGTTGTCTGTTGCAGGTTGACGTCACAGCCTACAGAGGAGGAGAAGTGGTAAGTAAGGAAAGTCAAAGTGTTATCAGAGATATCAGAAATAATCGGGGAAATAAAACAGTATTCTTCTTGCTAAGTTTTATCTGATTTAAAGGTCACATATCCTCCTCCTCTTCAACCAGTTTAAATTAGCCTCAGAGCTCCCCAAAACGAGTGTGTGAAGTTTCTTGTTCTAAATCCACTCTGATCCTGTATTTGATCATGTCTATAAACCCCTCTATTTCAGCCCTGCTCAGAACAGGCTGTTTCTGTGTCTGTACCTTTAAATATGTAAATGAGCTGTGTCTGATCACACCCCCTCTCTGGAAGGGTTTGGGTGTCTCGGTGCTTTCTCGCTCCATGTCCTGTTGTTTATGGTGAGAAGGCAGACTCAGAGGGCAGAACAAACACCAAGCTGTGGGAGTGTCACCCACCTGGGGGAGGGGCTACTGCCCTTTGTGATGTCATGAAGGGGAAATCTCCAAACGGCCTGTTTGAGCACACATTTTCTAAAAAGTGGAGCAGGAAAAAGACGGAGATGATAGACCTCTCATTATTGGGGGTTTTTGTAGACAGACACATGGTAAAGTGCATTTTGCATAATATGTGACCTTTAATATAGAAATATCTACAACGCCTCAAAAGCTGACAGCATGCTGTATGTTAAATATTTTATCCTTATCACTTTGAGTAGCTGTCATTAAAGTATGAGGCTAATTAATGCATTGTTTGTCCTTGTTTTGGTGTCCTCTTTTCTGCAGTCAAACAATGCAGTATGTGATTCTCACCTACATGAAGCACCTCGGGGTGAAAGTGAAGGAGCCGCGCGGTCTGGAACACAAACGAGCTCGCATCAATTTCCTGCCCAAGATTAAGGTCCGATCTGAAGTTAAGAAAAGCACAAGTAAACGTAAAAAGTATTTAGATGCAGACAACACACATCAAATCTATTCATATAATGTCTCTATTGTGTTTTATTTCCCACAAGCAGAAGAGCATCAAGTCTGAGAAGGACGGTGAGGAGAAGGTGAAAAAGCCTCGATTTCCCAGCATCCTTGGCCCGCCACGACGTCTGAGCAGAGTGGATTCAACTTCAGGTGGGAAGGAAAGTTTAACATTAAAGTTTAATGTTTTTAGAGGAGTTAAAAGAGATTTATTTTTACATATTGAAGTGTGTATGTGAGAAGTGTTGGTGTAATGTCAGCGATAACGCAATAATCGTGATGTGATTAAAGTCATAAATCAAGGCAAACATTTTTTTACTGCTTAGATGAAGAGTCACAGTAAAATCCACCTTGTGACATAAACACTTGTTTTACCATCCTCTTGCTGTTTTCATTTAGTTATCGATCCTTTTATTGTGGTTAATTCAACGTTGTGACCATCAAGCATTTTCTTTCAAAATAAAAGCAGGCTTTGTATCCAAACAGGAAGTAAATTACTCTTAGCTTAAGACAGTAAAAAAATAAGCACAGCTGTTTTGAAATGCAAAATAATGCAATCTTAAACATGCAATAAATCAAAGATAACATTTTAAGACATTTGAAAAATTAATCGATTGACAGCCCTAATTTTTATGTTTTCATCTTTCTTTTGTGTTTGCCTGCAGTCGGTAAGGCCGTGGAAATTAACAAGCAGCGGTCACCAAAGCAGCTTCCTCAACCAACCGTCTGCATCCCCGAGCAGTCGGACTCCTCCTCTTCATCAAATTCTGGACGGACTCGTGGAAATCAGCTGAGCGAGGGCTCAGACACCAGCGTCTTATCCCTGCCTTCCACCACTTCTCCCACACAGCTCGCCCACCTGTCTGACCTCGGATACCAGCGGACAAGACTCAGACTCCAGTAAGAGTTATTTCTTCTTGGTTTTAGGAATTCTGGGACAGAAGAAGATAAAAACATAATTTTACTATGAACCAGGAACAAAAGAAAAGATTCAAACTGATTTTCTTTTTCGCTTTTTTTTCTCTTTGCAGATTTGTCTCCGTTCTGCATCCAGACCAGACCGAGCGAGGGTCTGCAGTCTGGAGACCACCAGGACGCCGTCTCCAGTCCAACCAGCACGCAGTTTGACTTCAGCCCCTCTAATCTGGAGCAGTTACAGGAAGAAGACCAGGATGCCTTCAGGTATTTAACTTAAACTAGTCCTATCATGTACCATTTCTAGACTGTTAAATTAAACAAGTAAAGTTTTGATTGACAAACTCTGTGTCTCTGTAGGATGGAGGTGCAGTGTGCGGTGAGTTCAGGGGACATCCAGAGTGAAGACGACCTCGGAGGAGAGGTGGAGGGAAGCGAAGAGGATCCTCTGAACTGGCAAAGTCTGGTCAGTCGAGGAGTCCTGGCCAGTTTAACACCTCTGGAGATCAAACGCCAGGAAGTCATCAACGGTGAGTCATCTGCCTGACATCATTACTTCAGAGTGTGACATGATATAAAAGCATATATTTACAGTGCATCCCTGCTTTCATCTGTCCTCAGAGCTGTTCTACACGGAGCGCGCTCACCTGCGGATGCTGAAGGTGTTGGACTCTGTTTTCTATCAGAGGCTGAGCAGAGACGGGATCCTCCCTCCAGAAGACCTCAAACACGTCTTTATCAACCTGGAGGAAATCATTCAGCTGCACGGTGATGTCACACACAGAAAATAACAACACATACAAATACTTTTCAAAGCAACAGGGGCGCGTCCAAAGGGGTGCCATTGGCCCCCCTTGAAATCTTATTGGCCACCCCAAAATCCTTGACTATTATTGGCTATTTGCCTTGCCAGACATGGGACTTACTGTATGTTGAAATCTACTATTCAGGCCGTGTTGCAACAAGCAGCTCATAGTTTTCAGTGTGCAGATGTTTTTAAGTACTAAATTGTGACTGTGGGCGGACATATTGTTTTGAGTCCTTAAAGAGTGAAGACTGAAGATGTATTATCTTGTGTTGCTTAAAAAGTCGATGTGTTGGTGCAGACAGAAGCGGTAAATAAATTCTGTCATTCATGTGTTCACAAACTTCAGGCCAAGTCAGTTCCCCCAGTTGGGCCACCCCAGTCCAAAAAGTCTGGTAACGCCCCTGCAAAGCAATGAATCCCACCTCAGACGAGGCATTTAGCCAATCACTGTCTATGATTTTGGCTCAGACTTCAAGAGGACACCTGGTGATCCATTTGGCCACGCCCCTCAGTTAATGATCGTTTATGATTAACTGTACATGCAAACACCATGTAAAACTTTTTTTAAATTTTGGTTGAAATAAAGTACTCCATGGTTGATTTATACAACGTCAGTAACCCTAAGTTTTTTTTTTTTAATGTTATTCATGATGACTTTTAAAGACCCCCAATTATCCATTTCATTCCATTTAACCGGGTCTTAGCAGATTCTGATAGCCTGTTTTTTTTTAAATGTCTTCTCCCTTTGCTCCACAGTTTCTGTAACAGAGCAGATGACCTCAATCAGGAAGAGAAGTGAGACGTCTGTGATCGGACAAATCGCAGATGACCTCCTGGCATGGGTAAGACTGTTTTCCATTCATGGTAGAAGTTAAAGATTATTTATAGGACTTATTAGGTAGGGGGGGTTATGGTCGTTTTAACCAAAACCCCTATTTCAATTAGCCAGTTGACCGTGTGCAGCTCGTTGTTTCTTCTCTTCTCTTTCATTTGAAACGAAGAATGCAATTTTGAACATTACAAACTTGAAATAAAAGACATATATTGAAATGCTTAATCAACATCCTCAATGTTTTGACGTGCTGATGATGAGAGGGAGACTAGATGTTGTGCTTTATATGCAACAAAGGAAAAAACATGCACAATTAACCAAATATGGCAGGTGCAGAGTCGAGCAAAAATAAGTCACTAATCTAACCAGGGCAAGTCTGATGAAGAGCAGGTGTACTCGACACATCACCCTGGTGAAATACACTTATAGACTATTGGAGCCCTGCAGTGTGGCAGCCATCTTTCTCTTTGCTGAAGTGCTTTTTATTCAATGCAAAATGTAATTCATGATATGCAATATCAGGATGATAAACAATTGATATGAAAACCTTTGGTATTGATATTTTTACTGGTGCAGGTATTTTAGTTTCTCTTGGTACCTGTTAATGTTCTTTTTGTGTGTGTGTGTGTGTTGGTTTCAGTTCAGCGGGGAGGAAGAGGAGAAGATTAAAAGAGCGGTGGGGACGTTCTGCAGCAACCAGCCGTCTGCGCTGGAGCTCATCAAGAGCAGAAAGAAGAAAGACCAGAGGTTCACCTTATTCATGCGGGTCGGACAGTTTTATCCAGAAGAAGAATTATTCTCATCATGTGTTCAAAAATATTCAGTGACTGTTTGTGTTCAAGAACCTACTTGAACGATCATGTTCACAATTATTATTATCCTATACACAACTGTGACAAAAACAAACCTTAATTCCATCTTAAGTACCAGACTTTGATAAAACAATGATATACATAAAAATCCCAGATAAATAACAATGCAGATGACAAAAATATAAAAGGTTTGGGTCAAGGAGGGCAGTTTTTTTAAAGGTCACATATTATACAAAATCCACTTCCTCATGTTTTTCTAACACTTAAGTATCCCTAGTCTGACTACAACCCCCCAGTGATGAGAAAAGTCCATCCTCTCCGTCTTTTACCTGCTCCACTTTTTAGAAAATGTGTGCTCAAACAGGCCGTTTGGAGAGTTCCCCTTCATGACATCACAAAGGGCAGTAGCCCCTCCCCCAGGTGGGTGACACTCCCACAGCTAGGTGTTTGTTCTGCCCTCTGAGTCTGCCTTCTTACCGTAAACAATAGAACATGGGGCGAGCCACATCCCCTTCCAGAGAGGGGGCGTGGTCAGACACAGCTCATTTACATATTTAAAGGTACAGACACAGAAACAGCCTGTTCTGAGCATGGCTGAAATAGAGGGGTTTATAGACATGATCAAATACAGGATCAGAGTGGATTTAGAACAAGAAACTTCACACACATGTTTTGGGGAGCTCGGAGACTTATTGAAACTGGTTGAAAAAGGATAATAATATGTGACCTTTAAGGGATTTTAAGAACAAATTAATGCTGCCTTTCACCTTATGTTACTCTGGTGAATCAGGCCTCTGGAGCGTCCCTTTGAAAATGATAACGACAAGTCTGATTTATTGACTGTATCTTTGTGTATGTCGTTCAATATTTCCCCTTGTTGTCTCTCTTCAGGAGGCGGAGAGTAACCGTCTGTGTCGCAGGCTGCAGCTGAAAGACATCATCCCTGTGGAGATGCAGAGAGTCACCAAGTACCCACTTCTGCTGGACAATATTGCCAAATACACAGGTAGGTTAAACTGCTTTCATTCCTCTGGTTGCTCACCTTTCAGAATAGTGTATTATTTACAGAGGATTGTTGGAGTTATTTGTTAAAAGAGGCTGCTCGGTATGTTTTTTTACCTTCCCACAGAAGACGGCGAGGAGAGAGAAAAAGTGCGACGAGCTGCAGAATGTTGTAAAAAGATCCTCAACCATGTAAACCAGGCGGTCAAAGAGGCCGAAAACAAACAGGTATCATAACTCTTTTCACAAGTTGGAATATTTGACACTTGGTACAGAGGGAATAGTATGGACTCTACTATGAGTTTCTTTGTTATGTGTGGCCAAGTATATCCAGAGGTGTCAAAAGTATTGACATTCATTACTCAGGTAGAAGTATAGATACTAGGGTTTAAAAAGACTTCTGTAGAAGTTGAAGTATCAACTCAAGCTTTTTACTCAAAGTGTAAAAGTACTGGTTTCAAAAAGTATAAAAGTAACGTAAGGGGGAAATGCCATTAAGGACAAAAGCTTAGGCCGCGCCACAGCATGTCGGAATGGTATATGTTTATACTTCTCATCCAACCACAATCAAATTCACTCTATCCGGATGGCGCGATTTATCTGGATAGGTTTTTGTGTTTTTTTGTGTTTTTTTGAATGAAAACAATCCAAAATGAAATAGGAGTAACGAGGCTATTTTTAAAATGTAAGAAGTAGAAGTAAAAAGTCGGCTGAAAAATAATTACTCCAGTAAAGTATAGATACCCAACATTTCTACTTAAGTAAGGTAATGAAGTATTTGTACTTCGTTACTTGACACCTCTGAATATATCCAATATATTCTGGAAGGCAAAAAGGAAATCGGCCCTTTACTGCCTGTTGTCCTCCAGTCTCTCCTCCCAACATTTCCTCTCTCTCTTCAGCTGTCCGATCCAGTAAAATGCAGAAATGGCCAAAAAAACATCTTTAAAAAAAACTGTGCTGGGGCACCGGTGGTCTAGTGGTTGGTGCGTGCACCTCATGTGAGGAGGCTGGCATCCTCGAGGGCGGGCGGCCTGGGTTTGGGTCCGACCTGTGGCTCCTTCGCTGCATGTCGTTTCCAACTCTGTCTCTCTCTCTCTCTCTCCCCAATTGGAGGGACAGGACAGAGGATAGTGGAGTCAGAAATCAGGACGAGAGAGAGAGAGGGGAATGGGATTTTTGTGGATGGGAGGTTTCTGGAGACTGTGCACTGTGTGACTAAGATGTGATGCATAATTATTCATAAAAAAAATATGTTTGAATGAGAACGAAAGAATGAGACTGAAATGACTTAACTCCAGTCAAATGATGAGTTTACCATTTGTTGTCTTTTGTTCTTTCTCCACAGAGGCTGATCGAGTATCAGAGAAGGTTAGACATCTCCTCACTCAAACAGAGTGACAACCCCATGATCCTCGAGCTGAAGGTAAAAAACTAAGAATGTTTCATCCACGATGGTCTGAACATTACAGATCATGAGCTCAAATTAAAACTAAATCTGTTCTAATACATTACAGCCTCCTTTAACTATGGACCCTTTTTCTCCCGTCATGGCAGATTGTCAAAAGGTAGCTGATTGTTCTTAAAACTTGATTCCTGCCTTTTCAGAATCTGGACCTGACAAAGAGGAAGATGGTGCACGAGGGGCCGCTCTCCTGGAAAATCAACAAAGACAAAATAATTGGTGAATCCCTGAATGAGTCTGCCAGTGTTTCCACGATATATTTCATGTTCTGTTTGTGAAGATTGTTGCCAACCTTCATACCTTCAAACAGGTTAAAAAGCTTTGCTTTGCACAACATCCTCCCTGTTCTTTAATGCATTTGTATTTCCTCTCAGAGCTGTACACACTCCTGCTGGAGGACATTCTGGTTCTGCTGCAGAAACAGGACGAGCGTCTGGTCCTCAAATTACACGGCAAAAACCCGGCCAGTGCAGCCGACACCAAAAACATCTTCAGCCCGGTCATCAAACTCAACACTGTGCTGGTTCGTCCTGTAGCCACTGGTGAGAACTTCACTCATGCTCTGACATGTTTTTCAGTTTGGTATTCTGGCTTCTTGTTTTTGGAATGAAAATGTTTTCATGCTGTCGTAAATCCATCCTCGTTCTGAACAAAATAAAGCGGTTTGGCAGTTTTGAAAAGGTTGTCAGATATCCAGCTCTTTGATCCAGACTGAACTTTCTCAGCAACTGTTGGATGGAAACTCTTTTTACCACAATTTATTACGGCCTCTAGAGAAGAACTCCTACCATTGAGTTTTCACAGTTTGAGTTTTTTTTTGAAGCAGTGGAATTCTTCACAAATACTCAGCGTCCCCAAAGGATGATTCTTTTTTATTTTCTGCCACCATCAAGCGGTTTGAAACAAAATGCTCGACTACTACTAGTGCCATGAAATGTGTACACACACATACTTCTGGGCGGGGATGAGTTGTAATAATAACTTTAGTGGTTCCTCAAATTATCCTGTTTGTGCAATCACCAGGTCAAAATGTCATCCGTCCAATATTTTTGTTTATAAAGGGAAACCTCAAAAAACGGGTTCCCATCGGCCTCAGCTTCACTGTGTGCTCAGAGCAAACTGAGAAAGAACACACGGTTAAAAACAACCAACAAACGATGAATCTGTATTGACATTGGGTCATATATGTAGAAATGTGAAATACTTTTTGAAGTTGGTGCCTTCTTGACCGAGAAAAGGCAGGAAGTGTCTTTTTGGCTCATGTTGATGAAAGACACCAAATCCCAGAATGCACAGCACCGCAGGCCACACCCACTAAGGTCAGCAGCCGTCTCGCCGCTATATATATATATTTTTTTTTCGCCATTATCATCTTTCTCCATAGAGCCTGTTAGCATAGCTTCCAAGCAATATGGCGGACGTTAAGTTTCGATTCTGGGAGTGAGTTCCCACCCACTGATCTGTGATTGGTCCGTAGCTTCAGTGGTCGAAAATATGAGGAACTGGCGTTGTAGTTTCACCCCGCTAACCACAACAGCTTCCAATGACGCAAACTGAAGATATCTTGCGTCAGTGGAAACTCCTTTTAAGACTTAGAAATACAAAGATTTCCCGTCTCAGGAGAAAATGAGGGCGGGATGCACGACCGTTCAAAAATACTACCAGGTTTCTACTGATACAAAGATTAATACAAATGGGTGAAGTATCCCTTTAAGTTTGTATGTTTTTGACATTATTCATGTCTTTGTCCTCATCAGACAACAGGTCTTTCTTCGTGCTGTCCATGTCAGAAAACGGGGCTCAGATCTACAAGGTGAAGTCTCAGACGGTGTCCGATCAGAGAATGTAAGAATCACCAAATCCCTTTTCTTTCCTTCAGCTCGTACATCCTTAATATGAAGTCAGTTTTCCACTTTATAAAGAGAAACAAACACCATGAGCATGAGTGATTGGCGTCACAGTGATTCAACTTTTTCCACCGTGCTGTACCACCTGCTGTCATCCAGGTGGCAGTGTCTGATCACACAATGTGCCGACGCCATGAAGGCCAAACCTCACAACAGAGACAAACCTCCAGCTCAGACCGAGTGAGTCCCCCAACGCAGCCACTAACTCACTGATGTCTTTATTTTATTTTAACGTTGTTTCCAATGAGTTTGTGTTTTGTTTTTTTTTACTCTCAGAGCCGAGCGAGACGCCATCGAGATCATCAAACAAGCTTTGCCCAAAGCGACCAAAGAGGCTGCTGGCACATCGGATGGAAGCGTCAACTCTTCAGGTACGGAAGCTGAGCGTGTTTTAATGAGTGCTGAAATATTTAGGCTGTTTGTAGAAAGTGTTTGTGTTAGCTGGTTCAGAATTAATGTTACAATTACAATTCAATTAGCAGATGCTTTTATCCAAAGCGACGTACATCAGAGAGTAATTACAATTAAAGCTTCTGCATTGGTACACCAATCAGAGTGCAGGGACCAGAGTAAAGCGTCTTCATAGTTTATTTTCTTTCCTTTCCATTTAAAGCTTAACGGAAAACAAAATAAACACTCATCAGGGCCAAACCGATAAATCTAATTAATAAACTAAATCATCCAATAAATGCACAGGAGCATATGTTTACACATAAATAAATGTAGTACTCAGGTACACAGTCAGCATCGTGCAGCTCAGCATGCTGAAGAGATCAAAGGGAGCGAGCAGGGCCGGCTGCAGGCTTCTTAATTACTCAGGTGTGGACTGAACTGGTTATCATGACCACAGGACCTGGACATAAACTCACCTTGGACTCCTACCTACAAAATATAACACTCACACCAGTGTGCCCTCCCCAAGCATGCAGGGTTTGTTTGTAGCACAGGGAAACCCACAATCACACAGCACGTATTCCTTTGAAATGTTGTAATTTATTGTTTAGTAAAACTAGATAGATAGATAGATAGATAGATAGATACTTTATTGATCCAGAGGGAAATTATTTTTAACACCACTCTTTTAACCGCTTATAACAATTATTTATGACCTATTTATCACGCTTTTAATAGAGCCACTTGTATGTGTGTGTTTCTGTTGTTGTTTTTGTGTCTAGCCGTATGCACACTGATGCTCTTTTACAAAAATGAAGTTCCTAACGGATAAATAAAGTTATTTGAATTTGAATTGAATTTGAGTAGCAGGTTACAAAGACATGACATGAAACATTTGTTACAAATTAACCACAAAACCGACGCCCCCCCTCCCCCCATACATATATATTAACCTGAGAAAAGATTTAAAGAATACCTCTAGATGAATCAAACTTAAACTGTGCAATTAAAAATAGACTTATGCAAGAAATGTACATAACCTATAAACAGTTGAGGAAAGAAAAATCTGTAATTAGACCTGAATATAAAAAATAAAAAAGTGTTGTTGTGTTGTTTATATATGTACAGCAATGTTTAAAAAGAAGATTTAGTTTAAAAAAACAGACCTTAAATAACAGTCAGTGCACAGTAAACTGTAAGAACGTTCACTTTTTTTAATAAATCTTAAAGCAAGACTCCCATTAGCCAGCGTCCCGGGGCACTCAAGGCAGGAAGTAGGCTGAAAGAGGAAGTGAGATCTGCAACGCTGTTAATTAAAGGCTTTATATGTGATTTTTTTTGATCCAGCAGATGTCGCCCTTGAGCACCAGCATGAAACCAAAACAACTCGCGCTGCATTGTTGTGTTAGCATGCTAATGCTAGCGATCTTTATTATGCTGGTATCTTCACACTGCATGTAAATTTACCTGAAATGAGCGTGATCTAGAAACACAGTTAAGCAGTGAGTACAGTATGTTATTCTTCTTTTCTCTAGTCCCTCAATTAAACAACTTTTATACACGAGGGGAGGAGTCAGCAGCCGTCCCGACGATGTAAACAAAGTGAAGATAGGACTCTGAAAACTCTGAAAACATCACAGACAGTGGGACTCGGGTGTTACACCCATTGTAGACAGTCATGACTCACAGAGTTATTTTCAGAGGATATACTTGATTTCTACATTTAAGTGTGAAAAATCACATATGAAGACTTCAAGAGTTACTGAGACAGAAACGTTTGTTTCGGACATGAATGAGAAGAATCTGATTGAGAAAAAGAATCAGAATAGCTTGGATTCATATCGTGTCTGTCAAGGGACCCAAGAAGGCTTTTACTTACTACAAATATTATTTAGCCGTCTTTTATCGGCTGCAGCCTTCATGTCAAGAGGATTTTCTGCTTGTCTCTGTTTTTATTTATAAATAACAGTTTTGGGAGAGTATAGTTTGTTGGTTGGACTTAAAAAAGGCAGTCATTTAGAAATGTTTGATTTTTTTTGTGCTATTTTCTGAAAGTTTTCAACTAAATACAACCTGAGTATTGTCATTTTCATCAGTTTTCTCCTCTGAGTGAGATTGGCAACACATTCAAATGTTGCTCTTTCTGATTAACACTTTCAGATCTCGCGTCTCCATGCATCGCCGATAAAGATGCCGCCTCTTCTCCAGACATTCAACGTCCGTCGAGTACCAACCCGTTTGACGGCATGAAATCAGAGGATGAGGAAGAGGAGCTGGCCTCAGCAGAGAGACAGGAGGAGGAGGAGGAGGAGGAGGAGGAGGAGGAGGAGGAAGGGGGTGATGAAGAGATAGATGAAGCAGAGCTGGAGGCGTTCCTGGACGGGCAGCTGCCCTTCCTGCAGGAGGAGACACCTCAGAGCGTCGCTGCTGAAAACCAAGAGCTCAACGCGTTCGATTCAGCCTCCTCCTCTAAAGGCGAAGAGGCTCTCAGGACGTGTAAGTCACACACTCAGAGGCGTACTCTTAGACCTTCTGAGCAGATTTTCAGACCAAAGCAAAACTCTCTTTGGAGATTCAAGATTCAAGATTTTTATTTGTCACATGCTCATACAGACGTGCAGTGAAATGTAAAGACTGTTCTGCAAGGCCATGAAATAAACACTCAAATTACTAAAACATAAGAAATATAATGTAAAATTTAAAAAAAGAAATATTTGAATATACAGAATTAAAGAAATGTGAACTGTGTAAAGTGCCTACTTTGCGCACTTAACAACATAAAATAAGTCAACATCTCGAGAAAAAAAAACGGAAAATGACTCCTGATCACGGGAATATGGAGACAAATGAAATGCATGATTGTCCACTTTGGGCTTCCGTAGAAAAGAGTCTTGTTACAGCATTTAAAGAGGGTGTTTAATCCAAGAAGATCTTACTGGAACATTGAAAGTCTCTTAGTAAAACATGAGAATGATCAGATTTTAGAATATAAGCACTTTGAGATTTTTACATTACAAATTAAATGTATTATTATTATTTTTATTACTTGTCAGCGTGAACCCAGAGCTCAGAACTACAAACTTACAGGGAGTTTGGCTTCTCTCTCTTTTTAGGAAGTCTCTACTCCAGAATAATGTTTACAGAGAGTTTATATTTGTGTTGTTTTTCTCCGTCCCAGTGGCCATGCTGAAGCAGGCTCTTTTCAACCACATGATCAGCAGAGAGGCGGAGGAGGAGACAGGGGGGGAGAAGAGGGAGAGTGGGGCGCCCGGCTGTCAGCCGAGTGCCTCTTTGCCCAGGAGCCCCGAGGGGGGGCCGTCTGCTGCGAGTGAAGAGAGCCGAGTGTCTTCAAGTTCACAGAGAGACGACACTCAGCTTCCCTCGGGACTCACAGGGACGTCAGAGACACCTGAACGCAACGGTGAGGGCTTCCACTTTGTTTCCTTGTTGATTTTTGTCCTAGTAGTGATTAAAAACTCTTCACCTGACTCACCAGACTTTACAAACAGTCTGTATTTGGCAATCGTCATGTTAGCACCCATACAAAGTGAAAAACAAAACAAAAACAAACAAATAACACCAAAAACCGTCACCATGTGTACAACCTATCCCACCAGTTTTATTTTACATCATTTTGTTACTATACTGTCCCCATGTTTTTCTTTGTCCTGTTTGCTCATTCACTTTATTTTGTCCCTCTTTCTAATTCATTCATTTTATTTACTGACCCTTTTCCTTTTGTTTTGTTTGTTAGTTTGCTGTTGTCTAAATCTGCTTGCAAAACTGTATCATACCACAGTTCCCCTCTTGTTTGTATCTCTTTTTTTTTATTGTGCGAGTGTGTGTATGCACGTTTTGGTGAATAAAAAAAATTCTTCACCTCCAGAAGATGTTTTAAATTTCTTGTCAAAGCTGCAGCTCTAATTCCAGTTTTTAATGTCATCTAGTCGACGCTCCGCTTTGCTGTGACTTCACAGAGAAAGCCGACAGCTCAAAGACAGAAAAGCTTTTCAAAATCAGACTTTTAATTTGACCTCCTCCGTCTGCTCTGCTTCTCCCCCTCCAGGTGGTTTTGTGGTTCTGGACTTTGGAGGCTCAGAGGAGAGCAGCACCGATGACGACGGGGGAGTAGGAGTGGACGTGGGGATCGACATGAGCAAACTGCTCTCCTCCTCCTCGCAGACAGGAGGCGTCAGTGGGCCCAACCTCAGCAGGCAGCTCATGACTCACCTGCGCCTCCTGCAGGCCGACCTGCAGTATCTGAAGGTACTGCACATGTTAAGCCTGGTTTCTACTTTATGAAGGTGGGGGGGGAAATCAGTGCAAGTGCAAAAGCTGCTAGTAAAGCATGGCAGATTTTGAGAGAGGACTTCCAGGTAATGAAAATCTCCATGGAAATTTCATGTTAGGGTATCACTTTTACCTGCTCCCTGGTTAAAAGCAGGCTTAAAGATAAAGATAAACTTTATTGATCCCCCATGGGGGACATTTTTTCGTTACAACAGCTCAAGAAAACAGGAATATAATTATTAAAAATAACAAGAAGTTAAAAATCAAACATATTTACATCAGTTAAATAAAGGGAGAAAAAATACAATAATAGAGTAATACAAAGTATGTACACTCCCACTTGTGGAAAGAGTTATTGAACTTGAGGATTGTTAGTCATTTCACTTTTTGACTTTTGCTAAATGTTAAACAGACTTGAGCTCGTATAGCGACCTTCAGTTGAGAGACGACCGACTCTACCAACCGAGCCACAGCTGCCCGACTTTTTTCATCCAATGTTCGAGATTAAATCAAAAAATTATGAATTTGTTCATAAAGAGATTGACTGACAAGTAGTGTAGTGTTTGTCTTTATATGTTGACGTGAATGGTGGTGGTGTGGGGGGTTCAAAATATTTTAATCAGCTAAAGGGGGTCACTTAAAGTCTGGGAACCGCTGATCTAATCGGATTTTCCAAGAGGAAGAAAAAAACCGAGAACAATTTTGAGGAGCCCAATGATCATTTTTATTTGCACAAAATTTTAATTTTGAAGTCCCAAGAACTGTCAGAAAATATTCAAAATATTTCTTTTTAGCTGGTTTATTTTTTTAAACCAATCAGTTGACCCTGAAGTTGTAGCCAGCATCCCCTATAAACTTGAGTTATTTCAATTGAAAAGTAAAAACCTTGTTTTGAATCTTGATTAATCTCCAGAAAAACTCTAAAACAAAATGGTTGAGAGTTTAATATCAGCATGTACATGATTTATTGATTGTTTACCTTTATTTTCTTTCCTGATCTGTGGACTTTACTTTTATTATTTATTTATTTAACCTATATAAAATCTCTTTTTCAAGGGAGACCTGGCAGAGACAGGCAGCAGCAAAAACACAAAGTTACAGACAGAAATACAAAGAGAGACACAAAGTGCAATTTACAAAACACTAAATACTTACTGAGCTTTGATTGTATTTGATGTTTCCAGGAGGTGGAGATAAAGTACAACGAGCTGCGACAAACACACAGCGACCCGGCTACTGACTCAGAGGACAACAATGGTACGTTTCTCTTCCCTTATTTAAAAAAAAAAAAAACCCAGCTGATTGAAGTTCATGTAAGTCTTTTGTTAAATCTTTGTTTGTTTTATAGGTTTACCAGACGGGATTCAGTGATGAAAGACTTCTGTTGTCGTCGTCGTATGAGCCAGATGAATGTTTCTCCTTTGGTGTCTTCTGGACCTTGTTATCGTTGATGTCGCCCCAACAACAGAGAATCAATCTCCGACCACATCTTGTTTCAGTGGAAGTATCAGAATCACCAATGACGCTCCTTTAAAGGAGGGACACTCAGAAGAACCAGAGGATTATTCACTCTCTTTTCTGTTCTAATGATATTAATTATCAATGCATAAATTATCTTTAACACTGGAGATACGCTTTGGAAAACAGACTAACTGTGGATGTACCACGGAGACAAAATAAGAAGAGACATGAAGACTGTGTGCAGGATGACTCTCTGAGGATCCAGAAGGTGGATTTCTTATTCAGGACTCACTGCTGTAAACTTGATATTTCACTTTGCAATTCGTGCTTTCAAACGCCACATAGTCTAACGTGCTTAACGATACTTCCCTACTCTGTTACTGCCCTGAAAAGCAAACTTTTAATCTCCTCTCATCATGGTGAGTATGTGTAAAGATTCAGGAACATCTGCAAAAACAGCCCCCCCCCCTCAAAGAAAACATATATTTATGTTGCATGGTTTGTAATGTATGTCTTTAGCCTAGCTAAGCATAAAAATGGAAATAAGGAGGACCAGCTGGGCTACATGGAAAAACCTCTTAACTCTCATTGGTTGGATGTTTGTTTTATCTTCACACATGCAGAAATGTTAAAATGCAAACATCCGAGTACTAACCTGGCCCCTGATTAGCTTCTGAGACTGGACGAGATCTTGAGTGTTCAGGGTGCTAGGCTGTAAGCAGTGTTTTATAACTCTTAGACAGCTTGAGATATTTGACAAAAGGGCTGGGCTGATGGATTAAAGGATTTTGTCAGAAAGTATTTTCGGGAAGTAGCTCTCCATAAAAGCAAAAATTGTTTTCGTCAGGACAAAAAAACATATTAAGGTTTGGATGAGTTTTACTTGTAGGTAGATTCGGATGTTAACATAAAACATGTTGAACATTTACATGAAAACATTTTGACTTCAAATTTCTCTTAAATTTGAATGAAAAAAATGGACTTAAATGTAGAACTTTTTCATGGAAAAATTGACTTCAAATTTTTCGAAAATTGTCTTGAAAAAATGTTGACTTCGAAAATGTCTAAAATTTTCATGAACATTTTTTGACTTCAAATTTCTCTAAAATTTTAATTAAAAAAATGTTGAAATAAAAAATACGAAGATTTGAATGCAAAAATGTTAATTTCAAATGTCAAAAATTTTCATGAACTATGTTTTACTTGGAAAACCAAATCATGGAAAAGTTTTGGTTTCAACAAAGTCGAAAATCTTCGTGAAACAATTTGACTTCTAAAATGTCAAAAATTGTCATGAAAAAATGTTCAGTTAATCATCACTTCTGGGCCTCCATAGATGTGTGGTGGGGACTGTGTCTGCAGAGACTTCGTCCTCTGACTGGATTTAGATTTGTTTGGTTTATTTTGGTTGATTGGGTCGTTTCTGGGTGTGAAGCTGGTGTGTCTCCTCCAGCCAATAACAGCGTGCAGGTGGGTTTGGACGCAATTTAAACCGGTGAATATGACAGACGTGGACAAAGCTGCAAAGAAGAGATAATGAGGCGATGTGCCAAGCTGATAAAGCTCGTTCCAAGACGAGGTTTAGCTTTAGGTCGGCCCTTACCTGCAGACGCAGAGTTGGTCTGTTTTCTGTTGGACAGGCAGGTGCTGAACACCGGCGGTTAGCTATACAACAAACAACAACCGTTATATTCTCAGGTAGCTAGCAGTGAAGTTACAAGCAGTGAACGTACACACTACATCCTGACACTCCTGGTGGCGATGAGCCCAGGAGGAGGGGCCCAGTTTAAATGTTGTGTTTACAAACTGCAACGGACATTTCTACTGACTCCACCTTTAAGACAATGTTTTTTTACTTTTCCACTGTATTCCAGTCTTTATGCTAAGCTAGGCTAACCTCTTTATGAATCCAGCTCAAAACTTTACGCACAGATATGAGAGTTTGATCAACTTTCATGTCTTACTTGCCGAAGAAAAGCAAAGACACAAGTTTCAGAGCTGCACACACTTTTCCTGGCACATGAAGGATCATGAATCAGAATCAAACATAAATTATTTTGAGACGGCTCACAAGTTTTCCACGAAAAAAGTGTGTACTGATCGTCTTCTTAAGTTTGAATCTCTGACATAACTGAATAACTTTGAAATTCTGTTTAGCAGCTGTTTTTAAAACCCCCAGTATTACAATTTCCCAGAGCACTTAAATGTAGCATGGTAAACCAACAGAACCAGATCCAGATCAGCTCTGTCTTCAGCTCACCAAATATCTACCAAATTAATAACAGTCGACGAATAACCAAACAGTACAGACACACAAACAGAACCTCAGTTACATTTTTGTGTTTTTAAGAATCTACATTGTTCAATGAGGACTCACATTTTGGTTTTCTTTATTTTCTGTTTCACCAGGAGGAGTTTTGTGCAGCTGTTATAAAATGATAAACATTGAGTGTAACTTTTGCTGCACAGCACATCATACCATACAAACTACAGGCTCCTCAGTGTGTGTGTTCACATGTACATTTATCGGTTTAACTTAACTCTAAGGTGTATTTTTTCCTTTTTTTCTGACTTCCACTAGCTTCCATGATAATCTCAGTGAAGCTATCAACTAACCCGAGTGCCATTTTTCACCTCTTCACCTCCTCGATCACTAAAAACTTCTTTTTTTTTTGCGTATATCATGAGATTTTCTTCAGGATCATTTTGAGTTCTGCCTCCGACTTCTTCATCTTCTTCGTGTATTTTATAACCTGTTATTGTTAAAGGCACATGTTACAAAGATTCACCTTCACGGTTGGACTGAAAACACTTCAAAACATTCACCGGCCACTTGACTGCACGGACGGGGAAATGTTTTTATGGACTGATTTAAATGTAAAGGAATATAATGTACAACTATGACTGTGTATCAAAGGTTTGTGTTTGTTTTTTTACACAATGCAATCATGTAATATTTTAACACAGACTAATTAAAACAGGGTTAAGTATCCACTCAGCATGAAATCTGTTGTTATTGTTGTTATTTTGTTTTATTACATATTTTATTACATCAGCGTTAATCACCATGGAAACAGGTTTTCTGACATTGTTGAAAACTTTTTTTTAAAGGGAGAATGAGCGACTTTTTGATCCAGTAGGTGTCACTGAAGCCTCCGCTCTCCTCCAGCAACACACCTCCAACCCCCCTCTCCACTGGCGTTCACACGACGCAGTTATCAATTTGAACGCACCATAATTAAGGACCTGGGGACTTCTTTTGTTTTGGGAAGTAGCTCTCCATTAAACCAATAATTGTTTTCGTCTGGACAAAAAAACATATTATTCTTTGGATGAGTTTTATTTGAGTCAGATGTTAACATCAAACATGTTGAACATTTTAATAAAAAAAATAAATGTCGAAGATTTTCATGAAAAAATTTAATTCAGAAATGTTGAAATTTTTCATGAAAATTTCCTGCTTGAAAAATGTTGAAAATTTTCATGAAAAAATGTTGACTTCAAATTTGTCGAAAATGATCATGAAAAAAATGTACTTCAAATGTCTGTGTCTGATCATTCTGTGCATTAGCATGCTAATGTTAGCGCTCTTTAGTTAGCTCGTAGCTTCACATTTTACATAAACTGACAGAGAATGAGCGTGATCTAAAAACTCTTACTAACATCCAAATAATCAGTGAGTATGTTCTTCTTCTTCTCTCTAGTTCTTGACTAAAACAGCTTTTAAACACAAGGGGAGGAGCCGGCCGTCCCGTCCATGTAAACACGGCCTGACAACAACACACTCATTAGACTCAGAGAGACATGGGGGATTGACAGGAGAAGCTGGGGATAAAGAGTGAAAAATCCAACTGCCCATCCCTAACACTTCAGGAGTTCTGTGTAAGTTTGAACAAGGCTTCGGTTGCAGTTGAAAATGAGAGTAAAAGAGGTTTCATAGATTGAGGTAAACTTAAAAATATGGCTGACGAGGTTGTTTCTTTTCTTGTAGCATCAAAACTTTATGGCAGTAAACACAGAGTTCAACAATCTTTAGGATGATTCCCCTCAGTCCCTCTTGTTTGAAAGTCCATCGGGTTCTGGTGTTTTCGTTTCTTTCAGCTTCTGGTTCTCTCGCCATCTTTTATACTTGGCCTTACTTTTCTTGTAGCCGAATTTGGCGATGTCCACCATGAACACCCAGGCCAGTCCGTACATCGCCACGCCTCCCAGCTTCATTACGAGGGATGTCCTGGGAGAGGTGAGCTCGCAGTAAAACATCGCAGTGCCCACTCCCACGCGCACGGTGGCGAACAGAAAGATGAACAGCAGGTCCACGGCGTCGCCCAGCAGGCTGTCGTACATGCCCACCTGCCGAGGAACCAGCGGGTCTGCAGCAGGGGGTTGGTGATCTCGCTGCCGAAGATAACCGCGCAGGTTTCGCAGCCCGACACCCCCATGAGCAAGGCCAGCAGGATGCCCACCATGCTCGCCGCGTGGTGAGCCAGCATGACGGGACCCTCGGTTCGATTGCATACACACCAGCCCATATCGAAGAGGAAGTAGCCGAGGCAGACGGCCAGGGACAAAGTCTGCAGCTCAGTGTTCTCTGTACCTGGAGGATAGAAAGACACAGGGTTGTGCATGAGGCAATATCAAGACGAAGCACAAAAAACAAACTAATGTGCTCTAATGCAATTTCTGTTATTTCTGCAACGACTACAGCATGGTGACCAATATTTAAAAAATTATCTTCATATCAATAATTGTCTTCATATCTCATAAAGCTGTTATGGCTTTAATGAGTGATGGGTAGTTTGGTTTATGTGGGGACCTGTGTATTGTTTAAGAGTAGGCCAGTGGGACCGTGACCTTAGTCCCTGCGACCCTTCCCCTGTAGATCTGGATCCTTTCCCACCTGCATGTGTGAGGGGCCAGGGTCCGTCTATGAAGATGACGTAAGCTGTCAGCAGCACTATGAGGACCCCGTGAGACAGAGTGACCAGCCGACAGTTCCACTCGGGTCCTCGACGAGGAAACGTCCAGCAGAACAACAGGTAGAGCGAGAACCAGCCAATCAGGCTGCAGATCACCTCCAGCACAGGCATGGCTGTCTTTCCTTCTGTGGGAAGATTTCAATTGATTTATCATTTTAGATACAAAGCATGAATGTCTGGGTCACTTCCTGTCTCTAAGCCAAACTTATTTAATTTAGAAGTCACCTTAAAGCCTTAACGAGTGAAACACTTAGCAGACATGTTTGTTTGCTTTTTAGATATTTCGGGTTTTTTGGTGCCGAGACAGAACAGATGATAGGGTCGCCTTCTTCAAGGGGCACTGCCTGTCAACAGTCAAGGCAAACTTAAAGGCTTTATATGTGATTTTTTGATCCAGCAGATGTCGCCCTTGAGCACCAGCATGAAACCAAAACAACTTGCGCTGCATTGTTGTGTTAGCATGCTAATGCTAGCGATCTTTATTATGCTGGTATCTTCACACTGCATGTAAATGTACCTGAAATGAGCGTGATCTAGAAACACAGTTAAGCAGTGAGTACAGTATGTTATTCTTCTTTTCTCTAGTCCCTCAATTAAACAACTTTTATACACGAGGGGAGGAGTCAGCCGGCCGTCCGGGCGATGTAAACAAAGTGAAGATAGGACTCTGAAAACTGTGAAAACATCACAGACAGTGGGACTCGGGTGTTACACCCATTGTAGACAGTCATGACTCTCAGAGTTATTTTCAGAGGATATACTTGATTTCTACATTTAAGTGTGAAAAATCATCATCATTTAAAGCAGTGGCCCAAAACGTGCATTTTTTGCAACGACAGTAGGAAACCTCCCTAAGGGGGCCCCATTTGACAGCACTCATTCTCTTTCTCTGCTGAAACTTGCATGCATTATTTCTGTGAAAACCAAAGTTTGTCAATGAAAGTCAACATGTAAAAATGAAGAGGAATCATCCGTCTAGGAGAGAAAAAAGAGGAAGAAAATAAACTTTGTGTTTTGAAATGTAAATCAACGAGATCCTCATGAATGGACTTCTACTCATACTGCGTGGATCTGACCCAGTGTTGCATTAGAGTGCCATATTGGCTCAGATTTGACCCAGTGACTTTTATTGTAGTGTGTAACACTATTACCACAGACTTACCTTAACCCCTCCTCCGCTCAGTTGTCCTCAGACTCAGGAAACATGAAGAAAATTACTCCAGCGGCTGCGCACAGACTCGTCCTCCATCGCTGTTTATCTTCATATCAGGCATTAAAAACTCCAAACCAAAGGGCCTGAAGCTCAGCACATTTCTAAATGACACATGTCCAATCTGTCAAGATGACAGAAATGCCATGTGCAGGCTACTATAGACAGTTAGTGGATCCTTTATCCCTTCCCCCTGGACCTAAGAACTGATCCTCTTAAAGGATTACAGTCTCTGCAGATACCTGCTTTTAGACAGGACGGGTGATACCAGCAGCAGCTGTCACACTCTGAAGTGACACCAAACTGAATTTTGCTAAATGTATCACATTTTTTCTGAGGTCTGTGCATAATCTGAATTCAGCTGAAGAGCGAGGAGAGATCCAAGTCTGCTGTGTTTCTTCTTCTCGCTCCTGATGTATTAAGCCTTGAAATGAAACACACAGAGTATACAGAGTTTAAAAATTATTTAAAGCTTATAATCAAACATTCTTAAACGTTTACATTTTAAGGATGTATATAACTAAATACTTTAATGCAAGTGCTTTACTCAGTGGATGCTTTGAGTGCATTAATGTGTAATATCACTTTTTTTCATCAATCGAAAATATTAGTTTAGCACAAGTTGGAGTGATGTTCTGAATATCATCACTGCTATGATGCGGCCAGACTTGTGCCGAAGATAATCACAGGCCGGATTTGAACCTGAGCCGCCCGCTTGAAGGACTACAGCTTCTACACATGGGGCGCGCGCACCAACCACTGCGCCACCAGCGCCCCAAAAGAGCAGATCATTTTTTTAACTCCAACAACTCAATTATTTCAAATCTGAACTGAAGCTAGACCGTTGCCAAGCAACCCAAACATTCTATTCTACTGTTGGTGTCCATGGTTACCACACAGCACCTACTCTGTAGTCAGAGCCTTATACATTTACTTGTTTGTTAAAATACATTTTCTGAGATTCTGAGGTTTGAGATTGATAAATAAAGAAAAAGACCGTCAGCTGTTCGTGTAAATTAAAGTATTCAGAGCTCCTGGAGTGATATATAAAGTGAAAAGTCCCAGGTTCTGTTGTTCTCCTGTATCGTCACTCATGGAATGCCTCTTGTCCAATCAGATTGCTTGGTCAGAACTTACTGTTGTATAATTGTCAATATCAGAGATCCTGTTCAACAGTGATGATCCATAACGCTTGTTGAAAACTTGTGCAATGTTATTTTTTATGTACAGTCAAAGTTTAAGACATATGCATCTCACCTGACCGTCCTGCAGCATAAACCCACTTCCAGAATCTCTCCAATCTGACACAAGAGAAGATTATTGGTCTGTCGCTGAAAATTCAAATGTAAAACTTTTTGATTTGGTTCTCTACCTGGACTGTTTGACTCTGAGGAAGACACAGTGCGTGGAAACGTTTGTCATTTACACCAATTACATTTGCCTTAAGTGATGTGTGTGCTCCAGTACTTTATTTGGATTCTGTCTGAGAAAAAGAGTCCATTGTTTTATATTTTGAACGTCTAAGGTCCTTCTCTGAGAGCACTGACTTCCAATTTGTGAAGCAGCTGAAGCTGATAATTATTATGTTTTATCAGAGGACGTAACAACAATTACACATGAAGTGGAATAACTGTCGATTACAACAAATCACATTTTGAAAGCTTTATTCAAGTGATCAAATATTGTCTTACAAAGAATACCTTTTTGAATCCCAGAAACATGATTTTTTGTTACGCTTTTTTCTTCCCATGTCAGGAACCACTGCTCTAACAACTGCTGATTGACAGAAGCAGCGGCTGCTCATGTTGCCTGAAAGAGTGAATGAAGGAGACAAACCTCACTCCTCCTCCTCTGAGGATTATCTGAGTTCACAACTTTGAATTTAATACACAAAAATTAAGATCTGGAAAATGGAAAGTATACTGGATACATTTTTATTTTAGAAGAAAGGCTCCAAGTTATAATGTCATAAACTCCGGTACAGTAGAGGGCGCACTTCCCAAATCATCTGTCTCATTTCTTATTGAAAACAAAAGGAAGCTCCTCATCTTTTTGTCCACTTCCGGAGTTAGAGGTAAATAAACATGCTGGCTGTAATGTCATTGAAAAACATATTGACATTTGAGCTGGTTAACATCAGTTTTTAAACATCACGAGTTAGATCTTCAGCCGATTAAACACAAAATACAACTCGGTTCTGAACAGGAAGTAAAGGTGAGCCCAAGCGAGAATTTGAAGCGAAACCGCCTTTACAAATCTGTCAAACTAATACTCACGGGGATATTATCGGATGTGTGTTTTATGTATATAATGTTTTACTACTTGAGACGACTCTTCTGGAGCTGTTTCTCCATTCGGCGTTAATAAGATGTACCGAACATACCCAGAAGTAGGACAATTTTAACTTTAAAAGTCGTTTCACGTGCTAGTCCGTACAGTGTTTGGTCGTATTACTAAAGCGCAAGCTGATGGTGAAGAGGTTAAAAAGTGACATTTAACGAACAGTAAGATTTATAATTTGACCCTCAGTGTGCCGAATTAACCAGTGCACCTTTATCTTTAATAGTTTAAAGGCTAACAGCTGTTTTTTTTAATAAATTGTTAACCACGCAGAAATTAAGATATTTATACGAATTATTTAACGAGATTTGGTACCGTTACAACACCTACAACATTAAACAGACAGTAGGCCTACAGTCTTATTGATGCTTTCTATTAAATATAAAGGGAATAAAAACAAATCATAATCAGAGCTACTGGCCTTAAATCAGACATTATGCAGTTTCTTCATTTTTAAACACTATTAATTTTCAATATTTCTACATTATAACTATTATTGTATTTTTTACTAGTTATTTCCTCTTGTTATTATTTCTATTATTCATACTGTTATTGCTGATGTCTCTCCAGCTGTTGTAGATCTTCAATTCTGTCTCATCTTATATTGTGTTTTATTTCAGCAAAGACAACGCTAGCTGTCTGCATAACTACTTTGTTTTCAACCTGATGCATATTAAGGACCAGTACATTTTTATTGTTTAAACATGCACCTTTTAAATAACCTTAAATTAAATGAATGCACTTCTGAATCAGAATCAGAAATACTTTATTAATACCACAGGGAAATCTGGTCGTATGTCAAGTTTATTGCATATTTTTTTAAATTCCTGCTGGTAAATCCACGTCTTTGTGTCTTTCTCCGCAGGATGGCTCTTCTGTGCGTGCGACCGTGCACTCGCCACATGAGCGCAGGGCTTCGAGTCTGCGGCTATGCGACTCTCAGTAAATCATCCAGACCCCAGGAGAAGGACAACAGCGGCCCGGTCTTTCAGTATGTCGGCGAGCACAAGAAGCCCAACCACAAAGTGTTCGTTTGGGGCTTCAGCTTCACCGGAGCTCTGGGTATCCCGAGCTTTGTGGTGCCCGACAGCGGCAGGAAGAAACCCCGCAAATACCAACTCACTCCTTACCGGCTGGAGACGGCAAAGCAGGTGAAATCAAGACTGGAGATGCTTTTGAAAAATGGAGAGAGGTTAGAACACAGAAAGGTTTACAGACCCATGCAGAGCTGGATAAACACTGAAGCTTCAGAGTCCACCACATGGTGACCTGTGTGAGCATCCACTCTAGAGAGGAGGGGGGAGACAGCTCTCTATGATGTTTAGAATTTTACTGCAGTACCATTTTGAACACTAGGGGTCAGAGTTACATACTGCTACTTTTGATCCACCCTTGTTAACGTTTGTGTAATATTTCCTTTTCATCAATATCTTCAATTTCTCTTTCAAATTTTGATCTTCCTCTGTTGTAGATCTCATCTGCTGCTTGTGGCTACGGCTTCACTCTCATCGCCTCCTCGACCACAGATGTGACCAAACTGTGGGGCATGGGCCTGAACAAGGACTCCCAGCTGGGCTTCCAACGCACGCAGAACAGCCGCCGTAAGACAAACCTGAACTCATAATACCAAACCAGACGTACTGCTGCCTTCCACTGTGCAGAAAATATCATGAGCAATCTCTTCTAGCATTGTATTACTCTCACCGCTCTTAGCGACCATGTTCCCACTAAAATAAACTTCGATAAATAACTCAACATGGAATTGCAAGAAGTTGGTGGAGACCAAAAATGAGCTAAAATTAAAGTTAAGTTCTGTACTAAGATGAATCATTTGGATGGGAATAAAAATCCCAAATTAAACGCAATGTTTCTGTTAGTGCTTTCACACTTTTGGGCCAATTGGGGTCAAGTGTCTTTCCCAATATCGAACCCCAGACCTACCAACCCGACTCTACCAACTGAGCCACAGCATCCAAGAGAGTGGTGCGATTTCTGTGCATCGTATTAAACAGCTGCATTACGTTTGATTTTGTGCAACTCAGACAATTAAGACAGTTTGCAGCAATTTTTGGTAGTTAAAAAAACAACCTTGGGCTTCTATTTGTTTTGCTGTGGTATCAAAAAGGTTTCCTTATCGTTCAGTTTTTAACAGTATCATATCCAAGTTTAAAATTCTAGTATCATGACGACCCTGCTGCCTCACATCTTGACCTTTTTCAACCCTCCTTGTCTGCAGATCACAGCTACGACTACGTGCTGGAGCCGTCCCCGGTGGCTCTGCCTCTCGCGGAGCCTCAGCAGACCAGACTGGTTCAGGTGGCGTGCGGCCGCGCTCACTCTCTGGTCCTCACCGACAGAGAGGGAGGTAAGAGACTCAAACATACTGCACCAGCAGAAGAAAGTCAAAGCCTGTAGGTCTCTGGAGGCTCTTTAGAGGCAGAGGCAGAGGTGAGTCTCACAGCTGTCGGGAGGAGAAAGAGCGTCTGCTGTAGTGTTGTTAGAGACGAACTGTTACACTGTGTGTCCTCTGAAACCTGCTGCAGATGACTGACTGTCAGGCAGCTGTTAAGTCTCATTCAAAATGCAAATTGACATCTTCTTGTTCTCGTATCCGCAACCCGATCTCTGATAAGCTGAAGGAAATGGATGGATGGTTCTTATGTTAACGCAGATAATTAACATGAAGTTCATCTAGGTAGAACCACATGTTAGCAGATTTACAATGAGTTAAAACTTGATGAACTAGTTATTTTAAAGAATCAAACAAACTCACTTTACGATCAACATCGGCCACAGAATGGAAAGAAATAGCCTGTTAGCCAAGCTAGCTCGCTGCCGTACGGTCTCTCAGAAATCCACTGCAAAATTGCAATTTCTTGAGAGTACTCGAGGCACAATCCTGACCAAAATATTACAGAGGACAGGAGTTTAGCCGTCACATCGGATTTCACAGAGATTCCCATAGGAATTATTGGACTTCTGGTTGACTTGAGTCCTTACACATATGTGGAGACGAGGCGTACAAGGGTTAGGCATCACAGCTCTGCATAGCTTGTGCTGCATTCATGTGCTGCTCGGGTGGTCCAAGTTTCCGAGTTGGGAAGTCGTTCTTCCGACTTCAGTGTGTTCATGTGATTTCAGTTCAGAAAGTCTCAATGTTGTAACGACAACAGAAAAAAGCCTTGATGCTACAGAGAAGAAGATCAGTGAAAGACGCTGACGAGACTCTTCTCCTCTGTCGCCCCCGGTGGTGGAATGAACTTCCAAACTCCATGTGATCTGCAGAGTCCCTCTGCACCTTTAAGAAAAAGCTAAAGACCCAGCTCTTTCATGAATACCTACTAACTTAATGATGATGGTCTCCATATTATTGATGATGATGATGGTAATTGACGATGGTTTTTGTTTGATAACGACGACTTATAAGATGGTTTCTATACTGATTAGAGCTCTCAAGAACTGCCCTCAATGTTGTGCTTTGCCTCTGGTCACTTCCTGTCAGCACCTGTGTGTCCAATCAGACTCAGAGCTGATCGTTTGCTCTTACTGACATTGTTCCCTTTTTTCTAGATCCTTGCTTGTGTTGTTCTTACTCTCTGATGTACGTCGCTTTGGAGAAAAGAGTCTGCTAAGTGAATTGTAGAAATGTAACTGTTAAAGGTTATATTTGAGCAAAAAGTTGATGTGTTGACGTTTCTGACGTCAAATCAGGAAGTCGGGCACCTCATTCTTTTCAGAGTTTCCAAGTTGTTGTTCCGACTTGAGCAGGTGTTCGTGTGCGTTTTACAACTCAGAAACTTGTTTTTTTACGACGTGTCTGACACCACATGAATGCAGCATTAATACAGTGCAGTTGCACTCAGAGACCATCAGTGAGTGCCAAAACGCACCAAACCAAATTCCTCCATAATGTTGCTTTAAGCTTAAAAAACTGCCTCTTCCAGCTGTTTTTAACATCTACTGAGCCTTCGATAAATAAAAAACCGACATATCAACACCAGACTTATCCTTGAAGAAAAGAACATTTTGTACCTGATATGTGACGGTGCTGTTTGAATAATGTGTTGCATTAGTTTGGCCTGATGAGGGATCACAGCTCGTGTCATTACTAACCCACCGCGTGTCTCAGAGAGGTGATTTTGTCTCAAAAGAAAACTTCAGTCAGTGAATCTCTGCAGGATTCACAGAGGGTAAAAAAAAACAAAAAAACAGGACATGACTTTGGCTAATGAGGCTCAGCGGTCGTTTCACAGATTCCTTCATTTCAGGCAAAACTTTTCCTCCCAGAACAAACTCAAACTTTGATCAATGGGGAAATGCAGCAAATAAAAAATGTAATTGTGTTCTTTGTAATCTCTCAAAGGCTCCTGCAGGGCTTTGATTCTTACTGCGAGTAAATCAAGCAGCCTGTTGACGATAACACATTTCACATGACGAGATAAGAGTTTTATCAGAATATGAAATGGGTGCTGGTGTTGACTTATTCATGACTTTATAAACGGAGCTAATTTGTTTTCTCTCTCTCTCTCTGCACAGTTTTCAGTATGGGTAACAACGCGTACGGACAGTGTGGAAGGAGGATCATTGAAGATGAAGTCTACAGGTTAGAAGATCTCCACACACACATACTCAAACCACGCTGATGAGTTTTCATAAAACAAAGAAACATTTTCAGTCTCTTTTGCTTTTTTTTTTTTTTACGTCAGACACTCATGCTTAAAAACCCCTCTAGTGAAAAATAAAGTTTTTATCTCGCAGCATTTCAGAAAAAACACCAAATTGACATCAGCAGTGAAAGCAGTGGTTGTTTAATTCTACTTTAAAACACTGAAGCAAAGATTGAAACATCAGATCTGTGATCATCCTGCTAACCTCTCGGTCGGAGAGCAGCTGCCTGTTTTACACGTAAAGTTTCACCTTCAGTTTTTAACTTTCTGAACTACGATTGATCTGAAATGAACAAAAGCTTATCAGTTGCTCTTTAACATACAGTCGAGTCAAAGACTTATGTTATTCTTAGCAGTTTCATTTCTAGAGTTTTATAGAGTGATGTGAAGTTAAAGCGAGTATCAGATGAGAAGCATGTCACTCATTCTTATCAAATGCAGAGGTGTAGCGGTATATCAAAGGACATTTTAAGGTATGAATGGATTTTTTAAAAAAAAGGAAAAAACTTGAATTTTTTGGAAGTTTAATAAATGTAAGAAGAAGAAATCAAAACGTTGATTCTGATTTGTTATATTTGGGATTCCAACCTTCACAGCAGGGTCCTAAAGGCGTACTCACACTAGCAAAGTTGTCCCGTACTGTTCTTCTTAAACACGATTACCCCCCCCCCCCCCCCCTTTCCATTCCCCCCGTTGGCCTGCACTCACACTGCTCCAGGACTAACCGGGCCAGAGCACGGCCACCTCTTACATAACGTCGTAATGCAACACATGCATGTCTTTACATAATAATGAAGCATGCTTAGTTTACAGGACAGACGGCCTCAAGAAATGAAATTCCAATGTAAAGGTGTGACTTCTGCTTCTACCGTCCTCTGGTCATTTATGAACTATCTCTCTCTCTCTCTCTCTCTCTCTCTCTCTCTCGTGTTCAAACAGCGGCAGTCACGTCATTCACAAGCTTGACGGCTTCAGCAGCAGAGTGGTCCAGGTGAGTGCAGCCTCTGCATGAGCTCTGACGACAGATAGTGCTGGTTAGAGCGTGTCACACTTCCTCCTCACACCCCGACTGTGTTGAGATTTTTAGGCTGTTGAGTCACCTCACATCTGTTGCTTTACACGCTCAACACATTGCTGCACGTCACACACAGCCCCGAATCTCTCCTCCTCACATTTCCTGTCTCTCTTCAGCTGTCCGATCTAATAAAGGCAAAAACTAACTCTGCAAATAAATAAAAGAATTGATTTGAAAAAACTCTCTGAATGGTCTTTGTTTTTTCTTTTGTTTCCAGGTAGCGTGTGGACAGGACCACAGCCTCTTCCTCACTGACACAGGAAAGGTCTTTGCTTGTGGATGGGGCGCAGATGGACAGACGGGTAAGTGCCCTTCAGGACAAAGTGTTTTTATTTTTCATAGGCCTCAGTCAGTCCTCTCCCCCTTGAAAGCCACATGACAAATGCTCTTTCAGCAAACATAGCCACTCCCGCTTGAGAGAATCTGAACAGAGACACAGAGAGAGATAAACACTCGACGACAATGATGACTGAAAGCGTTGTTTTTGAAGTATGAGTGTATTTATCGATGATCATAAAACCAGTGTTGTTCTAAGGCTCACAGTGAATCTGGACATATTTACACTCGTTGTTAGAAGGTTTTATTGAAATTGAGAAGAAGAAAAAACAGTAGTACAATTCTGAGGAAGACTCTGGAAGAAGTTAGGGTGCAAGAAATTAGTGAAATATCTTTTATTCTTATCGTATCATTCTTTCTTGTCATGCAGGTCTTGGGCATCATAAAATCAGCTCCAGCCCGGTGGAGGTGGGAGGGGATCTGGCGGGGGTGGAGGTGCAGCAGATCAGCACGTATGGAGACTGCAGCCTGGCCGTGTCCAGAGACGGGCAGCTGTTCGGATGGGGCAACTCTGAGTACCTGCAGCTGGCTTCTGTCACCGAGTCCACTCAGGTGAGGAACGCCCACAGAGGTGAGGAAGGGACGGATGGTAAACAAAGGATACTAGATCGACATGTTTGGGTTTCTGTACTGAGCCTCCATGTGGCACAGAGAGCTGCTTGATGTCTCTGTGCTTTTATTTCCACCTTTCAGTCAGTCATCCATCCAGGCTGTCAGAAGCTCTGATTGCAGCAGCCGCTAATCAAACACACAAGATATATAATGTCTGAAATCGAGGTTCAAAATGTTCAGACTTGATGAATTCAGTTCTGTGACATCAAACTCCCATGTAGAAAATCACTTTTTCTAAACTCTCCCTGGCTTGCCTGTCCGTACATGTCGCTAACAGTCGAGACAGTTTCCACCTTTATGTGCAGTGCTATGTGTATACATGCACAGTATCAACAAACGTGTGGTAAAAAAACGCACTTGAGAACAGGAAAGAGTTCGAAGCAGCTTCACAACCTGCACAACGATCGCACCTGTTGCTCCCCAGTCGTGTGAAATAAACGTCAACACCCTGGCCTGCTCGCTCAAGGGGAATGTTTCCTGCGACGTTCACACATCAGCTCACCCTGACTTCAAGGAAAATGTTTACAAGGAGGCTGGCTGGAAGAATAAGTGCACACATGTTGCTTACCATAACACCTCATTGTGGAGGGGAGACGAGCCGAAAACATGCATCCTAGTGTTAAAGGAGCAGTATGTAACTCTGACCCCTAGTGTTTAAAATGGGTACTACAGTCTAAATTCTAAACATTGTACAGAGCTGTCTCCCCTCCCTCCTCTCTAGAGTGGATGCTCACACAGGTCACCATGTGGTGGACTCTGAAGCTTCAGTGTTTAGCCAGCTCTGCATGGGTCTGTAAACCTTTCTGTGTTCTAACCTCTCTCCATTTTTCAAAAGCATCTCCAATATTGATCCTAGTTTGAGCACGTTTCTGCTCGTGGAGCTTATTAGAAACATGCAGAGGCTTTTTAGGTCCGGTACAATCACTTCTATCTGAACCACTTCTCTTGACCGCTTCCATCGCTGCAACACCTGTTGACCTGATAACTGCTCTCATATCTGACAAACCGAGGGGCGTCCAAAACGGCCGTGTGGGGGGTCGCCTTAAAACCGCCTACCTTCTGTAGTCCAAACAAATCCAGAGCATTCAGGAGCAGAATCTAAAGTTAGAAGGAGGACATACTGGCTGCTGTGTTGTTGTCAGAGAAGCCAGCACTTCAACATAGCATGTTTCCTTAATGATCAGATAGTAAGATACCTTTATCATCTCACTCTCTACACATCTCACTGATTGGACCTTTAACACCATTTGGAAATACAAGAAAACATCAAAGTATCAAATAAGTAACAGATGTTCACCTCATCCTCATGTTTCAGATCAACACTCCTCGACATCTCCCTCTGAAAGGCTTCGGGAAGGCAGTTCAGGCGGCGTGTGGAGGGACACAGGTGGTCGTCCTCAACGGTCAGTTCACACGTTGAGAAAAACACGACTCAAACATGGACATGCAGTGTGTTTGAAATAGAGAGAAGCAAAGGAAAGGAGACTGGTTAGGAGGATTAAGACGCCCTGTTACTTTAAAGAAAAAAACACTTTTTAGATGCAAAACAGTTTCAGAGGTGAAGCTCCACTTGTGGCCTCCGGGGGGCGTCATAGATCACAGTTTTTGTTGCCTCAAGTAAAGGGATCCAGAGTCTTTGTGAGAAGCTCCCTGTGTGTTAAACAGTGACAGGATCACCACCAGCTTACTCATAAATACTTAGATAAGAGATTTAACTTCTCTAATGTCGTTTATTTAGACACATGATTTATGTTTTGGTGTAAATATCCTCATCACTCATCCCTGTGTCTCTGAATCTTTCAGACAAAGGAGAAGTGTTCGTTTGGGGTTACGGGATTCTTGGAAAAGGCCCCAAATTATCTGAATCCTCGACCCCAGAGATGATTCCCTCCACGCTGTTCGGACGCTCCGAGTTTAACCCCTCGGTGGTCGTCACCGGCGTCAGGTGTGGCCTCAACCATTTTGCCGCAGTGACAGGTGAGTGTCACCTTTTTAGGGAGTCTAGACTCGAAGCTATCTCGTTAGGAACTGGTTTTAATGAGTGTTTTCACCGTATTCCTGCTTCAGCTTTCAAAAACCAGCACAGATCTCCTCGACCTTTTACTTTCCAGTCGAGATAAGAGATGTAAACATGAAACTCATCAGCAGTAAAGTCTGATTCAGTCTGAAGGGCGGGAAGTGAGACAGTAACGTCTGGAGACAGAGTTTACCGTTGAGTCATGTCAGTCTGTCTGTTTATGGCACAGAAGGAACAAAAAAGATCCGTCCTTTGTCTGCTTTTTTTGATCTCTGCAGCAGCAGCAGCAGCCTGAGAGGATGCGCACTCTGTCTGACTGAAAAGACCTTTAAGCCACTTTTTATGAGTCAGACTCAAAACGAACCAGGAGCAGCAGGAAGTTAATATCTGAAGTATTTGTTACAATATCCAGGATTCCTCTTGAGATGAACGTTTCCCTACAGCGGAGACTGTCTCTGGAGTTTTAGACAGCGGCGGAAACTCAGTATGAATAAGTACATCTGCTCAAAACAAGATGCTAGACTTGAACTGTAGCAACTATTTATATTATTTTCAATTTTTTATTTGGTTATTCTGGGCGGCTGTGGATCAGTTAGATAGGACAGTGGATAGAGTCAGAAATCAGGGAGAGAGAGAGTGGAATCACCAGCAGGAAAGGAGCCACATGTCAAGATTTAAACCCAGGCCGCCCACTTGGAGGACTACAGCCTCTGTACATTGGGCGCGCGCACTAACCACTAGGCTACCGGCACCCCAGAAATATTTTGCACTTAGAGAACCTAAAACCTGAGACAGTGCACTACTGCTCCCCGTTTGTGCTTGAACAATCTTTGACGATTAAATAAAAGTTACTTATGAATTGTTTCAGGTGATTTTTTTCTGTTGCTGATCTACTAAATATTCAATTATCTTTCTCTTCAGTTACTTTATACTTCCTCTCCACTGTATTCAGAGGAAACTAATGTGTAGTTAACTTCTATAAATGTATAGTGTGAGAGTTTTCACCTCTCTATAGAGCCAGGCTGCTCATATTGCTTTGCTTCTGAAGACGAGGAGTTCAGTGTGAACATTGAAAGTCTTTAAGAAACCATTGCCTTTTTCATAGTTGTGAAAAAATGACGAGTTCTGGTTCTTATTTTGTTTCTACTCTGCATGTCTCAAAGATGATCCGAGTTAAACGCTCTGACTTGTTTTGAACTTCAGCGGCCCCGCTCTGATCCTCAGCGTGTGTTCTGCCTCGCAGCGTGATGATGATGATGATGATGATGATGTTTTTTATGGTTTCTCTGCAGACCGAGGCGAGCTCTTCGTCTGGGGGAAGAATGTGAGAGGTTGTTTGGGCATCGGGAAGAGAGACGACCAGTACTTCCCCTGGAGAGTAAGACAACACTGATTCAATATTAGTCATGCAAACAAAAACAAAAAACGAGTCTCAACATGTCACTGATGAACTGTGCAGAGGAAACACAACGCTGACATGTGAGCTTTATCTCACTTCTCCTTTAAATCAAAGTGAAATGCAAATAATGTACATGCAAACATTTCCGTTTTGTTCACAGAAGAAAGCTGCTTAAAGTCTTTATATGTGATTGTTCACACTTAAATGTAGAAATGAAGTATCTCCTCTGAAAATAACTCTGTGAGTCATGACTGTCTACAATGGGTGTAACACCCGAGTCCCACTGTCTGCGATGTTTTCAGAGTCCTATCTTCACTTTGTTTACATCGCCAGGACGGCCGGCTGACTCCTCCCCTCGTGTATAAAAGTAGTTTAATTGAGGGACTAGAGAACATAAACAACAGCAAGAACATAACAAATGCAAAATACTAAAAATAATTAAATACAATTCAAAAGAAAAGAACCCAAAGTGCACGATACCCAACAGACATATAGAACCCGACCATCACAAGAACCATCACAAGAACCATCACAAGAACCATCACAAGAACCATCACAAGAACCATCATAAGAACCATCACAAGAACCATCACAAGAACCATCACAAGAACCATCACAAGAACCATCACAAGAACCATCACAAGAACCATCACAAGAACCCAGGCAACACAAGAACCATCATAAGAACCCAGTTAACACAAGAACCATCATAAGAACCCAGTTAACACAAGAACCATCATAAGAACCCAGTTAACACAAGAACCATCATAAGAACCATCATAAGAACCATCATAAGAACCCAGGAAACACAAGAACCATCATAAGAACCATCATAAGAACCATCATAAGAACCATCATAAGAACCCAGGAAACACAAGAACCCAACAACATGAGCTGAGACCAAGAGGACCAAAGATTTAAAAAGATGTAAGAAACTAAAAGAGATAAAAGTAAATCAAAAGATAAACAGCAATAAGAAGGTAAGAGCAGGAAGAGAAATAGAAACAAGTGGTTAAAGGATAAACAAAATAAATAATATTAATAATAATAAAAAGTAAATATACATATGAAACATAAATAGACAACGTAAGTAAGATAAGAAATGACCAAGTTCAAACATAAGAGGAGTTAAGATAAGAGCTTAAATAAAAGAACAGTAAGAAGTAAAAGAAGATAAAAATTCTTAAAAGAAGAAAAGGCCCGGTCACCTTTAGCTTTAAGTCTCGACTTTGGAACGACCAGGAGGCCCCCACATGAGGATCTAAGACTGCGATATGTCTGTGATATGTAATAATCACCAGTCCATTCAGATGTACTGTACACACGATTTTAAGGCAAAAGTACAGTTGCTACCCACAACTCTTATACCATACTGCACAGCGATCATACAAAATACAAATGTGCTATAATAATCAACTGCAACCAAAATGTTACAATGCCACACCATCCACCATGAGCCTTCACAGCAATGAAGTGCGGGGTCAGAGAAGGTCCATCAGAGAGGCACGCAACCAGGCCCCCACCAAGCCGTGTTAATACAGTTTAGACGGCATCACCCAGAGGTGCCGATCACCACAGCAACACCTCATCCCTCCCTGCTGTTCTTTAAAAGCCTCTGGATGTGAAATAAGAGCGGGTCAAAGAGACATTTTTAGGGCGCATGCAGTAGTGCTCTAGCCTCGTTTAATGTCCCATCCTGTCTGCCTGTAAGCCAGTCTGTGGTCTCTGCACTTAGCTAACGTGCACAAGCTGTAATCCATCCACATGGACTTCCTGTGCCACCTAAAGGTATCTCACAGTGACCACACACTTCATCAACTCTACGTCATGAATATGCATCTTAAAGAGGAGCATAAAAACCTCCTAGACTTACAAGTTATGAGTTTGTGATTTATATCTGTTCATTTTTATTTTCTTGTTTTGCTCAGACGTTTTCTTTCTCCATCAGGTGACCGTGCCGGGTCAGGTGGTGGACGTAGCGTGTGGCGTCGACCACATGGTGGCGCTGGTGAAGTCCCTGCTCTGAGCTTCATGTGTGTTCCAGCAGTGGGGATGAAAGGCTGGATGGTTTTGGCTGACCCTTCCAGCCCCCATCAGAGACCAGATCGGGAGGCCACGCTGGAGTCTAAAAACCCAGCTGCTCTCTGCAGGCGAGCGACCCTCGTTGTCCCTCCGTCCTGCAGTTAACGTCAAACCGAGCAGACGCGTCGACTCTGCAGCACACGGACACAGACTGTATCACTCTACCCTGCACGAAGGTTGTGGAGTAAAGACAGTGGAAGGATTTGGTTTGAGCTAAATTTACCTAAATTTACCTAAAACCAAGCTGTGAAAAAGTGCAAACATTTCTGTGGTTGAAGCTTCTGCAACGTGAGGATTTTCTGTTTTCTCTGATCTATGAAACCAGGAAAATATCTGTGAGTGTTTTGGACAAAACATGAAAATCTTCAACGCCAGCTTTAAGGAAACCAAATGTGTTTTTTACCCATTTCTTGTATAAAAAAAATGCAGATGAAGATTAATCTATCATGAACATTTTTCATTCATTCTTAGTCGTTGTGATGCCCGTCATTTCCATCATTTTGTTTCTCTCGTAACTTAAAGTTGGTGTAAGAAGCATTTTTCATTGCCGTTTGTAAACACAACATTCAAACTGGACCCGTCCTGCTGACGTGCACACTCACTGCAGGATGTAGTGTGTACGTTTACTGCATGCTACCGCTAGCACAAGCTAGCCACAGGTGTTTGGCACAACGGAGAGCCGGTAAACTCTGGGTCCTGGTCCCTACCCTAAACCAAAGTTCACCCTCCTTTTAGAACGAGCTTCATCCACTTGGTGTCTCGCCTCGCTGTGATTAGATTTTCTCTTCTTTGCTGCTACAACCTCGTCCGTCATATTCACCGGTTTGAATCGCTTCCAATCGCTGAATTGTATCCACTCTTAAACTCACCTGCTGCGCTGTCATTGGCTGGAGGACACTCACCAGCTCCCCTCCCAGAAACGTCCAGTTGTCAACCAGAACAAACCAGAACAGTAAAATCCAGTCAGAGGACAGAGTCTCTGCAGACACAGTCACCACCACACATGTAAGAAGGTTCATTCAGACTCAGGTAATAAAATATTCAGGAGGATTCTTCAGGAGCTTCAATCTGTAAATTGTCTTGTGAACATGTTTCGTTACCTCTCATGTTTATTTGTTGCTACAAAAAGAAGGAAATGTGTTCAGTGGAAGTGACTCACTGTTGAATAAACAGGACTCTTTGCCGTTTGGGGATTACCTCAAACAAAACGCTGTGTGCCGGCTGTGAAATGTTGGTAAAAAAACATTTGAAGAGCCAGTCGCAGCATTAACAGTCCCCAAAAAACAAAATGATTACCTCGCTGCCAACGTCAGATAGAGGTGAGGACACTCTGCCCCCGAGAGAAAACAGGTTTTTGAGGATTCAATTTTACATCCTGCACTCGTGTTTCACCCCAGTGTGTTCATGTTTGTTTTTGTTTTTTTGTAGAAAGCATCAGATAGCTTCAGGAAGCTGCAAAAAGATGGACTGCTGCCAGCTGGGAAGGATAAGACATTTTTCAAAATCAAATATGAATGAAAGATTTTGTTTTGGACTCCCAGCTGGAGAGTATCACAGGATGACTGTTTAATACCTTTAAGGACACAAGATACATAATAAATGTTACTTATATCAAAATATCAATAAATATATTTTACTAAAACATCAGCTATGTGCTAAAGGGATTTTTATTTCTAATGTGATTGGTCAATTTAGTGATTTCATCAGTGAATGCTGCATTGACCATTGACTCAAAATATTAATGGATGAAGCCTGAGTGATGTCATCCATCTGTTCCTGCAGGGGGCGCTGGAGTCCCATCGATGGCGGTCTCCATGCTGGAAATGCTGTCGACCTAACGACAGGCTGAGGCGGGTTTTAAACCTCTAGACAAACTGTTAACACCGCACCCACCTGTCAATCATGTCAGCTACGAGCTTTATGGTAAATAACGCTTATTCTAGTGAAATGGACGAGTTGTAAAAGAAATTCACCCCCTGTACAGTTTGGGCCGATTGAGACACAAGCTAATAAAACATTTTTTGTACCAGGATGCAAACATGTAAACTTCTGCTGTAAAAGCATATTTTTTGCCGGTCATTTCTGCAGCCAGCCTCACGCGGACCCTTGACGATCTGCAGGATTTTGCATTGCCCCATTTTGAGAGGATCTGTATATTGCCAGTTTACACGAAGACAGAGCCGGTGCTGTTTTTTTTTTCACAGTTTGCACTCTGGAACCTGTTTTCAAAACTTTGTGGTATCAGGCACGCTGTTGTTGTGTAAACAAATTCAGCCAAAATGCAAAAACAAGATTAGCTATTTTTGGCTGAAATTGTTGTCGTGTAAACAGGGCCATGGAGGCATTAGTAATGGTGTCGGTCTGTTTGATGACCCACTAACATCCTTCTGAAAGGAGCTTTAAAAAAATCTGCAAACATTTATCCCTCCATTCGGTTAAAGATGTCCAATATACTCCAGTAACTACAAACAACCATTTCTCTTTCTTCAATTATCACACTCTCCTTATCCTGACCTTCACAGGCCTCTTAATGCTGAGCTGGCCGGTAACCTTGACTCCTACCTGCAGGCTGCAGCTGAACTCAGTGAAATCATGCTCGTATTGTTGTGCCGCTCGCTCCCCCCGCAGTTTTTCTGTATTTAGGGCCCATTCATCATGGTGACAACCTCGAGGGCCCTCAGAGAGAGAGAGTGGAAAATGTATTTATGACAAAACTACTGAGTGAGCATAAAACAACCAACCTGTGATCCTTCAGCTCGGCAGGGTGTTGAGGAAATGCTGGGACGATTTATTTGAGTAAAGAAAGAAACAGCTTTTCAAAGTAAAGTTCTGCTTTGTTATATTTCAGCTTTAAAGAGAGGGGAGCAACAGATGGGTTAACATCTTCACAGAGGAGTTTAACTGGAAGAGCAAACGCAGCACATTTTGGTGTCTTCACTTTCAATTGAGTGAGCGCAGGAAAGAAAACACAACACAGAAGGATGAACTGATAAAATATCCATGCTCCTCAAACATCTACTGGTACTACAGACATATTCAAGAGAGATCGTAAGTTTCAAATGATCTTTAACAAAAAAAGAGTTTCAGAATGAATGAGGACACATTTCACTGTTTAAGATGAGCAAGTTAAGATTTTTTATTTACAGGTCAGTATAAAGTAGACTATAAACACATGGACGTTGTCTCAGTGATGTCACCAATTGGTAACTGAAGGGGAATTTTGAAGCCCATCGATGGTGGTCGCCATTTTGAAAAATGCTGACGCTAACAAACTTTCCATCCTAGAAAGAGGCAAAGAGTTGAAGCAGAGGCGAGCATTAGGCCTCCTGGTGAACAGCTAGTAACCTGCTAGCAGCCGGATCAGTCACGTTCCTAATTATGCACATCTCTTATCCTTCATGAAATCAAAATGGATGTACAGTGTGTCGAAAAAGACATGAACTATTCAGAACATGTTGCTGTCAAAATGAACATTTCCTTTTTCATTTGTTTGTGACTTCCAAAGCTTTCAGAGTCAGCCTCCAGTGGACACATGAGAAACTGCAGTTTTTATGCAATTCCGCATCGGCTTCATTTTTCAACACCTGAGGTTTCTGCTTGTACAGAACAAGATCAGCAAAATTATTATTATTTATTTATTTATTTAACCTTTATTTAACCAGGTTGGTCCCATTGAGATTAAAAACCTCTTTTTCAAGGGAGACCTGGCCGAGACAGGCAGCAGCAAAAACACAAAGTTACAGACGGAAATACAAAGAGAGACAAAGTACAATTTACAAAACATTTTGATTAAAATAGAAAAATCTATGAGTCATATCTGGGAATCAGTTGTTCAAACAGCCGAGCTAAAACATCGACTTCCTATAGAATCTGCTTCCATGTCTTTCATTTTAGATTTAAAAAACATTTAAGGACACCAGCTCCTTGAGCTTTAAGTCATTCTGCAACAGATTCCAGGCTGAGGGTGCAAAGACGTTAAAGATTTGACCACAGGGCGCTCCAAAAAGTTCTTCACATGATCTTCAGAGTTTGGTGTTACAGATCTACTCTTGACTTTTAGACAGGCACGCAACTTAACCCGCACAGTGAGAGTTATCTATTTAAAACATCTGGTGATTAGTTTGAGCGCCCCATGTATAGAGGCTGCAGTCCTCTAAGGGGACGGCTCAGGTTCCAATCTGAGTTGTGGCTCCTTTCCCTCATGTCATTCCCCCTCTCTCTCTCTCTCTCTCTCTCTCTCTCTCTCTCTGATTTGTGACTCTATCCACTGTCCTGTCTCTCAAAAAATCTTGCCCTCTTTTTGGTCCGTGCTAACCTCTCGCGTCCTCGCTCACTGCACTTCCGTTCAAAACTTGATAGTAGCTGTAAACCTGAAGGCACCTCATCATCTCTGCTACTTAAAACGCACCGTTTCAACCCTGGTTGATTGATTTATATATGCGATGGAGCGCAGAGGTCAACGGGTGGGAAAAAAAAGTTCCACCCACAGGCACGATGCATTCACACTAAACCAGTCCGATGTAAACAGCAGTGAGTCAGCACTTCATCCAGATAAGAGCAGACAGCAACAACAACAAGCTTTCCTATATCACACACACACACACACCCACCCACACACACACACACACACACCCACCCACACAAACACACACACACACTGTGCAGGATACAGATGTCAGGATTACTTTGTGTTGAACTTTAAGTCATTTTTCAGAGAACTATGGAGCGAAGGCTGCACTGTTTTCACTTGCAGGAGTTATTAACTTCTGCAGCACATTAATATTTATCCATTTATTATTTATTACAGCACACACTCTTAAAGTTTAGAATGCATGGCAGATTTTTTTTTGGAGTGGAATCAGATTACACAAGCAGAAGAATTTGCACACATGCATTTTTGTGTGCATGAAGAGCAAACAGAAAAGCACCTGTTCAAACAAAGCTTCACTGTGAGGCCCTTCTTCTTACTGTATGTAAAAAGGTTGATCGTAGTTTTGTAAATCAACGATCTGATGTGAGAAGAAGAAGTTAGAGTCAGTGAGGTGTAGAGTTGATCTGTGGAGGATTATGTAAGAAGAAAGATGATAAGTGAAAACACAAACATACCATGATCTCACCTTTAACCCCACTCTGCTGAGAGGGTCTCTGCAGCTGGAGCCCTCCTCCTCCTCTCCCTTCTCTTCCTCCTCCTCTCCCTCCTCTTCCTCCTCCTCTCCCTCCTCTTCCTCCTCCTCCTCCTCTCCCTTCTCTTCCTCCTCCTCCTTCTCTTGCTCCTCGTCCTCCTCTCCCTTCTCTCCTCCTCCTCCTTCTCTTCCTCCTCCTCCTCTCTCTCTTCCTCCTCCTCCTCCTCCTTCTCTTCCTCCTCACCCTCCTCTCCCTTCTCCTCCTCCTCCTCCTTCTCTTCCTCCTCACCCTCCTTCTCTCCCTTCTCTTCCTCCTCCTCCTCCTTCTCTTCCTCCTCACCCTCCTCCTCTCCCTTCTCTCCCTCTTCCTCCTCCTTCTCTTCCTCCTCCTCTTCTGCCTTCTCCTCCTCCTCCTCCTCCTCTCCCCCGCCTCCTCCTCCTCTCCCTCCTCCTCCTCCTCCTCCGTCTGTCTGTGTGCTGAGGTGATCTGAAGCAGAAGAAAAGGAGGCGTGTGGAGGCTCCTGTCTGTTCTCTGCTTTGTTTACTCAGGTCAAATAATACAGACAGCTGATACACCTGCAGCCTGAGGAGGATCAGTGGAGACAAAGATCACAGCTGGAGACAGAGATGTGTGTGTCAACACAAAGATTGAAATGATTAAATCTGTAAGTTACCCTACAACATATTAAAGAATAAGATAGATGTTACTTCTGATTTAGGCGTTGCTGTTATGAGCTCACAGAGCAGGAAATATGTGAATTTAAGAAACCTTTGAAAGAAGAAATTACAAGTTTCATTTTTGTAACCATCAGCTATTGTCTGACGATCTGACTCCCTGCAGCGGCATCAGACTTCTGATGTAGTCAGCACTGCAGTAAAGAAGAACTGCAAGGCCAGACTTCCCTTTCAGCGTGTTTCCTTTGTTTACAGTCCGGTGAGCATCCTGAAAAGCGAGAATGGACTTCTAAGAGCCGTTTGTTTACTGAACCTGCATGGCAGATATTAGACTACAAACGTAAACTAGAACACTTCAAACACCCAGAGCCAGGTCACTTACCTTTAGACCTTTCATTGTTATGTAGAAATGTGTGAAGAGAGAGGAAACAAAGACCCCACATGCACAGAAAAACGAAGCAATAATATGTAGGAATCTGCACTTTTACCCATGTACCGTGCATTTACACTTTGTATGTTTTATGTACTGTCTGTGTTTTATTAAGTATATGTGACTCTAGCTGCAATCAAATTTAACTACAGTTACAAATAAAGTCACCTGAACCTGAATCTGGAATTTAGTTTGCTGTGCTTTGGCACCAACTGAAGGTCTTTTGAGTGCAACTCCCTCTCTTGGACAACAAGAATCCATTAAAAAGGAGGTGGTGCAAAGACAGCAAAGATGTTTTGAGAAGCTAAAGAACCATGCTGACTGACAAGGTTCAGTTATGTTTTTGGATTTTGTGCAAAATACGATTTTGCACACGTCTTCGGCCCGATGTTTAAAACATGTCAGCATGTGAAGTGTGTGTTTGTGTGTCCAACATTTTCCTATTAAGTGTTGTCAAAAGTTAAATGTTTTAAGGAGGTTTTTGCACATCCAACTTTCTCATGAAAAAGGTTCATAGAACATCAAACTATCACATCGACAAGAAATATCCTGCACACTACTCTTGTTCAGCGTCACAGATTCATGAGAAGAAAATCACACAATCGGTCCCTATGAACCTTAGTGAAGTGTGTTGTCACTTGACAAAGGTTGACCACACTTCACTAAGGTTCTGAGGGACTGAAATGTTTGTCAATTTTTTCTAATAAATTGGTGACCGAGCAAGAGTAGTGTGCAGGTTTTTTTTGTTTCAAGTTGAAAGGCAAATGAAAAGCCTTAAAGGCAGGGTTGACAATTTTTGATAACTAGCATGATTTTGAAAGTAGCATTCCCTCAGTGCTCCGTCTGCACCCGCCCCTCCCCTCTGTGCTCCCTCTAAAGCCACGCCCCCTCACTTACATGGACGAGCGTTAGCTCCAGAAGTGGACCTCAGCTCATCTCTGTCATTGTGTAGAAACTACGTCGTCTCATGTCTCATTCAGCGGTCAGTAAACTCTCAGTATAAACTCCTAAAGTCATCGGTGACGAGCTTTGAGTGTAGAGAGCGAGCAGGGAGACAGGGAGGCGTCTGATTGGTTCCTCAGATTGGTACCTCGTGGCAGACATTGGTTGAAGTTTTTACAGACTTACAAACTGATACAGATGATGGATTTTCTTTGTTCCTTTTTCAGAGAACATGAGTTATTAATGTCTGTCAGGACCTAAAGACAATTTACACCAGAATCTTTAAAAAGTCAATCTGGAGAAAATCACCAACCCTGACTTTAAGTGCAAAAATCTAAAATATGGTTAAGAGTGAATGCACTTAAGAGTCACTTTTGGTTATGATTATAGTTTATTATTTCTAAATTTTTTGTCAAAATTTCACCCAGAAATCTTCTTCAGAGTGACTCCAGAGACTCGGGTTTAAATTTAGCAGAGATGGAGACAGTTTATTGATTTAATGTCCCACTGGAGGCTTCTAACAGTGAGAGGACGATCTGTGCTTTAAAGTGAAGACAACAAGAACGAAAACAGACTCAACACACAACCAGGTCAAAAAAACAGCTTGTTTTATTTATTTTTTTCCACACAAGAAGCTCCAAGCGGAAAGCTTTCAACGTTTTCTTTGAAATGGAGTCAGAAAAAAAAAAGGTCACCTTCCTCATGTTTTAACACTGATAAACACAGGGTCTCTACTCATCACAGCTGATCAGGAGAAAGAAAAGGTGTTGTTAGGTGCAAGGTGTTGTGTGTGTGGGCGGGGGAGGGGCGGGGAAACATAATCACCAAACGCTTTAAGACCAACAGGAATCTTCCCGTGTGGACAGGATCTTTGTTAAGTAAATAACCCTCCCCGTTTCATACAGTACAGCAGGTCTTTTGGGGGGGGGGGGGGGCTGCTTTAAAGTGCAGACTGGTGGCGGGGAGGGGCAGCTTCAACACCGTAATGGACACCAGCAGGGTTCAGGAGGGGGAATGTTCCTACCCCGCATGGTGGACCTTAGCTTATCGTTTAGCACGCTTGCACTCAGTCGTTATTCTGGTACATCGTCAAAGTGGCTCAGTAATTATTACTACTGTAGATGAACAAATAAAAAAAAAAGAAAGAAGTCATTGCGTTTTATCATCAGGGTCGTTACTGCAGCGGGTTCACACTGTGAGCGACATGATCATCGAGTCAAAGGAAAAGGGCGGCAGAGTTGGAGTGTTTAAAGGAATGAAAAACATCGTATTGCTTTTGTTTTGACAGATATTAAGATAGTTTGAAGATTCATGATAAGAAACTTTTAAAATGTGCATTTGTTGGCGTCTGAACCGACATTTCTTGTTAATCTCCTTTTAAAAACAGCTGAAAAACATTTGTATAGGCCAAGGATTCTCACACATATACGTCATTACAATTCTGTTTGAACATCTGGAGATTGCACTTTGCAGTATTTGTGATTTTTTTATATACTTATACTTATATACTTCCGTAAATAGTGCAGCCCTTCTTTGTGGGTTCAGTTTTTACTATAACCCTTTAAATGCACAAAACGTTTTCTAAATATTGGGAGCGAGCTGCTGCATGTGTGAATGCAATTAGCAGAATTTCTTCACCCTGGTGAAATGTCAGCGTGAGCCAACATGTAAACACAGAAAGAAAATTTCTAGCGAGTGAGCGAGAGGGAGAGTTTCATGTTGTTTATACCCCCTCCCCTACTCGCTTCCTTTTTCCGACAGCGAAAATCTCCCGCTGTGAGTGATGCATGAATAAACCTGCTCAGGACGATTTCAAGAAAAAGGTCAAGAAATTGTATCAGTGCATGTGTGAAAAGGGCTTATGATTCAATCTTTTAGTGTTACTATTTCAGGGGAAAAATAAATAAATCTGAAGAGTCACAACCCCCGGCAAGTGCTCAACTAAAAAAATAAAATAAAACAAAACCTAGAAAAACACTGCAAGTGTTGATTGAATCTTTTCTGTCGTTTAGGGATCAAACTAATCTTATACAGAGAGTTTATAGGAAAGGATAAAAGGTGAAGAGAAGCTAGGCTAGCTGTTTCCACCTGCTTCCATTCATTATGCTAAGCTAAGCTAATCACCTACAGGCTACAACTCCATTTATACGCACAGAAATGAGAGAGAGTTATCGATCCTGTTGGATAGAAAGGCCTAAGATTGATTCCAAACATGTCTTATTATTGCTTTAAGTAGAAGCTAAACTCATCGAGTGTTTGATCCTCAAACGACGGGCAGCTCATGATGCATGATTGATTCGTCTGATATTGGGTTGATTGAGGCCTTTGAATGATTATTTAACTTTTAAGTAATATAAGAATGTGGAAAAATAACTGTGAAGGGAGACCTGCTGGATATTAACGTCCTTGAAGTTTACACACTGACAAAAGTCAAATCCAAGCCGGTGGATGTGTCTAATTATTTAACAAACATTATCTCATTACACTCATTCAGCCACATTTACCAAACAAGGTAATCTGAATAAGATGTTAAAACCAGCTGCGTAGCGTAGCATGCTAACATTTATGTGACTTGTTTTATTGCTGTGATTGGCTGCAGCGTCCTGAAGCATTATTTTGGTCTCTGCCATTAAACAGCACTTTAAAAAAAAGGCTTGAATAAATCAGATTTGAATTTGAAAACGATAAAAAAAAAAACAGCTTTGTGGTGACTCATCCGCCATGTTGCTCACAGTGTGAACGCGTGTAACTTTTAAAAACACTAAAAAAAGAGTCCGTCCTCTTCAAAACTCTCAGATCCTCTCCAGGTTTCTACAGATCAAGCAAAACACTCTAAAGGGACTGAACCAGTTCAGAACATTGCTGTGATTAAAACATGTTCAACAGCGACTAAAAAGCAAAAGAAAAAAAACTAAAACAAACACAAATTGCTCCACCGGGCGCTGGCTGTCTCGCGAAATTGTCTCCTTCAAATTGCACATGTGAAAAGTTTGGAAACAAAAAGGCATCAGTTGGGGCATTCAGACATCTTGGCACCGATAAAATGACCTGTCGAAAACCAAACGGAACAAACAAAAAGAAAAGAAAAATGGAGAGCTTGGTATATAGATATATAGATATATCTATATATATATATAATCTCTCTTTTGCTTCAGAGAGTACATTCGTCATCCTTCTGTAAGAGGAATTATGTAACTAATACAGTATGGTGCTCATGAGGGTCAGGGAGTGGGAAGAAGAAGCAGCTTCAGAGAGGAAAAAGAAAAACGGATTCAGTCCGGTAAACTAAAAGCAACAACTACCAGAGCGGGCAGTGGAGGGGCTCGAGTGCCGAGGAGGTAAAGAAAATGAATCCCTAACACGCTGTCACCCCCCCCCCTCTCCCACCCACGCTTTGTGGTTCGATCCCCTTCCTTCAGAGCCGATCCACAGGAGTCCGCTAAGAAGCTCTTGGCACTTTTTGGACATGATAAACGTTTGAACCAAATGACTGGAGAGACAAAAAACACAAACACAGCGGTTTCTCCTCCGGCAAGTCGTTCACTGTGCTGTGCTCTTGGTCCGCAGAGCTCCGATCACGCTTTGGATGTTTTCTTCAGGAACCTGCAGGAGACAAAACGCTCCGTAACCCTCTGATCACAGCACATAGGGGAGCAGCTGAAGCTCATGTCGGCATCTATTACTTCTTTTTTTTTTAGGTCAAGTATTGGTCTATAAAACATCAGAAACAATGAATCATTTCCATCAAGAGCCCTGAGTGACGTCAAACCTGAGAACTTAAAGTGTCTTACAGCATCATGTGAGACAAATTGGGCTTTCACTTTTGCAGAAATCTCCTGAAAAGCTCCTGATATGTCCAGGAGGAGCTGTATAGTATGTGTGAACACAAACAGCACCATTTTTCACTCTGACTTCACTCTTGAGTTTCTCCTGCAAGACCCCCTAATATTTTTTCAGCAGCAAGTCAGAGCGAGCTATAATGTGAGAACAAAGCAGGATTTTCTCCGGAGAATTCACCTCGAGCCAATAGGAGGGGGGAGTATAAAGTCAAATATTCTCATAATAGCGTCATATAGCGGACTCTGTTGCTCCGTCCAACATTTTAGAGTCTGCTTTGTTTTCATTCTGTCTTACCTCAGCAGACTCGCCCCGCCCTGACATAAATAAACAAAAATGAAAGATTGCATATCAGCAATAACTTATCTTCCGTTCTTCATGTTTAACTCATACCTCATGTGTCTCATGAATTCAAAATAACCCCCTCCCCCCCTTACCTCAAAATGTATTTCTGACGCTATAAATAAATTGAGAGTAGTTCACAGCGACTATGAGCTTCGTCTGAATCAATCAAAATGTTGTAAAAGCGTAGCCATAATACTCAGGTATCCATCCAATAGGTACGCACGCTGAGAGACAAAGCCGGGACGTTTACATGAAATAACTTTTTGAGCACTTGAACGTGAATAAAAACGGGTTGTTCTTGTCTTACCAGTGCGTGGTCGAACTTGAAGGTACTAATGTAGTAAGCAGGAATGTCAGCTGTAGCCAGGGGTTCTGATATCTGAGCCACGATGCCGCACTCATCTGCGAAAAAAAGAAACAAGACAACAACTTTACAAGCCCACCCAGAGACTGTAAATCAGAAGGCATGTTGTTAGCTTTTGTTTTATATGCTGTGTTTGTTCATCTCTGATATTTAACTTTTTTGTTTGTTTTAGCCTTCTAGTGGATTAAACTCACCAAATCCTAAAGGTTGTCCTCCGATGCGAACCATTTTCCAAAGCTCTCCAGAAGCGCTAGTGAAGAGGACGTTGTTTGGAAACCTTTAAGTGAACAAATGACAAAGAATAAAACATATAGGAGGTCATTTAAAATATTTATAGGTATCATCATGCTTTTTATGGGACAGAATAAAATCTGAGCTCAACCAAAGTCAAAACATCATATCGGATAAGCCTTTAAATCACTCAGTGGGTTTGCTCTTGTTCATGTCTGATTGCATGTTGGGCTCTCAGGGAGTCTGAGGCACATCTGTAACGTAAGATGTTAAATCTATTTTCCCCTCTGGTTCCTGATTATCATTAAAGGTGACATATCCTCCTCCTCTTTTTCAACCAGTGTAAATAAGTCTCAGAGCTCCTCAAAACATGTGTGTGAAGTTTCTTGTTCTAAATCCACTCTGATCCTGTATTTGATCATGTCTATAAACCACTCTATTTCAGCCCTGCTCAGAACAGGCTGTTTCTGTGTCTGTACCTTTAAGTATGTAAATGAGCTGTGTCTGACCACGCCCCCTCTCTGGAAGGTCTTGGGTGTACTCAGTGCTTTCTTGCTCCATGTCCTATTGTTTACGGTGAGAAGGCAGACTCAGAGGGCAGAACAAACACCTAGCTGTGGGAGTGTCACCCACCTGGGGGAGGGGCTACTGCCCTTTGTGATGTCATGAAGGGAAACTCTTCAAACGGCCTATTTGAGCACACATTTTCTGAAAAGTGGAGCAGGCAAAAGACGGAGAGGATGGACTTTTTTCAAAGTTGGGGGCATTGTTGTCAGATTAGGGATTTACTAGTGTTAAATTCACTTGTTAAATTCACTTGGCAGACAGCTTCCACAGTTAACAACGCCTGCTTCAGATGATGCTAAACGTTAGCTCTTCAGATCGACATCAACCGGTGAGTCGTGTTGCTGCAGTCTGACCCGCTGCGCTGATTAAGACAGTCGTTGTAAAGTAGAAGAAAAATAGGTGACCTATTCCTCGAAGACAACATGAGCGGTCTTATATAAACCATGTGGACCAGGCTGACCCACATGTGCCTGCGACAAAACATGAAGTTTAAAAAATTAATGGAAGTTTTGGTTTCCCCTCCACTTGCCTTGAAGACATCACTGACCCACATGTGAGATACCCGAAAGCAGAATGTGGACCAGGAGCTAACGTGGAGGTAAAACAAGGAGAAGCCACACGGGAGGTGCAGCTGCTCAGGATTCTTTACATCCTGTCTGCTTAATTAGAGAGAAACATGGGGCCACTGTGGAGGAGAAATGAGTCAGCCTGAAAGCCCACTGTGACTTAACTACGTCCTCTATACATCACCGCTGTGTTACTGCTTAGCAACAAACTGACCGCCCCCTCAAACAGTAATCATGTGTTTGTTCCAGCTGCTGAAACATTGTGCAACAAAACATCTCAAAGGAACAGGTGAGGATAACTACACAGCAGAAATAAACAAATACGTTCCTGAGACGGCTCGTTTTGTTTTGTTTTCTCAAATCGAATCTCCTGATTTGACGCCCCCTTAAACATCAGAACTCACCGACTCTCAATATCAATATCTTACTTATTTTATGTTTTTATTTGTAACACAAACATCTCTTTATGTCTTTAAAAGATTTTGTACGTAAAAGATAAAACCCTGAGTCTGAAAAAGTTGTTCTGTAAAAAAAGAAAATGAATGTGATGATTTTCCAAACATCTCAATCGGTTGGATCCTATTTGAAGCACTTTGGTCTGTGTGTTTGAATGAAAGGTGCTTTTTAAATAAAGTTTTAGAGTCTTCTGTTAACTCCACCTTTGAGTTGTCTGCTCGTCCATGACCAGCGAGATGTAGCCCTCGATCAGGGAGAAGGAGAAGAAGCGGATGTGGTTGGAGTCCTCGCTGGAGGCTCCGGGCTCTTTTGGACTGGAAGGAAAACAGAAACATCTCACAATGTGGAGAAGGAGGTGAAGCAAGAATCACATTCTGCTCATCAAACACCTGCTGACAGGCCGCAACAACAATGAGGCAAAGTTAGATTTCACACGTTTTCATTTTCATCCTCCCACAGCTGCAGCTTCACTGTCACAAATCTACTGTTTAGTGCTTAGTATAACAACACTATAAGGGACATGTGTGGATCTTTAACGTTTATTTAAAGGTTCTAATGACATGGAAAGATGTTTAAAGGGATACTTCACCCATTTGCATGAAGCTTTGTATCATTACAAACCTGGTAGTATTTTTGAATGGTCGTGCATCGCACCCTCATTTTCTCCTGAGATGGGAAATCTTTGTATTTCTTGTCTGAAAAGGAGCCTCCGATGACGCAAAAAACGTCATTTTGCTGTGCTGTGCATTCTGGGATTTGGTGTCTTTCATCCACATGAGCCACAAAGACACTTTCTGCCTTTTCTTGGTCAAGAAGGCACCAACTTCAAAATGTATTTCACATTTCTACATATATGACTCAATGTCAATACAGATTCATGTTTCAATGGGTGAAGTATCCCTAAGCAGCTGACATTGGGCAATAGACAGAGTACACCTACCTAGCAAGCATGTCTTTAGACTGTGGGAGGAACCAGAGTACTGGGAGGGAGCCCAAATCTTTCATTTGGTTTCAAAATCTGTGCTTTTTATATTTTAAAGATCTGACTTTACAATACCTAACATATTACAACTGATGAGTTCATGCTTGATTTTGTCCATGAGGCCAAAACACTTCATCCTTTCACTTTAGACGTATTCTTAGAGACGCTAACACATTCCTAACAACACTGAAGGTTCTTACCCTCCAGAGTAAAACATGACGTCCATGAGCAGGGTGGCGACAGAGGGCAGCGTGTCCGGGTCCAGGCTGGTCACACAGAACATATTGCTGGGACTCGATAGAGGGTGAATGATGGGACGGGGCACTGAAAAAAACAAAAACAGACAGAATATGGTAACAATGGAGTCTATTAACAACTCATACGTTGTGGAAGTGTTAACACCTGCTGCACGTTTACATTTATGAAAAATGCTCGTTTTTTTTTATTTTTTTTACCTAGTTTAGGTTTTACGAAGCCGTTGGTGACTCCCAGGTCGTGAACAGCCACCGTCTCCCCGTTGACGACCCGCAGCAAAGTGAATTCAGAAGACAGCGTGTGCATGACCATGGGCAGATCTCGCTCCCGGACCTGACGACCAAAAGAAACATGAACGAGGTGAGATAAGAGAACAAGATGACACATTAGAAAATGATTTCTACAGCGAGTTATTTGACATGAGAAGATAGAAATTACTTGTAAGCACACCCACTCTCATCTGTATTTATTTCACTTCCTATAATTCATTAAACATCTTTATCGCCAGGAAAATTGGCTCAACCTGTTTTAATCAGCACATAGAGGAGTTAACATAAAATCTGAGGAATAACAACAGCTCTGTTTTTTACTCTACACACATCAGGTTGAAGCATTTTGAGATTTGTGATTAGTACATGGAGAATACGGTGCATGTATCTTTGCCTCTGAATGAAATCCTCTAAATTCAGATTCCAGCAGCAGGTAGCAACAAAGTATAGAACAGTACACAGATACAATAATAATAAAAAAAAACATATACAAATACAGTAGCAGCAGTAGTAGAAATATACAGATTTATATTAAAATAGCAGCAGCTACTGAGTATGAATAAACAACCCTTCTAGGCATGTTTTTCAAAATAAAAGCCTAGCATAGACAACCTTCTTTTTGTCCATGGCACAAATCTGCAACCCACTGGTATCAAATGTGAGACCCAATTTTGGGTCCCAACCCACCAGTTGAGAACCATGGCTTTAAAACAATATTGTTGCTTGTTGGTCGGATGGATATTTAACTGCTGACTGCAAAACATTATGCCCTCTCTCAGGGATTATTAAGACAACTTTGAACCTTGAACCTTGATATATAAAAACAAGCTAAAAAGCTCAATGAAATGATTTCCATTACAGAAAGAATCCAGAAAAATGATTAAATTAGAAAATTAGATTTTTAATGTTGAAATGAATCAAAGTCTTGAGAAGAGAAGTGTTTTTTTTTTTTTTATCTCCAACAATGACGCAGAACGATTATTAAACCACAATCAGGTTCATTCAAAAAGCCTAAAGCCTCTGATCTGGTCCTTTCATAACTCTGCCCAGAAGAACACAGCTTTTCATACGTCTCGTAAAAAGCTGAAGGTTCAAAATGTTTCATAAAGAGGTTAAGAGTTGTCTTCAGGGGAACATAAATAAATTCCTGGAAATTCAGTTTTGGAAACATGTTGCATTAGATAAGAGCGTTGGTCTGTGGGGGACTCTTCAAGATGAAGGAATGCTAAACAAGGACAGGGGCCCAGATTTATTTCTCCTTCAGAAATTTATCAAATCTTTTTTTTCATGGTTCTGAATTGTTCTCTTCTAAGCTACCGCATAAGAGACCGAAGAAGAGACAGGAAATACAGAGAGGAGAGAGTGGGGGGTGACATTCAGGAAGGGGCTGAGGCCAGTCCAGAACCATGATCACTTAATGAGGACCAAAACCTCTGCACATGGAGCGTGTGCAACAACCGCCAGGCCATACGGCGCCCAGATGGTTTTGTATTCTGAAAGTAGTCCCATAAAGTGATAAATTACTGTAAAATATTCCCATCATTTTCAGGAGTTATTGCACATTAATTAAACAAACTATAACCATGAAACAGATAAGACATTTATGTTGTAGTTGTTGAGATTGAGCAGTAGAAGGGAGGTAGTATGGAAGCCCTTAATGGAAATAGAAATAGAAAATTCACCCCGTGTACAGTGTGTGCCTATAAAGACTCAAACTATTCATACCAAATTTGTTGTTTGAAACAGGTTGTAAACATGTTAATTTCTGCTGTAAAAACAGGTATTTTTGAATGGGTGTGTATGTGACTTCTGAGGGTTTTGAAGCGAGCCTCTAGTGGACACTCGAGGAACTGCAGTTTTTTTTTTTTTGCATTGGCTTTTATTATTTTTAACTCCAGAGGTTGCCACTTGATGATTATGTGTAATTTCAGTCGTTTTCAAGATCTCTACTTATATTTCTTATCATATCGACATTACAAAAAAAAAAAAAAGAGTCTCATCATCAAAAAAAAAGACCGGTCACTCAGATAGGCCACACTAAAAATAATACAAGGATAATAAGACGCGATCTCAAGAAAACAACTAGCGAATAAAATGTGTTGATGTTTGTCCACTTTGGGCTTCCGTAGGGTTTCTACTTTTACTTAGTTAACACCTTTTCAATGAGAGATTCTGACAAGACATCCTTAAAACTGTCCATACACCCTTCTTCTTCTTCTTCTTCAATTCCTGACTTTGAACAAGGGAAGCCAAAAACAGGTACTGCCCCCTGCTGGTTACAATCAATATCACGCTATATTTCTCTGTCTCATCAATTTAAATTGTTCATTTCTGAATTGTTTTCTAAATTATCTTGTGCGGCATCATTACATCCCTACTATCAATCAAATATACACATTTTTGAGTGTCTTGTTGAAACAACACGTCCAGGAGTGTTTCTTCATTGTCTCTAAAATGAAAGTGGATCTCTGACGCTGGTCACAAAAATAAATTGAAAGAGTGTGTCTGAGTCTAACAAAGTGATTCCTCTGTCAGCTATTACTTCAATTGAATTTCTGTGTGTGTGTGTGTGTGTGTGTGTGTGTGTGTGTGTGTGTGTGTGTGTGTGTGTTTCGGCTCAGTGAGGATATAGTTATGGCTCTGTCAGGCTTTACTGCTTTATGTAACACAAAAGATCCAAACAGTGGAAAATAAACAACACATCTTCAGCTGGTGTGTGTTTTCCCTCACATAGTCAGTAATTCAATCCGACACAATGTGAGCCAGAGAGGAGACGGGTGCTGGTTGATGTGGGCGACGGGGTGAGCGCAGCAGGTTTTTTTTTTTTTTATCTGACACTGATAATAATTAGGATTATGGGGTATGGAAGCAGTCGGTGCACAGACAGGAAACAAGAGGATGATACCTGGAATTCCAGCAGCAAGAGGCTGAGCTGCTGATCCCCTTTACGTAACAGATTATGAACATCGACACATTCTTTTTTTTTTTTCATTTTCATAAACATGCCAGAGTCGCTCAGCAGACCCTGGTTTTTCCACGAAAGCAAGGCAATAAAAAAATACATTCCCAGTGGCCAGAGAGGCTTCGGTATGAGAGTGGATCGGTCTCTAAATCAAAGGCAGGGAGGCCGGTGAAGGTACACTATGTCCGAGGTTATTGCTTTTACATGTCAGGCATTAATAGGATGTAAGGAATGGGGGTAATATAATGGAAAAGTAATGAAACCCTTACAGCATGCCATAAACACATTTAATAAGCTCTCAAACTAATCATGTTTACACTGCTCTACGACGACGTGAACAAACTGTTAACCCAACATGTAGACGTCATAAAGCATCTTTTTAATAATTATGTTGATATGTAATGCACTTTACTGTAAATGAAGCAAACATATGGACTGTAATTTGACTTTTTAAAAGGAAGAATATGTGATTTTTTGATCCAGCAGATGTCGCCCTTGAGCACCAGCATGAAACCAAAACAACTCGCGCTGCATTGTTGTGTTAGCATGCTAATGCTAGCGATCTTTATTATGCTGGTATCTTCACACTGCATGTAAATTTAGCTGAAATGAGCGTGATCTAGAAACACAGTTAAGCAGTGAGTACAGTATGTTATTCTTCTTTTCTCTAGTCCCTCAATTAAACAACTTTTATACACGAGGGGAGGAGTCAGCCGGCCGTCCGGGCGATGTAAACAAAGTGAAGATAGGACTCTGAAAACTCTGAAAACATCACAGACAGTGGGACTCGGGTGTTACACCCATTGTAGACAGTCATGACTCACAGAGTTATTTTCAGAGGAGATACTTGATCTCTGGTAAGTGTGAAAAATTGCATATTCTTGCATATGCAGCAGGAGTAAACTGGCTATATACTTCATGTACTCTGGTTACACAGTCGTGCCGGTTTTCCCATCATAATGGGTTCATTTATCTCATCATCTCAACAAAGCCGATGTTCCAAAATCAAGACGACATAAAAGATCTCCAAAAAAAAATGACACAAAGCTTGAGACGTTCACACCAGCACTCACCAATATGAAGTCGGTCTGATACGTGGACAGCATGAAAACAGAGATGTTGTGGTCGGCCAGCGGTGCGATGACTGATTTGGCGATTTTGGTGACGCCGATGGGCTGTGAGTTGGAGGCGTTGCCGCCCCCCGACACCACGTTGAGGGCCAACCACGTGGCATCAGCAACACTGATGTGTTCCGACTGGGGCAACTCTGGGAACGGACGGAGAGAGTCAAAAACAGTTCAGCTATAACCTTTAAGTGTTATTTAACGCTAACTTAAAGGAGCTTTAAGCTTGACACCAGGTCAACAGGATACCACTACTCTTTTACAGTAATGTACAGCTTGATTTATCTTGGACAGCAGTGATTTAACCCTCAATTCATCAAAGTAAACACTCTTTTTCTGGTATTTCTTTCCTGAAAACTAAATACAAGTCCTGACACATTGGACCATTTCTGGAACAAATAGCTGAGAAACTGGGCCGTTAAGAGTGAGCAATGTTCATGAGTGTTTGTTCCTTATTTCATTTTGAGTCCTAGTTCCTGTTTTGACACTTATTGTCTTTATGATGCTCTACTGCCACTGCCTTTCTGCTGTCTTGAATTACGGAAAATATGATTTCCTTCACAGCCTGCAGATCACCTGATGTGATAACAGAATATTGAGTAAGGCATTGAAAAACGGGAGTAATGTTTATATGTTTGGGGCTTTGTATGCCTTTATTTAGAGAAGATAGAGTCAGAAGAGGAGAGGGAATGACGTGGAAAAAGATCCACAGCTCAGATTTCAACCCCGGCTTTCAGCTTGAATTTGAGTATTTGAGAAAATACCATTTCTAAATGATTTTGAATTGTTTTACGTTTTTTTTAAAGGCATCTAGCGACCCCCCTCCTGGTCGTCTGTGACCCTGATGGGGTCCTGATCCTTGTTTTGGGAACCACTTCCTTATACTGTTGTAAACTCTAATTAAATGTATTATTAGCTGACAGGGAGGAGCAACAACTTTTAAAGCATTTTCCCCTTAATGAGGTACTTTTTATGTATCTGTTCTCAGACTTTATAAAATCAACTTCCTGTGATGAAATTCTGTTGATTATAAAATGTCTTTTCAAAAGCAACCAACATGACTTAGTTGTATTCATAGTTTGGTTGAGCAGACAGCAGAGAACAGCTCACTCAGTAGAAAATACCTGCGCCTGTTACGCAACACATCGCCTGTGGTCTCCACGGTAACCAAGGAGGGTCACCCTGGGAGAGGGTGTGTAATGACATGGATTCACTCAATCAGCCGACCACAAAACAAGGCAAACCGGCAGCTTGGCCTCACATCCATAATGGCAAAGTGTGCTCAAACACGGGCAGCCGAGGCTATACGCGGCGCTGCACACACACAATGTGATCTTTTCCTGCCGCCTCGATCTATGGTTGCCACGGTGACTTTTAAAAAATCCATAAGAGAAAAACAAATAAGAAAGGACTCACCTTTAAAGCCTTCCTCGTCGACGATTATGGTGTAGTCCTCGGGAGTCTCCGTCAGGCTGAAAAACTTGCATCTGAAAAAGGGAGAGACAGAAAATGAAAAAAATCAAAAGAGAAAGTTCAAAAGATTAAACTGCACGAGTCGTTTGTGAGGTCTGTCCAACAATTACTGTCGCCTGTAGCTCTTCTGCTCCCTGGTGCGTTCGTAACACACACATCAAACACTGTTTGGAGATTTGAGGAGACAGTTTCATATGAAAAAGATGCATCAGTGAGATGTTCAGGGACTGTAAATGTCTACTTCATCATTTCATATTGAACATGAGGCTCATAACCACGACACCAATAAAACTCAGTGCTGCTCTGCTCCCAGTATTAACCTCCAAACACAAAGTGATGTGAGAGGAATAATAATGACTGAGGAAACTTTTTAATATGCAAACAGGGCTGCGACCTACAAATTACACCTCCGATTAGCCGGCATCATTTATCACATGTGGAGATGATGATAGATCATGCAGCAGTTAGATTTCATGGAAGGACATGTACCACTTTGCTCCAGAATAAAATATCTCGAACAGCCCTGACACACCAAGCAGACAGCAAAGAACTAGTGGCGAGGAGGCCTCACATGACCAAAAAGTTGCACTTGAACACACCGCAAAGACTACAGCTGACGGCCAACCACCACTTACGTTTTGCTCATGCATGAGAGGAAATAACTCTCCATGCCAGCAGGGGGCGGTAGTTTGTTGTTATGATACAAGAAGACCATTTTCACTCCGCTGTCAGTCACCACTCGTATTACAGGTCGCCTACTAATGGAGAATAATGTCTGATAAGAAGTAGAAAATGGCGCTGGCGTTGTCAGTTCTTGGTCTTTTAGTGGAAAAAAGAAAAGAAGAGGTGGAGGAGACAAATAAGGAGAAACCGCACTAATGGGTGAAAGCATGGAGACTACAGAGACATGCTCAAGGGGCTTTACTGAACCTGAGAGGAGAGCTGGAGAGAAATGAAACCTCCAACAGCCAATCAGAGAGATCCCTCTCACCGACGCCGATTCAACATGTCCAATCGGCCAAAAAAGGCCAATTGGGGCCGTGGTCTACTGATTTCTCTTCTTGACACCAACATGGGGTCAACATGATTATTTTAACATGAAAAACTGTTTGATAATTTGTTCTGGAATGTGGTTCAATTTGGTGATCTCCTGATAAATCCTCAAACGCCAACAGCATCAAATGAAGGAGTTCTCTGGATATGATAACTGATAGGTTTACTCCATTTTTAACTAATTTAGATATTCTACATATTATAACTCTTAAAGTCTTTCTATGTGATTTTTCACACTTAAATATAATATAAATCAAGTATATCCTCTGAAAATAACTCTGTGAGTCATGACTGTCTACAATGGGTGTAACACCCGAGTCCCACTGTCTGTGATGTTTTCACAGTTTTCAGAGTCCTATCTTCACTTTGTTTACATCGCCAGGACGGCCGGCTGACTCCTCCCCTCGTGTATAAAAGTTGTTTAATTGAGGGACTAGAGAAAAGAAGAATAACATACTGTACTCACTGCTTAACTGTGTTTCTAGATCACGCTCATTTCAGGTAAATTTACATGCAGTGTGAAGATACCAGCGTAATAAAGATCGCTAGCATTAGCATGCTAACACAACAATGCAGCGCGAGTTGTTTTGGTTTCATGCTGGTGCTCAAGGGCGACATCTGCTGGATCAAAAAAATCACATCTAAAGCCTTTAAATGAGGGGCGCAAGTTAGTCGTTAGTGAGTATGGTATCAAACTTTTCTTTCTGTATTTGAAATTTACAAAAAAAACAACCATAAAACTCTTTGTCACGTATAGTAGTTTATCTTTTTTACTTCATCAGTGATTTTAATGAAATGATAAATTAGCCAGTTCCTCAACGTTTTTATCCTCTTTTTTTTTTAAATCACCAACTTGGAAACATCTTCGTTCCCTGTTTTTAAACCACCATTTCTCCAAATACTTCACATCACAATAGCTTTCCTGTCTGATTCCACCTGTCAGGTCTGAATGCACCAAATGGAAAGATATTGAAATGAAGGATATAAATAAGGCTTGAAATGATGCCCAGCAGACTTTCTGCAGCACAAAGGAAAGCAGTCACACAGCCGGCTGGATAAACAGAATGCACAACACTGCTGTGATAATCGCATCATTACAGGCTGAAGCCACTGAAGGCTCACACGTCACATTCGGATGAAAGGTGTGAAAAACAACAGGAGGATAAGAGAGAAGACTCAACAATGCTTTCTGCGGAAACACGAGCGCTTTCTTAGAATCCAACCGGCTCTCAAATATCAATTTGACCTGCAGTGATGACTTTTTGTCTGGTTCCTAACCTGAGTTAATAACACCCCTCCCCCCCTCATCATGATCATGTCTTTATGAGCTCTACTTAATGACTGACTCCATTATATGACACTGTGTTCCATCCAGATTAACGGCCAAACAGCAAATCACTGCAGAGATTTAAGTTATTAGCGAGCACAGAGGGGGGAGATCAGCGAACATTTAGCCCGCATCACTTACATTCTGTGTGCACGTAAGGAACTTCACAGGGACTCTTCACATGAGTCCGAGCTTTTGCAAAAACACTCGCGAGCTCATCTGAGGCGAACACAACAACAAACATGTCTGTGTCCCGAGGGAACAGAAATTAAGTCGCTAAAGAAGTTGCATACTCACAAATGAATCATGTGCAACACAATTAGGTTTATTCAGAACGTTGCAGAAGTAGTTAAAGGAGCAATGTGTAAGATATTTACTAAGGAATTTAAGGAAACATGTTATGTTGAAGTGCTGGCTTCTCTGACAACAATGCAGCAGCCAGTATGTCCTCCTTCTAACTTTAGATTCTGCTCCTGAATGCTCTAGATTTGTTTGGACCAGAGAAGGTAGGCGCTTTTAAGGTGACCCCCCCCACCACACGGCCGTTTTGGACGCCCCTCGGTTTGCCAGATATGAGAGCAGTTATCAGGTCAACAGGTGTTGCAGCGATGGAAGCGGTCAAGAGAAGTGGTTCAGATAGAAGTGATTGTACCCGACCTAAAAAGCCTCTGCATGTTTCTAATAAGCTCCACGAGCAGAAACGTGCTCAAACTAGGATCAATATTGGAGATGCTTTTGAAAAATGGAGAGAGGTTAGAACACAGAAAGGTTTACAGACCCATGCAGAGCTGGATAAACACTGAAGCTTCAGAGTCCACCAATACCATCCAACATGGCAAATCTCCCGCTGTGAGGTGCATGTGTGAACAACTTTCAGGGACAGCCTGCCTGAAAATGTTCAAGACATTTTCAGGTGTGCATGTGTGAAAACGGCTAAAGTGACATCTTCCACTCAACACATCAGTCATTTGATCCATTGTTTGTATAACATGGTTGATAGAGGTGGGAAAAAATCAATGTATGTAATCGAGATTCTTAAATTCTGAAATATTAAATTGATTCATAACTTCCAAAAATCATTGTTTTTATTAAATCAGTCACTCCCTGCTAAGTGCTAAGGCTAGCTCTTTAACTCAGTAGAACACCAAGTGGAGCGACAAGAAATTCAGCCAGTCTCACAGATGACTGGAGTCCATCCTGAAGTATGTCTGAATATGCAAAAACATTTAAAATGCTCAGTAACAAAGTCTGTGTTGTGTGTCAGTATTGTATGAAAAGCAAAAACCTGGCAGCTGCAATATATTTTAAACAATATCTACTATATCTGTCCTGTATTTCTCTGCTCTGCAAATCATGATATGTAATACTTTTTGCAGAAAAATAATAAAGAAAAAGTGTATGATGGTGAAACTAGTTTAAACCAGACCTGCAGTAAGAACTGGATAAAGAGGAGGCCCAACTCAACACCATGATAAGGATGATAGTGTGCTGCTGACGGCCTTTATCAACAGGAGGAGGCAGGAAGGTGTGCCAATGTGTTTTTGCTCCAACAGCATGAGACGCAGGATGGGAGTGGAGAGAGAGAGAGAGAGAGAGAGAGAGAGAGAGAGAGAGAGAGAGAGAGAGAGAGAGAGACAGAGAGAGAGAGAGAGAGAGAGAGAGAGACAGACAGACAGAGAGAGAGACAGAGAGAGAGAGAGAGAGAGACAGACAGAGAGAGAGACAGAGAGAGAGAGAGAGAGAGAGACAGACAGACAGAGAGAGAGACAGAGAGAGAGAGAGACAGAGACAGAGAGAGAGAGAGAGACAGAGAGAGAGAGACAGACAGAGATAGAGAGAGAGAGAGAGAGAGACAGACAGAGATAGAGAGAGAGAGAGAGACAGAGAGAGAGAGACAGACAGAGATAGAGAGAGAGACAGAGAGAGAGAGAAGACTCAGCTGGAAAGAAACGCGAGCAAATAAAAACAAAACTAGTTGCAAAACCAGTGTCATCCAAAGGACACTCGAGCTCTCAGGATAAACGATATGAACTTATGTAATCACCTAATGGACGGCTGCCATGACAAGAAAAACATCCAACCTTTAAATAAGGCGCACCGCTTCAGAATTCGCCCCCGACACACTAAATCCTTTGTCCAGCTAAAACCCTGGGAAACGTTCATTTGTTTTTCTTACATCACCCCTCTGTCTTTCCTCAGACGTTCCCCTGCTCACTACAACTAAAGCAAAACCACAGTCACAGCTGGTGCTTATACTGTATATCAACAGAGCTCGACTGACCTGAACAACACGGGGGGGGGGGGGGAGATTAAAAACAAAGATCAGCTCCAGAAAAACATAGCTAAAAGTTACAGGAACTTCTAAATATTACTAACAAGTTCTAATCTAATCCATAAACCTCTAAATCCAGCGCATAATCACTCCTCACAGATGCACCCAAACAGGTTTTTAATAAGACAAACCAGCTCACAGTGGAGGTGAAAGCAGCACAAGAACCATGCAGCTCTTAAAGAGAATCCATCCAGATGGAGACAATAATCCATATCTGCTCGTCATTGATTAGTATAATCTCTCACGTCTTCTGAGATGGAGATTTTTAAGCATTTTCTACTTCCCACATTGGCTGATAAGAAGACCCCTCTGGATCTACTGTCATCAAAATGTACAAACTATTTTTGTTGCATTCTGAACCTCTAAACCAAAGACGCTATATATTAATATGGACAGAGTGTCTCCGTCTTCTTCCATTGTACAAAACTGAAGCCAAAATACCCCCCTGACAGGCGCTGACATATCATACTGGTGATGTCACCCAATGGTTTCTGAAGGGCTGTTTGGGAAGTCTCGACACATGGTGGTGGCCTCATGGAAAACTGCTGTCAAAACAGTCATTTCAATATGGGGTGTGTTTGTGACTTCCGGGTCATTTGGAGCCAGCCTCATGTGGACACTTGAGGAACTGCAGTTTCTTGAACTTCTGCATTGGCTTCATTTTTTAAATTGACGCCATGCACGGCCCTTCTGCTAACTGAAGCACACATTTGGACCTGCAGATCAGACGTCAAAGAGTCTTAAGTTCAGAGTATTTATCCCCGAGGGGAAATTTGGTTTACACTCTGTTATTTATAGGGACATGCTTCTCACACTCAAAGGCCCCGAATCACACACATGCACAAACAAGACCTGTGGACATGGACTGGTGGAGAGATGTCAGAGTGGGGCTGCTACAAACTGCTAAGCAGTTGGGGGGTTCGGTGCCTTGCTCAAGAGCACCTCTCCAGCTACCAGACCAACTTCCATATTATGGTCTGCAACAGGACTTGAACCGGCGACCCTCCGGTTCCCAACCCAAGTCCCTATCGACTGAGCTACTGCCTCTACGTTTTCTCTCGACTTCCTTCCCTCTCCTCTGCTGCTAATACAGTTGAAAAGCAAAGGAGCCTCATTTGTCCACAGAGCTGTGAATCATGACGTCACATCTGCTCTTTTTTTGCATCAAATATTTAGAAAAAAATTCTTAGAAAAAAAAAAAAACAACAATCTGTACCGACACAAAGACAAGAACAGAATTATTTGTGGATTTAAATCAGGGGTAAACAAAAAAAACAGTCTGCCATTTTGCACAGCAGATGTCATTACAGTGTTTATTGGTAGTGACTCATCAAAACCATTATCCTCTGAGGGGGACTGATTTTGTGGGAGTAGGACTTTCAGTTCAGATGCATACAGTTTGAATTTTGTTTGATGCAGCTTTTTTTACAGACATCAGTCGCTGCTGCCATCTTGTAATTGCCACTGATCCGGCAATAAACCCCTTTTCTGCAAGACATCATGTCACCACTCAACTCTGGACCCTGTCCAGTTAAAAGAGCAGAAAGTAAGAGGAGTTTAAATTCTAACACCACACAATATATCACCATCTTACTATGTTAGATATTTAAATTATAATCTAATAATGGACTTCTGCAAACATGAGGCTTAATTGTTTGTTTTTCAGGTTCTTCTTCCTTGTTATTAAAGAGAAATATATGAAAGCTGTCAGAAAATGTTCCCACTTACAGCACAACTCCCTCTGCTAATCTCTTTTCTGTGTGAAAGCTTGTAAATGTGCTTTGATGAGGCAAACATTCACATTATAGACGATTATTATGGTTACAGGGTGATATGTAGACACAGAGCTCTGCAGCTTCTCTTACTAGACTTGCGCAATAGTCTTGGCGCGGCTGTGCCTATAGGGCTATTTTCCACCAGCAAAACAAATCAGTTCACACTTCACATGGCGGACCCCTCGGACGGTGGCGGCGGGTGTAGCTGAGGAATAACAGAATGTATGTTATATTGCTATAACAATCAAGACTACCAAAAAGGGGTGATTTAAAAAAAAAACAGCAATGGAATGAACAAAAAGACAACTTTGATTGCACATTATTCAAATTATTTCATAGAGTTACGGCTGTGGATCAGAGGTAGAGTCGATCGTCTCTCAACAGGAAGGTCGGGGGTTCGATCCCCAGCTCCTGCAGCTACATGTCCGATGTGTCCTTGTGCAAGACTCTTAACCCCAAGTTGCTCCCGCTGCTTAATCTGCAGTGTATGAATGTGATAATCTAACACTGATGGACTCTTCACACAGCATTCTCTACCATCAGTGTGTGAATGTGTAGGTGTGACCTGCGGTGTAAAAGAGCTTTGAGTAGTCAGAAGACTAGAAAAGAAATAAACAAGCTCAAGTGTATTTAACCAAAACAGTTCATTCACAGGTGTACTGACAGATAATCAATGAGCCTCTGCTTTGACGGTCAATTCATTGTAAACGTGCAAAACTTCTTTATGTTTCAGTTGCACCAGTTTGTGGATTTTACTGTTTTTTCGTCGACAACACAGGTCATTTGTAGAAGTATCCCTGAGCATATTTTGCTATTTTTGGGGGCATTGTGTTGATGAGAATCTGTAAATAGAGTGAAAAGTGTTTACCTGCAGCCTCATGTTAGCACAAACAAGAAGGATTATTGAGTTTACATGAGGCACTTAAAGAGGCTGTGTGTTATCAGTAACTTCTCCTCTGCACAGAGGGAGTTTTTGACTACCAGCTCACTGCCTGCAGTAAAGTATTTAACGGCAGACAAAAGCCAGTGTGTCAGTTGAGTGAGCTTATTTGCTTAGGCTAATATTAATGGACTGTGTGGAGGTTATAAAAATGCACAAACAGGGCAATGACAAGTGCGCATTTAAAAAAGAGTCTTAAGACCTGTAGTTCACAGGACAGAGCACACAGGAATGTCCTGCAGTGTTCTCAAGTTTTGGTTAAAAAACATCCCAGTGCAATGAATAAAAACAAGCTGGACACACACACACACACACACACACACACACACACACACACACACACACACACACACACACACACACACACACACACACACACACACACACACACACACACACACACACACACACACACACAGAATGAGACACACACAGACACACACACACAGAATGAGACACACACACACACAGAATGAGACACACACACAGAATGAGACACACACAGACACACACACACAGAATGAGACACACACACACACAGACACACACACACACACAGAATGAGACACAGAATGACACACACACACACACACACAGAATGAGACACACACACACACACACACACAGAATGACACACACACACACACACACACACACACACACACACACACACACACACACACACACACACACACACACACACACACACACACACACACACACACACACACACACACACACACACACACACACACACACACACACACACACACACACACACACACACACACACACACACACACACACAGGCGTCGACCCAGCTACAGATGGCACAAAGCTACAAAATGACACAGAACACGGATAGGCCTGGAGACCCAACACACACTCGTCTGCTCTCTAAATGACACCTCAAGCTGCATTGTGCACAACATTAATGCAACTACGGGAACAAGCTGGGGCACAAATTAAACACCGCTGCCTTTTAACACAGCACAGCAACTACATGCAGGAAGCCGCCGGCAGTAGTTTGCTACAATGTCTCCTTCACAGTAAACACGTACAACAATACCGACAGTGTATGTTTCCGTGTCGCTGTCAAGTTTACGTACCTTGTTTTGGAGGCCAGGAAAGCGAGTTTTATTAATCCGTGCGTGCAAATCTGGATCCCCTCTTTCTCTATACTCGCCACTTTCAAGCTGTGCTCTAAAATATGAAGCTCCATCTTTTACGTCTTCTCATTTGAGGGACGACTAAATTGTGTAAAAAAATAAAAAATAAAAAAACCTAAACACTTTCAAACGGGATGCATAAATAAATAAATACACACATTCACACGGCAGGCTAAGGCGTGTTTTTTTTTTTAAATAGGGGAAAGAAAGAGCGAGGCAGGGTGGAATAAAGAAAAGCAAAGAGGTAAAAAAAACGGACCCTGCTGTCAAAATCTAAAGCAGGACCGCTCATACTTCCGGTCCCGGGACTTCAAAATAAAAGTGTCTAGGAAAGGTGCATATTTTTTTATTTTATTTTATTATTTTATTTTATAAATAAAACATTTGTATTATTTTGTGCATATTTTGTATTATTTATTTTTTATTTTCGGTGCATTTTCTTTATTTTTACAGTCTATGGTGCATAGTGGTTCCCAACCTTTTTGTTTGTTTGTTTCGTGACCCCACTTTGACTTCATAAAAGTCCATATCAAAACACATAAAGCATTTTGCTAAAATAAAAAAATAAAAAAATATTCAAATGTTCTGTTTTTTTTCTTCTGTGCTGCAAGTTAACATTCAATTTAGACCAAATTTAAGCTATTTCATGTAGGCTTTATTATTGTGGACTGGACTGGACAGAGGCAGAAAGTGATTGTCTTTGTGCTTGCCTTGGACTGGGGCGCTGCTTGTTAAGGCAAGTGCTTGGGGCCCCACACCATTAGGGGGCCCCCTGAGGGCTCACAAGCTTTAAACCAAAGCAGTGGCCCAAAATGTGCAAATTTTGCAATGACAGTAGGAAAACACACAAACGGGGCACCATCTCGTTGCTAAGCGTTGCATGCGTATATTTTTTTGTTGATCAATGATTTGAAATATCAGACGACCCCATCTGAATTCCACGGGACCCCATGCCAGGTTTGGAAAACCTACCTTTGCCCCTGTGTGGTCAGTAGGCTACATGGATTAAGCTAGGGTGAGTGTCTTCCTCTAAATTTGAATTTGTTAATATTATCAGAGGGAAGTGTCTTTAAAGAAACACATTACCTGCAATCTGGGAAGTAATCACGTGTTCAATCTGATGGATATTTATAGATAAATATAATATAGGTGAGAAAAATACATTAAGGCTAGCTATGAAGCTAAGAGCTAACTAGCGAAAGCTATGCGCCACATGTTTCCGAGCAGCTGTACAGAGTAAAGATGGCATATAGACAACAGTCAAACGGCTCATAATCACATTTTCAACTCAGTATTACCTTTAAAGTGATAATTTATTTGTTATATTACATATTATATTATATTTTATTATTTTAACTAGTTCTGAAACTTTGGGTAAAATGCGGCTATTTGTAATCATCTTTTGGGCTAACTAACACTGACTCAGCCATTTGTTCTGGTTTCCTAGCAACTGTAAAGAACTACAGCCAGCTGTCAATCAGCTAATGGTCTTTTTTATATAAATAAAATATATTTTTATATAGATGAGTTTTTGACTTTTGGTGTTTCAGTCGTGTTGTACCGGAGATGACATGTGGTGAAACATTACGTGTCAGTTTAGACAGCACACCCTTATGTTGATAAAATGGAAATAAGCCAAATGGATGTTTCTTGTGCTTTCCATTTGGGCGCTTTTATTTTGAAGAAAAACCCTGAAAGCGGAAGTGATGTTGCCGTCCGGCTTGTCGTAGCTTTTTTCAGACCTTTTAAATGGGTGAGCAGAGGACCGCTGTTCCCCATGTTTGCTCTTCGACTGGAATAGTTAGCAGCTGGTCCGACTGAAACAAACAACTTGCCATTCAAACGAAGGGGGCGGGTCTGCAGTGGAGTGGGGCATCATGGGAAATGTCGTTCTCTAGCGTATTAGTCTGTAAAGTTAGGCCTGTAGGCTAAGTCTTGTGAGATAACACCTTGGATTTGGAATAATAATATCAGTATGAGGACTGACCTTCAGTTTAATTCATAGAATCTAATAAACGCTCTTAATTTCTAAATTAAAGGGAACAAAAAAATAAGATAAACAAGGTTGACATCTTTGTTTTTCAAAGTGTTGCTGGCTGTCAAAGCTGAGAAGTAAATTAAATAGCTCAAATAAAGCCTTCAGATTTAACATATTTGTATTTTAGTGTGAATACATTAATGTGAAAATCAAGAAGTGCAGTTACTACTGTTGTGACATTATATCAGCACATGAATAACTTAAAATAGAATGAACATTATGAGCCATAACATCCACCATGTTTAAACTATTTCATGCTGGAGCCTGCTGCTGTGTTTCTATTCAGCATGAATGGTTGACTTGACACACAGTTTCCATGCAGCAATTATTCTCTTACATTGCTGTAGATGTGGTTATTGAGTTATGATTTGCTATTCTTCTGTCTTCTCTTAAGTGACAGGAGTAGTAAACAACCCTTTAATTAAGATGTCTCTTCAACTGTCAAGGCTGGAGTGAGAGCAGTTTTACATTTTCAAGGTTAAATTCACAATAATTGGCCTCCTGTTGTGTCTGTATGTGTGAATAGTTATTCCCTGCTGCGAGGCCACACTGGAAACGCACCTTCATGTGTTGAAGAAGATGCACCATGGGATAAGATAAGGATATGCTAGGCTTTGATATGAGTCCACCGTGTCCTTGAATTTGTTCATTGCAGGATGAAAGTTGTGAACAGAACTTGTCTGTTTGGTTGTGATCATTAAAACAGTTTTTACCCCAACAGGTGATCTTTTTAATGTGTTCATAGTTATTCCGCTTCATTAGCTGGCATTTAAAATGTTTGTCCTGTCCTGTCCTCTCCTGTTCTTTAAGAGAGTTTAAATCTGGACCACCAACTGGGCCAAAGTAGGTAATTAAGATCAGCAGAGAACACTGAAACCTTTAATTGTCTTTTGAAAATCTGACTGAAAATTGTGGATTCTGCATTTTTTCTGTTCTGTTGTTTCCCCGTCTTGAGAGCCTGTGCATTGAAGATTTATGTTTGTATTTTTACATTTCTGGTGTTCTCTCATGGTGCGTATTCCTAAAAGATAAAGTTGAGTAATGACGACGTAAACACTGCAAAGACAACCTACCATGTGAGTCCTCTATGCACACTGTCGGAAACTTTGACATTTGGACTTTTTTTTTTGCCTTCATAAGCCTTTTTCACAAATGCACAACTAAATACCTCCAGTAAATGTCAGACAGGCTGCCCCTGAAATCCTCCTGACTTTCTTATTCACACATGCACCTCCCAGCTGAGACTGTCCTGTTGGATGAGAGGAGAAAGGGGACGGTATCAGGAGGCGAGACATGGCATAAAAAGAATGATGCAGAAGTGGTGGATGGAGAAACGGAGTCTCACAAGTTTCATTACGTGCAAGGAGAGCTTACCTGTTGCATGCATGCAGTCTTTGGCTGTGTGCCCGGCTCAGATATGAATGTGATCGCCTTCCTCCCGCGTGCTCATGGGGAATTTCTCTGAGTATTTCCTGCTGCATTCTTACACAATGTAGGGGTGTGGCAGAAAAAAATTCCAGGTAAATTTGGACTTCAAAATTCAGGCTTTTTGCGTTCACACGTGCAGCTCATCCAGAATATTTCAGGAAGTTTCCAGGAGTTTTGTGCATGTGTGAAAGCACCATTACAGTGAAAGTAACGCACACCTAAATTCAAATCAATACTCCTTTTTTTTGTTTTTGTTTGCCTGAAGTTTGAAGTTTTTATATTTATAATTATTGTCAGCAGGATTAACTCAGAGTAAGGTCTTCATGATAAGTAAAGTTGCTTCCTGTCCATCATTTGTGGAGTGAGAATGAAGCTCTGCATCAACCCTAAATCCCTGCCTCCAAATCCCAAACCCCCCGAGCGAGCAGACTTGTGGAGTGTCTTTTAATCCTGATTTTAATGTGGACATCCAAAACCAAAGAATGTCACCAAAGTCTTTAAAGTATTTCCTCTTTTTTTAAACAGACAGATTCTTACATTTTTAGAAGGCTTTCTCACATAAGCAGTTTAATATCCTTCTCTCGGCTTTCCTAACCATACTTTTCTCTCCAAAGCGTTTCATTTGAACGTCTTAAACCATTTTCCAACAGATCACAGAAGCGCTGTGGTGTTATCCGTCTGTATCTCAGGGTCTGTGTCAGTATAACATTTTCAGCCAACACTCTGATTGCAAAAATAATTAGTTTGATCAGTCCTCAACAGAGTATTGATTAAGCAAACAAAGACGAGAGCTCTGCTGCAACCACAGAGACTGTTTTTTTCAAATATATTTTTTGGGCCTTTTTGCCTTTATCAGATAGGACAGAGAGACAGGAAGTGTTGAGAGGACAAAGTAGGGGATAACGTGCAGAAAAGACAGAAAAGGCCCGACCCAGACCACACATGGGGAGGGCGCCACAACAGCCATGCGGGGGAAAAAAGTAGTAACATTAGGATTATATACATTAAGATAAGGACATGAGTCATACAAAGGAAATGGTAGAGACAGTTATTTGTAGTTCAGGGATAACATCATGTCTTTCCTACAGTCTTTTCATAACAGTCCATTGTGCAGAAATCAATTCCCACCATCATGCATATGGACTTAAGGTAGAAAGGTTTACTTTGCATGTATAATGTACAGTTTATAACGTATTGATTCATTAAAGTGGGCCACATGTGGACCTTTTATTGCCCTGTGCCTGAAACATGAATAGATAGAACAGAACTGGACACCGGAGCACTATCAGAGACTGTTAAAAGGTTTCACTTCGATAATGGAGCTTCAGTGTTCGGCCTTTACCTAAATGGTCATTATGTCGACCCAGCAGAGTTACTTGTGTTTCTTTCTTCCCGCTCCACAGGGACCTTAAAGGTCTCAGTGGGCTTCTAACAATCAGGTTCTAATAGAGCTGGGAGTCTTTACCTTCAAGCTGCGCCGCTCTGCTTCACTATAGTTTACTTACTTTTAAGCCAATTAGATATAGGTTGTTCCACTCCTCCTGGCCTTTCTCTCTACTTCCCCCCATAGTACAGAAGAACTCTGATTCAAAGTCTTCAAAGTGATACATCACATGAAAACGCTCCTTTGAGGGAATAAGGAAGTCTGCTTGAAGGTGTTCATCACACTCGGTTTAACCCCAAAAAAAGAGCAAATGATTGAACCTAGATAACTGAAAAGAAATGTTTTAAACCCAAAATACTGCATCACCTATGTTACTTTAAAAGTCTAAGGTAGATCAACTCTGATTTGCTTATTTTATTGATTTGCTCGTTCA